TTTAATCCTCTTGATCAGCCTCTCACAATCTTGCTGCTGAGAGATTGCAGCTTTCATTCTCCTGCTTAAGATCGCAACCTTGAAGACGATAGGAAAGAATCCATGGAAAGTTTGATATGTTCCCGCATAATTAGCTCTACGAACATATGTTTGAGTACCTAAACAGTGTCCTCAACTTCCTCATTATGCTCGGTCTTCAGCCTTTTTACTACCTTATCATACTTATGTTTTTTATTCATGGCCATTTGAAGTGTAAGATCAAGTAGTCCACCGTCAGATTCCTTTTTAGCAATTTATAACTACAACAGTCCAATGTTTTGATTAAGTAATTGGTTATGTCTCTCAACTTCATCAAGCCCATCAATTACATTCAAGTAGAGATAAGCCATCAACATAAAGAAAAAACAATAAGTTGTACTAAAAGAATAAAATCTATATTCGTAAAATAAAATCAATTTCAATTAATACTGGAGCAGACTTTCCCAATCTCGACATCTTTTTCTGTCATCTCTTCAACAACACTCATCTTAATCCCCGCCTTTGAGATCTGGAATAGGAATGTTGAGATCTGGGATATTGACCGTCTTAAATTCCTTCATAATAGACAATCATCTTCATTAGAAATTCAGTAAAGTTTCAACTTACTACATAAATTTTAAAATGACTTGCTTCTCGAATCATCTTCATACATGATGATTTGCTTCCACCATTTTTACCATTTTTATTTTCAATATCTATTCTATATTCATATATTCTATATAATTAGGTAAAGTTTATAATTCATAATCTCAATGTCATAGGCTTCAATCATATCAGAACGTGTGGCATTTGCCATAGCCACTGAAGATTCAATTTCTAAAGTCGAGTCAAGTATTGAAATGTTAATATATGGTATATTTACTTGCTTATATTCATGCATAATAGAGTATAGTAAAAAATTAATATTTCATAACGGTTAAGATTAGCTAATTCATTAATGAATAAATACTTAAAGATTTGCTTCTCGATTATCGTCCATATTACCATTATTATTATGAACATAAGAAGATACCTTCAGTCTTATAATGACTTGAGCATTCCGTTCTTCACAAGCTTTTGTCTACTAAAATATATTCTCTAGTAACATTGATTGAGAATAAATATTTATAATATCTAGCTCCAACTTTCCAATTTTATTTATTGAGTACTTCGCTTTGCCTCACAGCTTCATCCAACTCACCAATTTTACTACAATACAAGTAAGAAAAGAATAATCAATGCATCATAATGAAAAAAAGGAAAATTGAGCTAAAAAAGACTAAAAACTAAAAAGTACCACATATTTGATTTAGAAGGAATAACTAGACTAAAATTGTGCAAACTATGCCTTACCGTTTCTTTAAAAGTGAATAAAGGGAGCTGATTCTATTTCCCATCTTCTAGAGAAAATGACCCAAAAATATAGTTAAACAATTAACAGAGAATAAGAACATGATGTACTGAATCTATATACCAGAAATTTAATCAAAATGGCAGAAGAAAAGGAGATCACAAAATAACCAAAATACTTTTGTGTTGATAACTTCCATAACCATTGGAAAGAAAACTAACATAGAATAAGAACAACATAATATACTGAGTCAAAATACCAAACACTATCAAACCAAAATCAGAGTAAATAGCATACCAAAAGGAGATTATAGAAAACCCAAAACTTATTCATGTTGATAACTTCTATGCCTATTGGAAGTACCCACACCAAAAAACCAAAATTACATCACATATTAAACATCAAATTTAATTGTTCAACTTGAACAAAATTACAAAAAACAAAAACAAAAACTTCCTTTAGGCAAAAGGTACCAAAGGATTTAGAGTTTTATTTTAAATAACAGTAGATATAGCCCTTACCCGTAGGAAAGTTAAAAACTATTGCAACGATAACAAAAAGATTTCATAAAACAAAAGAAGAAAATAAAGAAAACTTCCTTGGCAAATAGTAGCAAAAGAATTGAGAGTTGTATTCTAAGTAACAGTAGATATCGTCCTTACTCATAGGAAGTTTAAAAACTATTGCAACAATGACATCAAGATTTTGTATCCACTAAACAACATATATCAAGGATAACAAACAACAAAAAGCAAGAAATTTCCACGAAACCCCTAATCGAGCTAATTAAATGACAAAAGATATCGTCCTTACCAATATAGGAAGATCAAACACTATTGCAATAAAAAAAGATTTCAAAGTAACCCAGATAATCCGATCAACTAAACAATGCAACCGATGAAAAAAGACAGTTACTTTCAAGCAAATACTAGGGCAAATGGCAAAAAAAAAGTGAATTTCATCGCTCGTTTGGTGGATGACTTTCTTGTCTAGTGGAACAACACAACTAGAACAAAACAAAGAAGTTTCCATGGATAGCTACATTAACCAAAAGATTCACGATAATTGAACAGTCTTTAATTTGATCTGATCAAACAGGAAATTGAAGAACAAAATCGAGTTAAGTTACGATTCTAACTAGGCAAAATGCAACAGAAGAACTGGTAATTTCATGGAGAGTTTCGGTAGATCTCTTACTGGGTAATTAAAGAGTAAAAAATTATAACAAAACAAGAAAATCACGTCGCAAACTAGTTGAACGAAAGGAATATTATGTCACAAACGACATTAAGAAAAAAATAGCAAACCAAACAGTTATATGATTCCTTTACACCAATAATTGGACTTACCGGTCGTTGGCCGAAAAGTCATATGTTTGAATCCCGGTTGTCTCAATATATAGAATGTTCTTCAAGTCCAACGGACTTTCGTTTGTGGACGGAATGAATCAGGGGCTGAGGCAAGTTGACCCTCACTCAAATTCCAAATGTAGGTAGAAGTACATGTCAAACACAAATTGGTAAAAAAAATTGAGTTGTTGAGAGATTTTTTTAATTATAAATCTTATATCATTTACTAACGACTACCTCTTGACTAAATGCTCCAGTATCATGTTTATAATCGTCTCAGTGATTTGAATTGGTAAGATTATATCTTACAATCATTATTCTTTTGCATGACATTTCACAAAAGCCCATTTGAACTTGAAGATTGCAACTATTGCCACGGCTCGAAGGAGAAGATGGGGAGAACGCGGTCGAGAAATATTATTAGGATCTCAACTTTGGCGATTACTTACCCAACTTGGCGATCTATCATCAGTAGAGTACTTGGGATTTGCCCATTCAAGCTTCTGTCCCTTTCCTTGTCTGCTCTGCAATGAATTCTAATCGCCATGGCCATCCCCCACCACCATTTTCTTGTTTTGCTAAACGCCCATTTATTGTTAACCACCGCCTTTCACTACGGTACGAAAACGTAGCTCGTCTTCGATATAACTGTTTTCTAACTTTACCTCTTGTTTTGGTGTGATAATCTATCTGGAAGTTTATCGTGTTTCAATGCTGACGGGGACCAACGTATGTGAAGACTACTTACCTATGCTCGCCATTAATGGACGAGGAGGAGTGTAGAACACAAATGTAGTAGATCGATGAGCAATTTATACTATTAACCTAAAATTCTCCTTCATTAGACATTGCCTTCTTTTTATTTATCTTATCAATTGACTGCCTGCTTCTCATCAAAGTATAAATATTTCTTTTTTTAAGACTTTCACAACTCTGGATCATACGATCGTTTAACGTCGAAACGATGATAATGACACAATAAGATCCTCAATCCCGATTCACGATGTATCATAACGATGAATCGATTTGGTCAAATGGGTTCATGAACCTCAACAAGCAACTCATAATAAAAGAACAAAATACCATGAATCTCCCACACTTGGGGGGAAATTACACTTTCCGAGCAGAGCCTACATCCCATGATGGGGAAATTTGTAAATGTTGTCTCCCTAAACAAGCGCATCTACATGTGCAAACACAGTCTATATGAATCGACAGGAAAATGTGTACCTTCTTGCACGAATTGCTAATTAGGAGACAAGTTCATTACGCATAGCTTAATTATCAACGTACTTAGTTTGGACTTCCTGTGATCATTAAGAACATACGTCGAGTTTTCGTGATAATAACTCGTGAAATCGATGACTACTACTCATGAACAAAATTCCGGCGCTGTTATTAGAATCGAATTGGACCGTGAACCACTAATTTTAACGTTCCTATATGATCACTTGGTTACGAAAACTGAGAAAAACGAAATTAGTCAATTTTGGAACTGTTGTGTATGGTCATTGACTCCCACGGTTGTTGGTCCGTGTCGGCCGGGTTGGATGAATGGTGATAGATTTGTATTACTGTTTTCCCAGAAACGACATATGCTTGAAAAAGGAAAGGAAGTAAAAGGGAGAGACGACAAGCCCATGCAGACACTCAAATATGTAAAGAGGGATCGAAAAATTATGGGAAGATAACAATAAAAGAGTACAGCGGTCATGAAAATATGAAAAACTAACAATACGATTATTGTAGATCGGTTAGTGTGGATCGGTGGGCAGGGCGTCGGTCAAGTGGCTTGGGGTTTGGTATAACGAGTCACGTGAGATTTCTTACATTAAATTTTGTTGACGACATGTCTTGACTATGCAGTAATTTTAGGCTGCAGATGGATGGAAACTCAACAAAATAACTGATCGCGCGGTTAGTTAGTAGAGCAATTAGTGTCCAATTTGTTGAGATTTGAACACTAGCAACTCCAACACACGAGTGATCGCTTATGTAATCGATCCAAACAATAAAAAATGCATGACATGTTAATTTATTGATGATATTGGAATGAAATGTCATTTCAACCTTTTTGCAAAGGAGCCGATCCACACAGAAGAAGATACGCAAATATGGGATGAAATGTCGTTTTTTCCTCATATGGAATCAAAAGAGACTAGCTCAAGCCCATTTGGGGGTTCAACTGTATTCCATACCAACTGATCAAATGAGATATATAGTTTCTTTCTAACTATTATAAGTCATAGACGTCGCTATATATATAGTTGCCTCGTGATCACTTTACCTAGTTAAGTTTAGTATACAACTAGCTAGACATGGACAGCATATTGTGTGTCTTGTCACATACCCAAAAGCTTAAAAAAATGCATAGTTGATCCTAACTCTTAAATCGTAGTAACCATCCAGCTATCAGCTTGACCGAACGAACCTACTGATAGGACTGGGATATCGAGATTTTTTCCTGTTAAACCTAATCGTAATTCTAGAAACCAAGAAATCGAAGCAAGCCCCCTCCCTTGAAATCGAACCAAACCATTAGGTGGTTTAATTGTTCGACATGGTTTCATGGAACTAAAAATCAAACATATTGTGCAATGGTTGTTTATCGTGGTTGAAATTTTCAGTTTCTTATCATTTCGATTTTAACCGATAAAAACACCTTATCGGTTCAACTTTAGATTAAATCGAAAACCCAAAACCGAACTGACAACCCTGCCTACCAATTAGGCATGTAGATGGAGAAGTGGATAGGTTATCCGTTATGTAAACTTCATTGTAGATGGAATAGCTAATTGGGTGCATTAATGATCGACGGTGATGAGTCAAGAAGAGGATGCGTGCATATTCATATATTTGTGTTAGCTTAGCTATATATTCAAGTTATAAGACCTAGAGATGTGGCATGGTCAATTTGTTTGTCTCACCTATAGGGGTGTCAGTTCGGGTCGGGTTCGGTTACCCGAACCGAAACCCGAAAAAACCCGAAAACCCGAAACCGAAAACCACTAAAACCGAAACCGAACCCGATAAGGACTTGCGGGTTTCGGTTACCCAAAACCCAAAAATTCTTTATCGGGTTCGAGTTCGGTTAAAGCAAAACCGAAACCCGAACGCCTAAGAATACGGGTTGAGTTCTATTCATTGGAGGTTTTTAGCCGGAACCCGAAAAATCGATAAGCAAAACCGAACCCGAAACCAAAAAACCCGAAACTCGAAACAAACCCGAACCCGAAAAACCGAAAATGTATATAATCGGGTCGGTTTCGGGTAAACCCGAAAAACCGAACCCGAATGGACACCCCTACTCACCTACAAAAAAAGCTCTTGATGTTGGACTTAGCATCTAAATTTCGAAACTATCCATATAGCTTCTCTTCTCTCCATCCCCATTGCCTAACTTTCCCTAGCTACATATTGTCCACATACATGGATACATAACATGTGGAATGTCTGAGGGTTTGTAAAGTGACTCTCGAACGCTTAAATCAAGTTGAGGGAAAAGAAGAGCCAGCAGAGTGCGTTATCTATTAAGCAAGCAAAAAAAAAAAAAATCGAAGTTTCATTCGATAATCGAAGGTGGCTAAGAGTTTGTAGTAGCAGGCATGCATTCGCCTTATAACCTTTTGCTCGCAGACTTAAACATGACTCGAGATTTCTGGTTATACCAACCCTAGTAATTTTCATGACTATGTATATAATTTCTTGCTAAGCACATAAGTATTATAGATTGTATTCTCTTCGACCTCTAAGAATCGACTGCCACTTGTGATCAGTCTTTGCTGTACAACGCTAGGTGCGAGAGGTGGATGTCATTTGCCCTGCAAATCCAATTAACATCGTGTCATATTAACGATCTAAGCTCGAACATGCTTTCATTTGGCCAACACAAACACGTTTTTTTCTTCTTCTTCTTCCAAAACAAGAGCTTCTTTTGTGCTTTCATCTCTCCTCTTAATTATCTACACACCTTCAACACTACCCCCTCTTTCTTCAACATTACACCATGTTGGACATTGCCCCTTCTCAAGCTCCACTCCATGTGCCTATGGGCCATATGCCTTTTACGTTACTCAAAAGCCCACTACCACGCAATGTAACTAGTGTACTTGGGCCTCTTCTTGGCAACGGGCCACCCTGGACCACGGTTTGCTCTATCGTATTCCCTTTGGCGGCTTTGGAATTGAAATGATTGATGGATTTCGGTGAGAAATGGAGATAAAGCCCAGCCCACCGGAGGCTGTATACGGACCAAAACGAATCCGTAAGCCCATGTTGCATTCGAAATGGCCCAAACCTACACTTGAAAGAAAAAAATTATAATTACTTGGAAATTTCTCGGCAGCTGATTGGCTAACATAAGCTTTTCGATCCAATAGGATTATTTTAATATTCCTCTTTTTATATATTATTTAATTTAGTTCAAGTTTTTCAATAAAAGCTACGCTGCGGCAGCGAACGGTCACCGACGAAATAAGAAAGCACAAATCCCGACCGTTGGGCCGGCCGTGGAGATGGCGACAAGTGTCCTCCTCCCGACATCTCGCCTTCACCATTCAATTTATTTCTGTTTTTTTTTTCTCCTTGGGGGAAAATAGGAAAAAGAGAAGACAAAAATGGGAAAATCAAACGGATAAAGCCCAGAAAGAGACAGAATAACTCCTCTCCTTTCAGTCCTTCTTCTGCTCTGCTAAAGCTTACTTCATATATTGTTCTTATTTTTTTTATCAAAAAGATTAAATCTTTATTTATTATTGTTTTCCGGGTTTGGCTCACTCAGCTGAGCTTGTGTGGCATCTGCTTGTGCGCTAGTGTTGTTCTCGAAATATCCTTTTTGAGGGTCTCTCTCTGTTTGTGTGTGTTTCTTTGCGTGCAGTTTTCTGGTGGGTAAAATTGAACTCTCTCTCTCTATATCTTCTTTCTCTCTCTATCCCCATCTCTAGCTACCACTTCTCTGGGTGGTGCAGGTTCGAAAGGGTTCTTATTAATTTCTCGCTTTGGTGCTTTGTGGGTGGAAGTTAGGTGAAAAAGGGTTTGCAAGAGAACCGACATGGCTAACTCGGCGGAGAAGAAGGAAGAGACCAATACTCTTGTCCAGGACGAGGGTTTCTCGGTCGAGCTCCCTGCTCCTTCCGGCTGGAAGAAGATGGTTCTCTCTCTTTAACCTCTTTTGCTTCTTCAATTTCCCCTCTCTGTTACTATGAATTTGCTTCTCTGGGTTTTGTATCTTAAATTTCAATTCAGCTGGCTCACTGTGTGGGCAATTAGAAAATTAGGGTTTCATTCGGTTGTATGTGGGGGGTTGTTGGGAGTGGTTCTGTGAGAATAACTATGCCGCTTCTTCCTACTGTACTTGGTTTCCTCCCTTTCTCCCATGTTTTGCCAATTAGGTTTTTTTTTTTTTTTTGGGGGGGCGAATTAGGGTTGTTCACTTGTTCTAGGTCTTGGCTTGAATGAAAGACCCCCTTTTTTTGGCTTGAAATTTGATGGTTTCCATTGAGGGGTTTATTTGCCACAGGGATGCTTGTTGCAACTGGGAGATAGTTATGGCAATGTGAGAGCTTTGGAGGTTAAACGAACTATACATGTTAGTGCTTTTTAGTTCAGGGGCTAGGAGAAGCCTTTGGCTTTTGACGTTTTGTGCCTGAATTTTTTCTGGTACACTCCCGTATCCATTTAGCTATTTGCAGGGTGCTAATTATAGTAAAAGTTCTATCTTTTTGCTCTCTTCCTTTCACAAGAGTAATTTGCCAATGCATATCTAGTTGAAGATGCTAAATATTCTATCTCACTAGGGGATGACCAGGATTTTTGTGAATTGGATGGATTAACAAAAACAGTATTGGGGAAACCTTGAAAATTTAGGGTCAGTTAGTCGGCTGCTGTGGCTTTAGGGTATGGTTTGGCACTTTGAGTGAATTGGTGGTGTAAGACGTAAAGTTTTAGCTTCAATAAGATTTGAACTGCCCAGTGCTCTGCAGAACAATTAGCTAAGGAGAAAAGAGGCTGAACTCGCTGCGTAGGGTAAGTTATAGCAATTATACTGGGGATGTGGGTGACATATATGATAAGTGCTTCATTGTTTGTTTGCGTAGAGCTTATGAAATAGTAGTAGGAACAAGAGGAAGAAAAAGGTTGGAATACAAAGATGACTTCATTCTAGGGATGGTCTGATGGTTGGAGGTACTCAAATCAACAATGCTAGTTGCCCATGACTTTTTTTCTGGTGGGACGTTGTGTAGGACTTTAGAAGGTGTTAAGATCATTCATTTACCCAATTTGAACTAGGGGCTAGAGAACTGTGTTCGCAAACTGCGGATTAGCTTCCTCGCTGATTGTTTACATATATGAAGTTGGAGCTGTAGTTGTGTTTCTTGACCTCAATGATATATTCTGTAATTTTTCTTATCCGATGCCTTGATTAGATTCTGCATCTATAATCTGCGAATGACCTAGATTTCCAAAACAAATAAGGAGCTTATATTGCTTATTGACAAATTAGAAACTAGGAGGCAAAAGCTCAACATGGCATGTTTGTGATGCTAATGACAGTTCTTCATTCACTGGCCCTGTGGGGTTGTAGCAGTACCTTAAGACAATCATGCGCAGATATCTTGTTCGGATGATGAGTCTCACTGTTACCGATGCCCTCTGTCAAATGACAGAAATTAATATTTATTTTGGTTTTGCTTGGCGTAAACGTTGATCTTTTCAGCATTTCAATCTGGATTTCTTCTCTCTTTTTTTGACTGTTTGATTCCTGACGGGTCTGTCTTGTTATACTTTGAATGATTAACCTGAACTTTTATATCAAGAAAACTTTATAAACCTTCTGCATACATTTACAGATTTTTAAACATGTTTCACATGTATTTCTTTGTTATGAGTTCCATATATGTTATAAACTTGGTAGCCTACCCTCATATCATTCTTTTCGTGCTTTTATTCAAAGGATGTTTAACTTGTAGCTGTGCAAAGACTATTGACTCTATTCTGCCTTTTTCTATGGTTTTTCGTCATATAAATCCTCTTTCTGAGTTTATTCAAAGTTGATTTTCATTCACCAGTTTAAATCGCTACCTCATCCTGGCACATCTATGACGGTGGTGATTGATAATGCAGTAACATGAATAAATGATCATGAATGGAGTTTGTGCTGCACATAACACTTCCACTTATTTTTGTTGACTTTTCAGTTCTTCCCCAAGAAGAAGAGTGAAATCTCATTCATTGCCCCAACTGGGGAGGAAATCACTGGTAGAAGACAGTTAGAACAGTATCTCAAGGCACACCCTGGTGGCCCAGCTGCATCTGACTTTGATTGGGGCACTGGTGAGACCCCAAGGCGGTCAGCAAGGATCAGTGAGAAGGTAAAGGCAACCCCATCTCCTCAAAAGGAGCCCCCAAAGAAGCGTGGCAAGAGGTCATCATCAGGTGCCAAAAAGGAAACTAAAGACACAGGAACTGGCAATGAAGCAACTGAGGAGGCCAAAGACACCAATATGGAGGAAGCCGAAGGAACTGGGAAGGACGATACCGAGGCAGAAAACAAAGAAAATGCTGTTAAGGAAAATCTGGAACAGGGTGAAGAAAAAGCACAAGATCCCGATGCAAAGATGGATGCAGCTGATGGAGCTCCACCCCAGAAGGAAGCTGATGTAGCTGAAGATCAGCAGAAGGGGATCTCTGATGCAGTGGCTGAGAATGAAAGTGAAAAGAAGACTGATGCTGAGGCTGAGACGACTCAGGAAAAGGAAGAGCAACCACAGGTTGAGGCAGCAGCAACTATTGCAGAGGAGAAGAAAACTGAAGTTGAAGGGGTGGAGAAACAAGAAGAAACCAACAAAGGGGAACCGGCACCTGAAGGAGAGTCCACCAAGGACAAAGAGGCGGCGGCAGCAAATGGGACTGCTGAGAAACCGGATGAGACAACCACCAGCCAGCCAACTGAGAAAGTCGAAGGAGCATCAGTTGAGAACGGCAGTCATGCTGCTACTGCTGCAGCTACAGCTACTGCTACCTGATGATGAAATTCCTTGTTGAAGGACTTTCATTTGGTGGTTGTTCTTTTGTTAATGTATTACACCACCCCTTTATTTCCCCCTGACCATTTTAGGCATTTGTGAGTATTTTGGATGACTGTAGTAGTCGTGATGTTGTAAGGAGTTAGCATCATCAGCTCTCTGATTGTTCATTCAGACAGTGGTGTGATATAACTGCAGATTAGGTGTGCATTGTAGCAATCTCCTCAGGGAGAGACTTAAGTAGAAAGAAAGACAGACACAACTTGTTAGCCTGTAGTAAGAATTGTAACAGTTGTATGCTGTCGGTTTACTGCTGTGTACTGCTGTTGTGGGAATAAGCTCTGTACTAGAGATTTAATGCTGGTCATACATCCATTGCTTGTGATTTGATTCAGAGTAATTTACCTACACAATCTACGCAAGGCGTTCTGTGGGAATTTAACTTTTCACCTTTTCAGGTGAGAAACTTTTACATTACTACCTACTGAAGAAGTAGAGCCGAACTTTGTAACTCAAACAAGTTCTAGCCGGAGGTTACAACTTTCTCAAAATCGGAGAAGTATAAAATGCAGATACAGGAAGACTCGGTTGCTCTTCACATACAGTCAATGCTCGCAAGTCGCAATTGGAAAGGATTGCCCTTTTGAATGAATGGACAATTAGAAAATGAAGATGCCAATTTGTGTGTTTTGCCATATTCAGAGCCCTTTGAGCTGTGTAATTATGCCAGTCAAGGTGGTCCATTTCTCGAAAGCTGAGGCTGATGCATAGAAGGCGACTTTCGAGGATTCGATGTCGTTGCCAACGACTGCAGAAGAATCACAACAAAGGATTGTTTAATCTGAAAGGATTCATATTGATTCGATTAACTTCTACTCTCATGATCAGCAAACACAACCCACCTGAAGAAATCAATGAAGCTAGGGAGGAGTTGAAGGTGTCCACTTCGGTTTTCTCTTCAGGGCCCGAGCTCAACTGCATTAGCATCGAAGGAGAACCAACTAGTGAGTGAAGATGCTTTTGGTAAAAAGGAAGCATTCAAAATTGTGAAGTGGGTTTCTCATTAATCATTATCTACATACCTTGGCAAAGGCTACATTGGCCTTTTGAACCCAATCAGCATTGGTCCCTTTGCCAAGAACTGAACCAGCTGCAGGTAGGTCACTGTTCTCTATAGCTTGGCCTACTTTACTCAGATTGTAAACCACATCTTGCAAATACCCTGCCAAACGTTCAAACCCCCTTTGTCACAAAATTCAACATCCAGTTCACTCAATCTGGAAGCAACAAATTACTAACACAGCCATCAAAGATCAAAACTTTACTTCACTCCACACAAGGGTAAGGGTCAATTAACTTAGAAGAAAGAAAGGGTACCAGTTTCTTTCTTGGCAGAGTTGAGAACCCCTTGCCTCTCAATCCTCCTCTTCCTGTCCAGCTTCACTTTCTCCATGAGTTCATCATCTTCATCAGCTTCCAGTATAGCAGCATGAGCAGAAGAAGTAGTCATGTCTGCTGCATTGGGCAGTGATGAGAAAGCAAGGCCAGTGATTAGGCAAATCGCTAAGCTTCTCCTCTTGGTCACTACATCAGGGGATTCTGCTGCTGATGAGGATTCATTGGAAGCTCTGCATAAATTGGGGAGCTTCTTGGCTGTCCTCGAGGGCTGTAGAACTGCTAGTGAAGAAGATGAGGAATGAGGTAATGGTGATTGAGATGTTGGGGAAGGGTGAGATGGGGAGAGGAAGGTGTTTGCTGTTGAGAGGAATGGAGTTGCCATTCTTGTTCTGAGAATTTCTTTTTTCTTGGGTTTTTATTGTTTTGTTTGGAGGACAAATTTCGAATCCTTATATGAGTTGAGGCTGGAGAGGTGGGAAGTTTGTCTTGTTGAGAGGATAAGGTCTTGACGGTGATGCTCGGATTGGTATTTTAAGTATCAAATGAATTCCAAATTTCCAATAACAAAGAAATTTTGACAAATAATGGGTAACTTTTGTCTCCGAAACCGTCCATGGTGGTAGTGGTAATGTTTATGAATCGCTATTTTTAAGTATTTTGTGTACCAAAACCACTCAGATTCGTATATATAACAAGTAACACTTTAATCATCCGTAAATCATTCAAGAGGTGGATCTATCTCGAACCCGCATATGAACAAGTTTTAATATGGATAGTACGTCTCACCTAAATTACGAAAATAATATATAAAAAGAGTATACTCATAAAAAATTATTGACATCTGAATTCTTTTTTAGTTATATCCTTCTTTCCTTTGGTTCATTGTTCAATTAATAAAATTTCGTTTTAGGTCACTTTTCTCTATAGGCATTGATCAAGTAGGTTGGTTCCTTCACCTACTAGCCAAAGCATAAATTGTGATAATTAAGTGGACAAAGCAATAGTATTATTTATATGTTTAAGTGAGTGTTACAAAACAGCTAAGAGTAATGTAGTTAAAATAACATTTTTTATATTTTTTCATGGCTTCTTTTAGTTTTCAACTAATAAAACAATCATTTGGTTTAGGGTGATAAGATTTTTGTCTTCTAAGCTGCCAACATTAAGAAATAAGAGGGGTTGAGTCACCTAATTAATTAATGTATACTCTAGATTATTAATTCTCGCTAATTGTTTCTTTATGGGATCGAAACACTTTGCAACTAATCAAATCCAAAATATTTATTTACAAATTATAACAATGAATATTAGGTTAGACAAAAGAGGGGTTGGTGTGTGAACTAATGCATCATCCATTGTCATTGTACAATGAAGTTGATTGGGCTCCACGCGTTATTAATTTTGTCACATTCATCACCTTGACTAAAGCTCAATGATGATTCATCAAAGAAATAAGGCCCCATAATGAAAAAGCATCCTAAAATGCACACCCATAAATTAGATATCAAAACTATTCTTCTTCCATTAAAAATAGTCAATATTCAAAATAGTCATATAAATGTGGACCCGATCATGTGTCACCGTTTGTCGGTATAATCCTATTCGACTTTTGAATGGAGATAAGCTCAAATGAAAATTTTTAACTTTGCTTAACGAGTGGTAAAACGGGTCTCTTCACATCCAACTCGAAAGTAGGAGTTGAGAAGAGAGGAAAATGTTCGGACCCAAATTTGAATGACATAAAATATATCACAAATGCACTAAAGCATGTTCTACAACTACGAGTAGCTACAATAGTTGAGATGATAAAACCACATCGAGATGCACTTGAATGTGTAATGTGTTGCGAGGTTGCACACTAGTGATTAGAAGTAACTCATCCATTTCGTATGAAAATTAACCATTTTTATACCAATCCGACATAGCCCATCAACACAAAAGGGAACCTGAAAAAATTAAATTCAATTACCATACGACGTCTGGATGAAAATATATTTAAAAACTTGGAAACGACAATTTAATAAGTAATTAACTCACTAATCAATCTCGCTAATAACTTCAACCCACCAGAATTAAATAGAGAGTAAGTTCAGACCCCGAAGCCCAAAACCCTCTCTTTCTCTCCCCCATCTTCCCGATTTTCCTTCCCACAGGAGAAAACGACCGCCATAAACAAATTTCTTAGTTATGCCCTTTTTGGGCCTTCGGAATATCACGTCGACAGAAAGATCAGGATCTCAGGAGATAGAGAGAGGGGTAGTGGAAGATTAGATTAGGTAAAGGGGGAAAAGAAAGCACAGAACCCAGCTGATGGGGAAGACCAAGGTGAAATTCTCCTTGTGATTTGAGCTGGTGGAAGAGAGAGTGAAAGTTGGAATCTTTTCTTTTATCTACTCGTATGGAATGCCATCACCACCTTACCACAATCAGCAGCAGACGAGGAGAAGGAATAAAGTGGGGGAGAAGAAGAATTGCTGCAGCTGTTTTGGGTTCTGGGTTTGTGCTCAAAAGATCTTTCTCCTCAACAGTTGAAGTTGAAACTTAGGATCAGTTTCTTTTTTCTGAATCCCAGTATAGTTGCAATGAGTCAGCACCATAAACTTGGATTTATTCTGTTCTTGCTCTTCTTTGGTCCAATGGGTAATCAGCTGCTCCCCCCTTTTTGAATTTTTTACTTGCTTACTTTTGGTAGTATGATTACTCTTCAACATGATTGATCCTAGATTTTCTCTGTACATAGATTGATTGAATTCGTGATCACGATTGCTTTGTGTCTTCTGTGTTCTTTTGGTGATTGATTGGTGGATTGAGCTTGGTTTTCCCTCGCTATCTTCCTTCTGAATCAATCTTTTTTCTGTTCTTGATAGTTTGAAATCCTGTTGACTCATGTCAATTTGAGGTCTAATTGCTCTTTGTGTGACAGTCTACTTGTCTTGATAAGCTTCACTTGCTCTTTAGTTAGCAAGTCAAAGTTGCTGATACACAATTCCAAACACAGCTTCAGAAAACTCAACTAGATTGCTCTAGGGACAATTGGGTCATCGATGAGCGAATTCAGCGGTGGAATTGAGCTTAAATTCCTTCTATTGAAGAAAATATGACGATTCTGTCCACTTGGATAGCCATAAATGGAGTCCCAAATATGTGGATTGATTCTCCAAGGCCCTAATCTCTTCCTAGCTATTTAAGGGCTTTGCCTAACGTTTTCTGCTTCTGTTCTTTACCATATTTGCCTCACTCTAGATCACCATTCAGTGTCTAATGTGTTACTGTTGTCGATTTTCTCTTTTCATGTGCTGCAGCATCACTATCAGACCCAGCATTCGTCGGAACATACGGAATAAACTATGGAAGACTCGCTGACAACATTCCATCCCCCGACAAAGTGGTCACTCTTCTCCGGTCAGCAAAGATACGTAATGTTCGTATCTTTGATGCTGACCACAGCGTGCTCACTGCATTCAGTGGAGCAGGGTTCAAGCTCGTGATCGGGCTTCCCAATGGATTTATCAAAGACATGAGCAGTAATGCAAGCAATGCTTTGAGCTGGGTCAAAGACAACGTCCAGAAATTCATGCCAGGAATATGTGGCGTGGCAATAGGAAATGAAGTTTTAGGAGGAAGCGATGCCGAGCTCTATGGTGCTCTTTTAGGTGCAGTCAAGAACATCCACAGCGCTCTAAGCCAGCTCGGGTTATCGGATGCAGTTCAAGTCTCCACAGCTCACTCGCAGGCCGTCTTCTCCAACTCCTACCCTCCTTCCTCGTGTGTATTCCGGGAGAACATTGCTCAGTACATGAAGTCGTTGCTGCAGTTCTTCTCGGAAGCAGGATCCCCGTTCTGCTTGAACGCATACCCATTCCTCGACTACATGAACGATCCGGCAAGCATCGACATTAATTACGCACTTTTCCAGAAGACGAAAGGGATCTTCGATCCGAAGACTGAGCTGCACTATGATAACATGCTTGATGCCCAGATAGATGCTGCGTATGCTGCTCTGGAAGATGCAGGGTTCGACAAGATGGAAGTTATAGTGACAGAGACGGGGTGGGCTTCTAAAGGTGACGGGAATGAAGCTGCTGCAACCCCAGAGAATGCAAGGATTTACAATTTTAACCTGCGTAAGAGGCTGGCAAAGAAGAAAGGCACTCCTAGGAGGCCGAAGAACGTGGTGAAGGCATATGTTTTTGCTACTTTTAACGAGAATCAGAAGCCTGGTCCGACTTCTGAGAGGAATTTCGGCCTCTTTAAGCCGGATGGGAGCATTGCCTATGATGTTGGGTACAAAGGGCTTACATCTTCTTCTGCTGATTCAATAGTTCTGTCATTGAAGGTAAACACTCAACTTCCCTTTTTTCTCGGTTTGCTTCTCTTCATTCCCCATACTGACCACACCTAGAACTCCTAGTTTCTGAATGCAGTCCAGTCTTTGTATGTCTTCATTAGCTTATCGCCTCCTGGGTTATACTCATTGATGCAGGGTTTTCCAGCTCGAGGTTTATTGAGGTCGTATCAGTTGGTTTCGACAATCTGTACCCTGGTATTGCTTCTGTTGTTAAGACAGTGATGTTCAAGAAACAATTCATCTTTTGTAAAGCAGGCACTCGGAGACCAACAACGGAAGAGAGTTCAGATAGCTATACAGATGCAATACGAATTCATGTCAAACTTCAACAGTACGTACCAAATAATATTGGCTTTTTCTTGCTATGATAACATATTCCTTTAGAGAAATGGCTGATTGTCTTTAGCTCTCTAGCAAGAGTATACCCTGCTGTACAAAAGGGCTAAGGCTGCTGCTCTGGTTCCTGAGGAACTTGAGCTGTAACAGGCGACATAAATCACATCAAACCGATCTGTTGATCAAGCTAGCAACTTTTTGCTTTGACCTGAGACTGAGACAGACTTTGGCTTTACAGGTTGAATTAGACATGTTTCTAATTGGGGGCCTGTAGTCTCAATCCGAAGAGAACAAAGTAATAGGCTTTCCTAATCCAAACTAGATTCGGCTTTCATATATTACCATTTATATATGTCTATTAATCGGAGTTTCAAATCGCTTTCTCATTCTCATCTACCACCGGCACCGCATACTTTCTCCTTCACCGGCGGCGTGCTAATCTTCGTGTCCATCCTGTAAGTTCTACCGCCGCTATGGCGAGCGAGAACTGCACATCCTACCCAGATTTGGATCTGGAGCTAAGATTAGGTCTTCTCCCTTGCGCGTCCAGGAAACGACGGCGGGTCGATGACTCGGAAGAAGTAAACCCTCCTTCTCCGATCAGCAATCTCGGTGACGATCTCCTAGCAGAAGTTCTGATTCGCCTTCCGGAACCCAGATCCGCCTGGCGATGCAAAGCAGTCTGCAAGCGATGGAAGTCTCTGATTTCCGATCCCCACTTCGTTGGCCGTTTCATTTCTCACCACCAGAGCAGATGGAACCGATACGGCGGCGGCGAATTCGAAGAACCACCTTTGATGGCCTCATGCTTCGGCGAATCCATTTTGAGCTTCCTCCCCCTGCCTGATAAATTAGGTTTCGAACAACGATGGTATTTCCGAGTTTTTGATTCCTACAAGGACTTGGTTTTGTGCGGATTTACCGAGGCAGGGGGATTTCGTGCCGAATATCCGAGATCTCTCTTCCTCTGCAACCCGTTTACGGAGCAGTGGATCGCTCTTCCTCTAGCGCCTGAATCGTGGCGGTCTTCTGCGATTGGATTTAAGGAGGCAAGGTTAGTTTGTGAACCCCGCTCTAATGTTGAACTTGATCTAGGAGATGGCCAAAAACCATTTGTTTATTCCTCTGCATATCGGTTTCGGGTGGTCTGTATATATCCCTTGCCCGATTCTATAAGGATAGACGTGTTTTGTTCCGAGTCTGGAGAGTGGACGAAGGAGGCTCTTGTTCTTAATGAGCATCTCTTATGGTTTAATCTTAATGTAGTTTCTACATCGTGCAACGGAGGGTTGTTTTGGTTCTGTATGAATTCCAGAGTTTTGGGGTTTCATCCAATAATTGCTGGGTTTAATCCCTTTCGCTTTGATGTACCTCCCATCCGATTTAACGCTTCTCGACTCCCCATGGGTAGCTGGAATATTTCGGTCTCACAAGGTGCTCTACACCTAATTTCACTTAGGCATACATTTGCTCCACCTACATTTTTGAGTGTTTTGAGACTGGAAGAAGACCGTAAATCTTGGAGTATACAACATAGAACCGTGTTAAGGAGGACAATCCAACATTGCGGCTATGAACTTAAGGACTGGAATGTAGCTGGTTTGCATCCAGAGAAGCCGCACATTGTCTTCTTCAAACGTCCTGGTTTTGATGATGATCATCCTCGTGGTGTTGTACTGTCCTACGATATGAAGACTGGAGAGCTAGGGTTGTTTGGTGAGTTTGTTCCCAGATTCCAGCCTAGGGTTTCTTGCTGGCCTACCCCGATTCCAAGGTACGAGGAACTGCGAGCTATATACGATGGGCGGCACAGCTGTTGGGTTCAACAGAGCAGCCGCAAAGCAGCAACTCTCTCCCTGAACAAACGGTAATAATCTACTCATGCTTGTACAAATGTCTACTTTGTTTTCTGCATTTGCTTTGCATCTCTGTTTCGGGTTTAGGAATTCGCTAATAAAGTCCGAAAGAAGTTTCTGCATTTGCTTTGCATTTGTTTTTTTCCCCATCTTTTACGTATGTGTAGTTCTTTTCATTTTCTTACCCATGCTCTTCTTGTTGCTAATATTACCTTTTCATCCCATTTATGCAGTGTCTGGACTGCCAAAGAGAGAATTATGGAGTGGCTGGATTCTCAGAAGAAAGAATTTATGCAGTGGCTGGCTTAATTAAAAGACCCCCTCCCGTGTTAGGAAGCAGAAGGCGGTGAAGCTTGAAAGGTTTGCCCGTGTTGTTCAGAAGGATGGCGCCATTGGATGAAACTTTCGTCTGCAATTAGTCTTGGCTGTCTTTGACTTGTTGGAATGCCTGTGATCAATCTTATTCAAGAGGACCAGAAAGCAAGAGTGTCCAGGGTCCTTTACTTTCCCTGTACTATTATTGCCCTGAGCCATGGTTTTAGGCGCTGCAACTTGTTTAGGTAGCCAAAGTTTCTCTGTAAGATAGTTTATTTATTCAGCTGTCATGGAATGTAACAAGATCTATGTAGTTGTATATTGGATGCTACATATCTTAACTAGGGGTCCTAGTCCAACATTTGAAAAAAAAAAAGGATTAGGACCCCTCTTGCTTACGTAACATTTTTTAGTAATTTTAGTGACCAAACTTGCAATTTAGCCAAATCTTATATGTATATAAGGTTTAGTATGATCCTTGACATTTAGAACCTCATAATAATCTAGTAGATGTTACATTTTAGCTCACGACCTGAGTATCCAATCAACTCAAAATTCATTAAATACATAACAAAATTTTTGTGTTGTTAAAATTTTAAAAACCCCACTCAAGTCTGCTTGTGATTTCATTACACAATATACATATATCCCGAACAAAAAAAAAATTATAGTAAAAGACAGACGTCTTAGCTCGTATTAATAATTAAACCTTCATGGGAAATTCCCATAGCATCGTACAAAATCCAGTAGTGAAGCTCTGGATCGCCGCAAAATTACATTCTCTAAATGTACTACCGGCACCACCGTGGGCGGCGATGTATATAATAATATAAGAACGTGATCTCTAAACACCGGATTTCATGTGCATTATTTTCTCCAACTTTCTTGTCTTTCCTTCTCGTTTCTTAATTCTTATATATCAACTTATTCGGTTATTTGCATTAGAATGCGCTTATGATTGACGTACCGCGACTCATTCCATGCATGTATTTTAACACTTGAGGATTTTTTGTTTTTCATTGTGAAATCGAGAAACAAACTATGACATGCTGAATGAAGTTGAATTATTCAAGAAATTTAGGTTCTCACCTAACTACAATTTTATTGTAGCTAAAATATAATGTAGAAAAGGGTAAATTAATGTTAAGTAAAAAAAATTACATATAGTTACACAAAATGGGTCGAGAGACAAATGAATAAAAAAATCCAGTAGTGTAACCATACCCATATCACTCTGAAACAGCCTCGAACAAGTCAAGTAGAACGGATCAAATCGAAATCACCATTCCTATTCTCCATCCTGTGTCATCACCCATTCTTTGATAACAACCCAACAACCCATGCTGATACCACAGAGGCCTGTGACCAACTTCATATCCTCCCACCGGCCAATATTTTACTGCCCACTCTTCATCAAGTGACATGCTACTACGTACTTATCATGTTGCCGCCGGCCACCGCCGCCCCTCCTGTCACCAAAACGTCATACGTTAACACCAGCAGAGCTCCCCAATATATATAGACGAAATCTGACTTGGTCTATTAATGCTGATTGCTGAAGACGTAAAAGTTAATCGATGTCTGGATTTTTCACCACTTACGATGTATGGGCTTATACACGTTTTGGTTTCTGTTATTGATCTGGTTTGTATATAGTCTTACGATGTATGGGCTTATTATTTACCATATTAGATTAGATCGAGTTAGGCCACATGAAGAAGTACTATATATACTTCTCAATCTCTTTATAATCTATAATCTTATCAAGTATAGTAGTGAAACTTGTTAATTTATATTATAAAGTACCAATGTGTAAATATCCAGGTTTAGGGTTCTAAACCTATATATATTACCTGTGTAACTTGTAGAGAGGTAATTAAGCAATAAGAAACAAAAAAACCTATGAGGGAGATTCTCACCGTGGACTAGTGTTATATTGACGAAACCACGTTAAAAAATCTTGGTGTTCCTTTGTTTTTAGTATATTTTAACATGGTATCAGAGCCTGCGATCTGAGATCCTAGGCGTGTTTCATTTTGTTGAAAGAAAATGGCATTTAGGGAAATCGCACGAAATATGTGATGGCGCACCCCTTTGGAATCCGACAAAAATTGGTCCGGAATAAATCCGCCCAAATCGGTGCTTAATGGACTTAATCATCCTTGAAGAATAGTCTCAGACCGAATATGTGATCTGTACCCTTCAAAATCCAAGTAAAATGGGCCTTCGAAAAAAAAATTGCCAAAAAATTACGAAAATGTCATCCTAAAAGTAATTCCCCCAAATTGTTGCTTAATGGACTAAATCGTCGATGGAGAACAGGATCCATAGACTTCACCATCAGTGGAGAATAGCCTCGGGCGGAATCCGTGATATGTAGCCTTCAAAATCGAAAGAAAATGACATTTCGAGAAAGCGGCCGAAATCTGTGATGGTACCCCTTTGGAATCTGACAAAAATTGACACGGAATAAATCCAAACAAATCGGTGCTTAATGAACTTAATAATCCTTGAAGAATAGTCTCACGGCGAATCTGTGATCTGTAGCCTTAAAAATCCAAGTTATATGGCCCTTCGATAAAAATCGGCCAAAAATTTACGAAAATGCAATCCTAAAAGTAATCCCCCCAAATTGTTGCTTAATTGTCTTAATCGTCGGTGGACAACAGGATCCATAGACTTCACCATCAGTGGAGAATAGCCTCAGGCAGAATCCGTGATCAGTATACTTCAAAATCGAAAGAAAATGGCATTTCGAGAAAATTGCCTGAAATTTGTGATGGTACCCCATTGGAATCGGACAAAAATTGACACGGAATAAATTCGCCCAAATCGGTGCTTAATGGACTTAATCATCATTGAAGAATAGTCTCAGGTGGAATCTTTGTTCTGTAGCCTTCAATATCCAAGTAAAATGACCCTTAGAAAAAAAGTCACGCAAAAAATTACGAAAATGCTATCCTAAAAGTAATTCCCTCAAATTGTTGCCTAATGAACTTAATCGTCGGTGGAGAACTGGATCCATACACTTCACCATCAGTGGAGAATAGCCTCAGCCAGAATCCGTGATCCGTAGCCCTGAAAATCGAAAGAAATTTCCATTTCATGAAAATCGCCTAAAAACTGTGATGGTACCCCCTTTGGAATCTGGCAAAAATTGACTATGAATAAATCCGCCCAAATCGGAGCTTAATGAACTTAATCATCCTTGAAGAATAGTCTCATGCCGAATCTGCTATCTGTAGCCTTCAAAATCCAAGTAAAATGGCCCTTCAAAAAAAAATCGCTCAAAAATTACGAAAATGCCATTCTTAAAGTATTTCCCCCAAATTTTTGCTTAAGGGATTTAATCATCGGTGGAGAACAGGATCCATAGACTTCACCATCAGTGGAGAATAGCCTCGGGCAGAATCTGTGGTCCGTAGCCTTCAAAATTGAAAGAAAATGGCATTTCGGGAAAATCGCCCGAAATCTGTGATGGTACCCCTTTGGAATATGGCAAAATTTGACCCGGAATAAATCCCTCCAAATCGGTGCTTAATGGACTTAATAATCCTTGAACAATAGTCTCAGGCGAATCTGTGATCTGTAGCCTTCAAAATGCATGTAAAATATCCTTTCGAAAAAAAAAGTTTAAAAAATTACGAAAAATGTCATCCTAAAAGTAATTCCCCCAAATTGTTGCTTAATGGACTTAATCGTCGGCGGAGAACAGGATCCATAGACTTCACCATCGATGAAGAATAATCTCTGACCTGATCCGTGATCTAAAGCTTTCAAAATTGAAAGAAAATGTCATTTCGGGAAAATCGCCCGAAAGTTGTGATGGTACCCCTTTGGAATCTGACGAAAATTGACCCGGAATAAATCTACCCAAATTGGTGCTTAATGGACTTAATCGTCTTTGAAGAGTAGTCTCAGATAAAATCTGTGATCGGTAGCCTTCAAAATCCCAGTAAAATGGCATTTCTAAAAAAAAGTCACGCAAAAAATTACGAAAATGCTATCCTAAAAGTAATTCTCTCAAATTGTTGCTTAATGGACTTAATCGTCGGTGGAGAACTGGATCCATAGACTTCACCATCAGTGGAGAATAGCCTCGGCCAGAATCTGTGATCCGTAGCCTTCAAAATCGAAAGAAAATTTCATTTCTTGAAAATCGTCCGAAAACTGTGATGGTACCCCTTTGGAATCTGGCAAAAATTGACCCTAAATAAATCCGCCCAAATCGGAGCTTAATGGACTTAATCATCCTTGAAGAATAGTCCCAGACAGAATTTGTGATCTGTTGCCTTCAAAATCCAAGTAAAATGGCCCTTCAAACAAAAAAAAAACGCCCTAAAAATTACGAAAATGCCATTCTTAAAGTATTTCTCCCAAATTGATGCTTAAGGGATTTAATCATCGGTGAAGAACAGGATCCATAGACTTCACCATCAGTGGAGAAGAGCCTCGTGCAGAATTCGTGATCCGTAGCCTTCAAAATCGAAAGAAAATGGCATTTCGGGAAAATCGCCCGAAATCTGTGATGGTACCCCTTTGGAATCTGACAAAAATTGACCCGGAATAAATCTTCCGAAATCGGTGCTTAATGGACTTAATCATCCTTGAACAATAGTCTCAAGCGAATATGTGATCTGTAGCCTTCAAAATGCATCTAAAATAGCCCTTCGAAAAAAAAATCATCTAAAAAATTATGAAAACTGTCATCCTAAAAGTAATTCCCCCAAATTGTTGCTTAATGTACTTAATCGTCGATGGAGAACAGGATCCATAGACTTCACCATCGGTGGAGAATGACCTCTGACTTGATCCGTGATCTATAGCTTTCAAAATTGAAAAAAAATGTCATTTCGCGAAAATCGCCCGAAAACTTTGTTGGTACCCTTTTGAAATCTGAGAAAAATTGACCCGGAATAAATCTACCCAAATCGGTTTTAATGGACTTAATCATCCTTGAAGAGTAGTCTCAGATGAAATCTGTGATCGGTAGCCTTCAAAATCCCAGTAAAATGGTCATTCTAAAAAAAGTCATGCAAAAAAATACGAAAATGCTACCCTTAAAGTAATTCTCTCAAATTGTTGCTTAATGGACGTAATCGTCGGTGGAGAACTGGATCCATAGACTTCACCATCAGTGGAGCATAGCCTCGGGCAGAATATGTGATCCGTAGCCTTCAAAATCGAAAGAAATTTTCATTTCTTGAAAATCGCCCGAAATCTGTGATGGTACCCCTTTGGAATCTAGCAAAAATTGACCCGGAATAAATCCACCCAAATCGGAGCTTAATGGACTAAATCATCCTTGAAGAATAGTCTCAGACCGAATATGTGATTTCTAGCCTTCACAATCCAAGTAAAATGGTTATTCGAAGAAAAATCGTCCAAAAAATTACGAAATTGTCATCCTATAATCAATTCCCCCAAATTATTGCTTAATTGACTTAATAGTCAGTGGAGAAAAGGATTCATAGACTTGACCATCTGTGGAGAATAGTCTCGGGCATAATTCGAGATCTGTAGCCTTCAAAATCGAAAGAAAATGGTATTTTGAGAAAATCACACGAAATCTGTGATGGTACCCCATTAGATTCTGACAAAAATTGAGACGGAATAAATCCGCTCAAATCGGTGCTTATTGGACTTAAGCATCCTTGAAGAATAGTCTCAAGTGAAATCTGTGATCTGTAGCCTTCAAAATCCAAGTAAAATGGCCCTCCAAAAAAAGTCGCAGAAAAAATTACCAAAATGCCATCCTAAAAGTAATTCCCCCAAATTTTTGCTTAATGGACTTAATCGTCGGTGGAGAACAAGATCCATAGACTTCACCACCGATGGAGAATAGCCTATGGCTCGATCCGTGATCCGTAGCCTTCAAAATCTCAAGAAAATGCCATTTCAGGAAAATCGCCCGAAATTTGTGATGTTACCTCTTTGGAATCCGACAAAAATTGACCGCTAATAAATTCCCCCGAATCGGTGCTTAATGGACTTAGTCATCCTTGAAGAATAGTCTCAGGGCGAATCTGTGTTCTCTAGCCTTCAAAATCCAAGAAAAATGGTCATTCGAAAAAAAATCACCAAAAAATTTACTAAAATGACATCCTAAAAGTAATTCACCCAAATTGTTGCTTAATGGACTTAATCGTAGGCGGGGAATAAGATCCATAGACTTCACCATCGGCGGAGAATAGCCTCGGGCCGAATCACTGATCTGTAGCATTCAAAATCGAAAGAAAATGGCATTTCGGGAAAATCGCCCGAAATCTGTGTTGGTACCCCTTTGGAATCTGACAAAAATTGACCCGGAATAAATATGCTCAAATGGGTGCTTAATGGACTTAATCATACTTGAAAAATTGTCTCAAGCCGAATCTGTGATCTGTAGTCTTCAAAATATAAGTAAAATGGCCCGTTGAAAAAAATCGCCCTAAAATTTACGAAAATGTCATCCTAATAGTAATTACCCCAAATTGTTGTTTAATGGACTTAATCGTCGGTGGAGAACAGGATTCATAGACTTCACTATCAGTGGAGAAAAGCCGCTAGCCCGATCTGTGATCCGTAGCCTTCAAAATCTCAAAAAAGTCATTTCAGGAAAATCGCCTGAAATCTGTGATGGTACCCCTTTGGAATCTTACAAAAATTGACCCGGAATAAATCAACTCAAATCGCTACTTAATGGAGTTAATCATCCTTGAAGTATAGTCTCAGGCCAAATTTGGGATAGTAGCATTCAAAACCAAAGAGAAATGGCCCTTCGAAAAAAAATCGACAAAAAATTTACGAAAATGTCATCCTAAAAGTAATTCCCCATAATTGTTACTTAATTGACTTAATCGTCGGTGGAGAACAGGATCCATAGACTTCACCATCAGTGGAGAATAGCGTCAAACCCGATCTGTGATCCGTAGTCTTCAAAATCGAAAGAAAATGTCATTTCGGGAAAATCGCGCCGAAATCTGTAATGGTACCCCTTTGGAATCTATAACAAAAATTGACCCGCAATAAATCCGCCCGAACCGGTGCTTAATGAACTTAATCATCCTAAAAGAATAGTCTCAGGCCAAATCTGTGATCTGTAGCCTTCAAAATCGAAGTAAAACAGTCATTCGGAAAAAAAATCGCCTAATAATTTACGAAAATGTCATCCTAAAAGTAATTCCCCCAAATTGTTGCTTAATGGACTTAATCGTAGGCGGAAAATAGGATCCATAGACTTCACAATCGGAGAGTATAGCCTCAACCTGAATCACTGATCCGTAGGATTCAAAATCGAAAGAAAATGGCATTTCGGTAAAATCACCAGAAATCTGTGATGGTACCCCTTTGGAATATGACAAAAATTTACCCGGAATAAATCTGCCCAAATGGGTGCTTAATGGACTTAATCATACTTCAAAAATAGTCTCAGGCCGAATCTGTGATCTGTAGTCTTCAAAATCCAAGTAAAATGACCTTTCGAAAAAAATCGACCAAAAAAATACGAAAATATCATCCTAAAAGTAATTTCCCATTGTTGCTTAATGGACTAAATCGTCGGTTGAGAATAGGATCCATAGACTTCACCATTGGTGGAGAATAGGCTCTGGCCTGATCTGTGATCCGTAGGCTTCATAATCTCTAGAAAATGTCATTTCGTGGAAATCGCCCGAAATCTGTGATGGTACCCCTTTGGAATCTGACAAAAATTGACCCTGATTAAATCCGCCCAAATCAATGCTTAATGGACTTAATCATCCTTGAAGAATAGTCTCAGGCCAAATCTGTGATCTGTAGCATTCAAAATCCTAGAAAAATGGCCCTTCGAAAAAAAAAATCGCCCAAAAATTTACGAAAATGCCATCCTAAAAGTAATACCCCCCAAATTGTTGCTTAATTGACTTAATCGTCGGTGGAGAACAAGATCCATAGACTTCACTATCAGTGAAGAATACCATCCGGCCCGATCCGTGATCCGAAGTCTTCAAAATTGAAAGAAAATGTCATTTCGGGAAAATCGCCCGAAATTTGTGATGGTACCTCTTTGAAATCTGACAAAAATTGACCCTGAATAAATCCGCCCAAATTGGTGCTTAATGAACTTAATCATCCTTGAAAAATAGTCTTAGGCCGAATCAGTGATCTGCAGCTTTCATAATCCAAGTAAAATGGCCCTTCGAAAAAAATCGCCCAAAAATTATGAAAATATCATCATAAAAGTAATTTCCCCAAATTGTTGTTTAATGGACTTAATCGTCGGTGGAGAACAGGATCCATAGACATCACCATCGTTGGAGAATAGCCTCTGGCCCGATCAATGATCCATAGCCTTCAAAATATCAAGAAAATGTCATTTCGGGAAAATCGCTAGAAATCTGTGATGGTACCCCTTTGGAATCTGACAAAAATTGACCGAGAATAAATCCGCCAAAATCGGTGCTTAATGGACTTAATCATCCTTGAAGAATAGTCTCAGGCCAAATCTGTGATCTGCAGCATTCAAAATCCAAGAAAAATGGCCCTTCGGAAAAAAATCGCCCAATAATTTACGAAAATGTCATCCTAAAAGTAATTCGCCTAAATTGTTGCTTAATTGACTTAATCGTCGGTGGGGAACAAGATCCATAGACTTCACTATCAGTGAAGAATAGCATCCGGCCCGATCCGTGATCCGTAGTCTTCAAAATTGAAAGAAAATGTCATTTTGGGAAAATCGCCTGAAATCTATGATGGTACCCCTTTGAAATCTAACAAAAATTGACCCGTAATAAATCCGCCCAAATTGGTTCTTAATGAACTTAAATACTTAATCATCCTTGAAGAATAGTCTCGGGCCGAATCAGTGATCTGTCCTTTCAAAATCAAAGTAAAATGGACCTTCGAAAAAAAAATTGTCCAAAAAATTACGAAAATGCCATCCTAAAAGTAATTCCTCAAATTGTTGCAAAATGGACTGAATCGTCGGTGGAGAACAGGATCCATAGACTTCACCACCGATGGAGAATAACCTCTGGCCCGATCCGTGATCCGTAGCCTTCAAAATTGAAAGAAAATGTCATTTCGGGAAAATTGCCCGAAATCTGTGATGATACCCCTTTAGAATCTGACAAAAATTGACATGTAATAAATCCGCCCAAATCGGTGCTTAATTGACTTAATCATCCTTGAAAAACAGTCTTAGGCCGAATATGGGATTTGTAGCCTTCAAAATCCAAGTAAAATGGACCTTAAAAAAATCGCCCTAAAATTTACAAAAATGTCATCCTAAAAGTAATTCCCCCAAACTATAGCTTAATGGACTTAATTGTAGGCGGAGAATAGGTTCCATAGACTTCACTATCGATGGAGAATAGCCTCGGGCCGAATCAATGATTCGTAGTATTTATCGAAAGAAAATGGCATTTCGGGAAAATCGCGTGAAATCTGTGATGGTACCCCTTTGGAATCTGACATAAATTGACCAGGAATAAATCTTCCCAAATGGGTGCTTAATGGACTTAATCATCCTTGAAGAATAGTCTCAGGCCTAATATGTGATATGTAGCCTTTAAAATTCAAGTAAAATGGCCTTTAGAAAACAAATCACCCAAAAATTACGAAAATGTAATTCTAAAAGTTATTCCCTCAAAATGATTATTAATGGACTTAATCGTCGGTGGAGAACCGGATCCATAGATTTCACCATCAGTCGAGAATAGCCTCCGGTAGAATCCGTGATCCGTAGATTTCAAAATCAAAATAAAATGGCATTTCGGGAAAATCGGTTGAAATCTGCGATGGTACCCCTTTGGAATCTGGCAAAAATTGACACAGAATAAATCTTCCCAAATCGGTGCTTAAAGGACTTAATCATACTTGAAAAATAGTCTCAGGGTGAATCTGTGATCTGTAGTCTTCAAAATCCAAGTAAAATGGCCTTTCGAAAAAAATCGCCCAAAAAATTATGAAAATGTCATCCTAAAAGTAATTCCCTCAAATTGTTATTTAATGGACTTAATCGTCGGTGGAGAACGGGATCCATAGACATCACCATCGTTGGAGAATAGCCTCTGGCCGATCCGTGATCCATAGCTTTCAAAATCTCAAGAAAATGTCATTTCGGGAAAATCGCCCGAAATCTGTGATGGTACCCCTTTGGAATCTGACAAAAATTGACCCAGAATAAATTCGCCCAAATCGGTGCTTAATGGACTTAATCATCCTTGAAGAATAGTCTCAGACCAAATCTGTGATCTGTAGCATTCAAAATCCAAGAAAAAGGTCATTCGGAAAAAAAATCGCCGAATAATTTACGAAAATGCCATCCTAAGAGTAATTCGCCCAAATTATTGCTTAATTGAGTTAATCGTCGGTGGGGAACAAGATCCAGAGACTTCACCATCAGTGAAGAATAGCCTCCGGCCCGATCCGTAGTCTTTAAAATCGAAAGAAAATGTCATTTTGGGAAAATCGCCCGAAATCTATTATGGTATCCCTTTCAAATCTGACAAAAATTGACCTCTAATAAATCCGTCCAAATTAGTGCTTAATGAACTTAATCATCCTTGAAGAATAGTCTTAGGCCGAATCAGTGATCTGTAGTTTTCAAAATCCAAGTAAAATGGCCCTTCAAAAAAAAATCACCCAAAAAATTACGAAAATGCCATCCTAAAAGTAATTTTCCAAATTGTTGCTTAATGGACTTAATCGTCGGTGGAGAACATGATCCATAGACTTCACCACCGATGGAGAATAGCCTCTGGCCCGATCTGTGATCCATAGCCTTCAAAATCGAAAGAAAATGTCATTTCGGGAAAAATTGCCCGAAATCTATGATGATACCACTTTGGAATCTGACAAAAATTGACCAGGAATAAATCCGCCCAAATCGGTGCTTAATTGGCTTAATCATCCTTGAAGAATAGTCTTAGGCCGAATCTGTTTGTAGCCTTCAAAATCCAAGTAAAATGGACCTTCAAAAAAAATTTGCCCTAAAATTTTCGAAAATGTCATCCTAAAAGTAATTCCCCCAAATTGTTGCTTAATGGACTTGATCGTAGGCGGAGAATAGGTTCCATAGACTTCACTATCGATGGAGAATAGCCTCGGGCCGAATCACTGATCCGTCGCATTCAAAATCGAAAGAAAATGGCATTTCGGGAAAATCCCCTGAAATCTGTGATGGTACCCCTTTGGAATATGACAAAAATTGACCCGGAATAAATCTGCCCAAATGGGTGCTTAATGGACTTAATCATCCTTGAAGAACAGTCTCAAGCCGAATATGCAATCTGTACCCTTCAAAATCCAAGTAAAATGGCCCTTCGGAAAAAAATTGCAAAAAAATTACGAAAATGCCATCCTAAAAGTAATTCCCCAAAATTGTTGCTTAATGGACTTAATCGTCGATGGAGAACAGGATCCATAGACATCAACATCAGTGGAGAATAACCTCGGGCGGAATCCGTGATCTGTAGCCTTCAAAATCGAAATAAAATGGCATTTCGAGAAAGCGTCTGAAATCTGTGATGGTACCCCTTTGGAATCTGACAAAAATTGACACAGAATAAATCCAAGCAAATGGTTCTTAATGGACTTAATCATCCTTGAAGAATAGTCTCACGACGAATATGTAATCTGTAGCCTTAAAAATCCAAGTTAAATGGCCCTTCGATAAAAATCAGCCAAAAAATTACGAAAATCCAATCCTAAAAGTAATTCCCCCAAATTGTTGCTTAATTGTCTTAATCGTCGGTGGACAACAGGATCCATAGACTTCACCATCAGTGGAGAATAGCCTCAGGCAGAATCCGTTATCACTATACTTCAAAATCGAAAGAAAATGGCATTTCGGGAAAATCGCCTGAAATCTGTGATGGTGTACCCCTTTGGAATCTGACAAAAATTGACCCGGAATAAATCTGCCTAAATGGGTGCTTAATGGACTTAATCATCCTTGAAGAACAGTCTCAGGGAGAATCTGTGATCTGTACCCTTCAAAATCCAAGTAAAATGGCCCTTTGAAAAAAAATTGCACAAAAAATTACGAAAATGCCATCCTAAAAGTAATTCTCCCAAATTGTTGCTTAATGGACTTAATCGTCGATGGAGAACAGGATCCATAGACTTCACCATCAATGGAGAATAGCCTCGGGCGGAATCCGTGATCTGTAGCCTTCAAAATCGAAAGAAAATGGCATTTTGAGAAAGCGCCCGAAATCTGTGATGGTACCCATTTGGAATCTGACAAAAATTGACACAGAATAAATCCAAACAAATCGGTGCTTAATGGACTTAATCATCCTTGAAGAATAGTCTCACGGCGAATCTGTGATCTGTAAACTAAAAAATCCAAGTTATATGGCCCTTCGATAAAAATCGGCCAAAAATTTACGAAAATGCAATCCTAAAAGTAATTCCCCCAAATTGTTGCTTAATTGTCTTAATCGTCAGTGGACAACATGATCCATAGACTTTTCATCAGTGGAGAATAGCCTCAGGCAGAATCTGTGATCAGTATACTTTAAAATCGAAAGAAAATGGTATTTCGAGAAAATTGCCTGAAAATTGTCTGATTGAGTCTCAAAACAAGAGACTCAATCAGGCAAAAGCTTTCTATTATTGATGGTGAAGGTTGCTAGATAGGGAAGCCTCTGAAGAAATTCTCTACCAAACTGATCTGGGAAGATCTCAGACCTTATAGTTCTGTGATTTCTTGGTTTAAATTGATCTGGAAACCCCCTATTATACCACGAAACCAGTTTGTTAGCTGGATGATAATTAATCAGTTCATCACTACAAGTGATAAAATGATTGGATGGGGCTTTCAGGGGGTCACTGCTTGTGTTTATTGTGATTGCAGGATTGAGACTCAAGACCATTTATTTGGAGAGTGCTGTAGGTACAAGGGACTATTCCAGAATCCGTAGCCTTCAAAATCAAAAGATATTTTCATTTCTTGAAAATCGCCCGAAAACTGTGATGGTACCCCTTTGGAATCTTGCAAAAATTGACTATGAATAAATCCGCCCAAATCGGAGCTTAATGGACTTAATCATCCTTGAAGAATAGTCTCAGGCCGAATCTGTGATCTGTAGTCATCAAAATCCAAGTAAAATGGCCCTTCGAAAAAAAAATCGCCAAAAATTTACAAATGTCATTCTTAAAGTATTTCCCCCAAATTTTTGTTTAAGGGATTTAATCATCGGTGGAGAACAGGATCCATAGACTTCACCATCAGTGGAGAATAGCCTCGGGCTGAATCTGTGATCCGTAGCCTTCAAAATCGAAAGAAAATGGCATCTCAGGTGGTGCCGAATCTGGAATTTGTAGCCTTCAAAATCCAAGTAAAATGGACCTTAAAAATAAATCGCCCTAAAATTTTCGGAAATGTCATCATATAAGTAATTCCCCCAAATTGTTGCGTAATGGACTTGATCGTAGGCGGAGAATAGGTTCCATAGACTTCACTATCGATGGAGAATAGCCTCGGGCTGAATCACTGATCCATAGCACTCAAAATCGAAAGAAAATGGCATTTCGATAAAATCGCCTGAAATCTGTGATGGTACCCCTTTGGAATCTGACAAAAATTGACCCGGAATAAATCTACCCAAATGGGTGATTAATGGACTTAATCATCCTTGAAGAACAGTCTCAGGCCGAATATGTGATCTGTAGCCTTTAAAATCCAAATAAAATGACCTTTAGAAGAAGAAAAAAATCGTCCAAAAAATTATGAAAATGTCATTCAAAAAGTAATTCCCTCAAAATGATTCTTAATGGACTTAATCGTCGGTGGAGAACAGGATCCACAGATTTCGCCATCAGTCGAGAATAGCCCATGGTAGAATCCATGATCCGTAGATTTCAAAATCAAAATAAAATGGCATTTCGGGAAAATTGGCCGAAATCTGTGATGGTACCCCTTTGGAATCTGACAAAAATTGACACGGAATAAATCTTTCCAAATCGGTGCTTAATCGACTAAATCATACTTGAAAAATAGTCTAGGCCCGAATCTGCGATCTAAAGTCTTCAAAATCCAAGTAAAATTGTCCTTCGAAAAAAAATAGCACAAAAAATTACGTAAATGTCATCCTAAAAGTAATTCCCCAAATTGTTGCTTAATGAACTTAATCGTCGATGAAGAACAGGATCCATAGACTTCACCACCGATGGAGAATAACCTCTGGCCCGATCCGTGATCCGTAGCCTTCAAAATTTAAAGAAAATGTCATTTCAGGAAAATTACTCGAAATCTGTGATAATACCCCTTTGAAATCTGACAAAAATTGACCTGGAATAAATTTGCCCAAATCGGTGCTTAATTGACTTAATCATCCTTGAAGAATAATCTTAGGCCGAATCTGTGATTTGTAGCTTTCAAAATCCAAGTAAAATGGACCTTTGAAAAAAAAAATCGCCCTAAAATTTACGAAAATATCATCCTAAAAGTATTTCCCCCAAATTGTTGCCTAATGGACTTAATCGTAGGCGGAGAATAGGTTCCATAGACTTCACTATCGATGGAGAATAGCCTCGAGCTGAATCACTGATCCATAGCACTCAAAATCGAAAGAAAATGGCATTTCGATAAAATCGCCTGAAATCTGTGATGGTACCCCTTTGGAATCTGACAAAAATTGACCCGGAATAAATCTACCCAAATGGGTGCTTAATGGACTTAATCATCCTTGAAGAACAGTCTCAGGCCGAATATGTGATCTGTAGCCTTTAAAATCCAAATAAAATGACCTTTAGAAGAAAAAAAAATCGTCCAAAAAATTATGAAAATGTCATTCAAAAAGTAATTCCCTCAAAATGATTCTTAATGGACTTAATCGTCGGTGGAGAACAGGATCCACAGATTTCGCCATCAGTCGAGAATAGCCCATGGTAGAATCCATGATCCGTAGATTTCAAAATCAAAATAAAATGGCATTTCGGGAAAATTGGCCGAAATCTGTGATGGTACCCCTTTGGAATCTGACAAAAATTGACACGGAATAAATCTTTCCAAATCGGTGCTTAATCGACTTAATCATACTTGAAAAATAGTCTAGGCCCGAATCTGCGATCTAAAGTCTTCAAAATCCAAGTAAATTGTCCTTCGAAAAAAAATCGCACAAAAAATTACGTAAATGTCATCCTAAAAGTAATTCCCCAAATTGTTGCTTAATGAACTTAATCGTCGATGAAGAACAGGATCCATAGACTTCACCACCGATGGAGAATAACCTCTGGCCCGATCCGTGATCCGTAGCCTTCAAAATTTAAAGAAAATGTCATTTCAGGAAAATTACTCGAAATCTGTGATAATACCCCTTTGAAATCTGACAAAAATTGACCTGGAATAAATTTGCCCAAATCGGTGCTTAATTGACTTAATCATCCTTGAAGAATAATCTTAGGCCGAATCTGTGATTTGTAGCTTTCAAAATCCAAGTAAAATGGACCTTTGAAAAAAAAAATCGCCCTAAAATTTACGAAAATATCATCCTAAAAGTATTTCCCCCAAATTGTTGCCTAATGGACTTAATCGTAGGCGGAGAATAGGTTCCATAGACTTCACGTCGATGGAGAATAGTTTCGGGTCGAATCACTGATCCGTAGCATTCAAAATTGAAAGAAAATGGCATTTCGAGAAAATCGCCTGAAATCTATAATGATAAAATTAAAAATTTCTCTCAATTCAGAATTCTATACGATACAATTTCACAAGCATTGAGATTTATAAAATTTAAAAAAATTATTATCCAGTATTATAATACAAGCTCCTGACTTTTACATTCCGTGTTTCTCTTCTTCCTCCTTTTTCCTTGGGAAACTTCTAAGTGGACCGGTTCTTACATCATTTTATAGCCCAATTTGACAAAAATAAATATAATAAATTACCAATTTGTGTGGAAAACGCATTCTTTGTCAATATTGATTTTATTTGTCTGAAATAGGAATGTTACATGGCTCATGTCATTCATGAGAAAGAAGAATCACCTTTTTATTAGTATATATTTCTTTCTACCACCTTTTTAGCATATGGAATAAGAATTTTATAGATGGTGTAATGTTTGCACAACATTCCATTCCACTAATCCTTCAAAGTCTTTCCACACCCTTTTAGCACACATTTCCACCGAATTTCCATACATATGAAAGATTTTAAGAATGTGTTGTCAATTCCCATAAGGGGTCGTTTGGATGGGACATTCTCAAAATGAGGTAATTTGGGACAAAAGTCTCATTTTAGAAAATGAGCTAATTGTATGAGTAAATGTTTATATAATTGTTTTGTTTGGTTTGTGTTTGGCATGAGACAATTGTGATGAGGCATTTTATGAAAATACATATTTGCTCTCATTCTTTTACTCTTCTCTATCTTGGGAAAGGAAGAAAGAAAAAAGAAATGAAATAAAAGGGGTCATATTGGGAAAAGTGACCCACAAAATGGAGCAATGTAGATTACCTCCCTCTCACCCAAGTAATTGACATTCACCCATAATGAAGCAATTTCAATTGCCTCATTCTTACTTTTTGCATCCAAACGGGGTAATTTGACCCAATTGTCTCATTTTAAGTCGATTGGGGCACATTGGCTCATCACTTTGATCCATCCAAACGACCCCTAAATTACTTTGTACGTTAATTTCGACTTGATTGAATCAGAAATACCAGTTACGCAACAAATTATATATCTTGCCAACAAATAAATGTTCTCTATAGGCTCACTTTACGCACTTATGCTGTTGATTGGATTGATTTCGTTTTTAGTATTGGACAAATTGTAATGTTTCTAGAACCTATCAATCTTTGACTAATACAAATTAGCACATTCATTCCTATCACGAAATAATGAGTGAGAAGTTCATGCGAGCCGGAGAAAGACTTATTAATTGATGTGCAACTCAATTTTCTTTGTGTAACTCGCCATTACGAGTGACTCTAAAAATGATTAAAAACAATGCCATAGCAATTAATGCAGAAGATCCCCAATCCCGAATCATTTTTGCTTGACAAAGTCTCTTACTTCCAAGATCTCATAACTCAAATTACCATGGAAGGATTAAGGGAGAAGTCCTATCGTGTAATTCACGATCTTTTTCTTAAACACGGTTAATTAAGACCATTAATAATTACACTTAATCAATGAGGTCAACAACACCGATGACCCATAAACCCAAAAAGTCACACATGTTTGGTGAAAAACTGAAATCCCTGAAATCTGAATACGCGGAAATACAAAGAAGTCACTTTTCCCGGCCGCCTAACAAGAAGAATCAGCGCGCCCCATCTCCACCCTTCATTCTGCCCTTTCAAAACCTCCCCGCCACGCGTCATCCATCCAACGGCTCACCTTCCCCGCGCCATATCCCACCACCTCGCAGTATAAATTCCCCCACCTTGAACCCAAACAAGAACCTCAACAAACCATTTCTCTCCATCAAGAAAAAAACAGAGGAGAAACAGAGCAAAAGGAAAACAGAGCATCCATACAAAAAACAGGGGCGACCAAAAAAAATTTCCCTCAGAGAACACAACAATGGCGGTGTCGAGATCAAAGACGTTAGCTTTCGCAGCAATCGCGATCGCCGCTCTTCTCCATAGCTCCGTCGCTCAGATTACCCACACCGTCGGAGGAAATACCAGGTGGACCATCCCTCAGGGCGGAGATTCGGTCTACACCAACTGGGCTTCCGGCAATTCCTTCTCCGTCGGAGATATTCTGGGTAAGACTCTGAGTTTAGTTTTAACTAGGAAAAGGAACTCGAAATTCGAAATAGTGCTGAATTCAAGTTCTGATCTTTGTGGCTTTTTCTTCTTTCTCTGAAATTTAGTTTTCAATTTCGCCGCTGGAGCTCACGATGTGACCCAAGTGAACAAGGCGGACTACGACTCCTGCTCGGCGTCCAATCCGATGATGACTTCAACGAATACTCCGGCGAGGATCACATTGAACACTTCCGGCGAGCATTACTTCATCTGTGGGGTTCCCGGCCACTGCAGCGCCGGCCAGAAGGTTACCGTCAATGTTCTTGCATCGACTACTGGGTCTTCTCCTTCTCCTTCTCCGGCTCCAATGATGATGCCTCCATCTCCTTCCCCTGCTCCCCGCCGGGCTCTCACTCCTGCTTCTGCTCCATCCCCTGCTCCAACCACCGTCTCTGCCCCGACTCCATCCACCTCCCCTGTCGCCGGCGATGTCCCGTTGTCAGCGCCGTCTCCTTCTGCCAGGCCGCCGGTGACTTACACCGTCGGCGATTCCTTCGGGTGGAACATTCCCACGAGCGGCGCGAGTCAGTTCCAGAACTGGGCCGCCGGAAAAGACTTCATGGTCGGCGACATCCTTGGTATGTAATACTTAATTAAATTAATAATAATTAATGCAATAATATATGGAAGTATTTTGGTGATTTCCACACAAAAAAAAAAAGTATTTTGGTGATATATAATCATACAAACGTAAGCTTTAGAGTGTAGATTTTTATTACAATTGTAATGAACAGTGTGATTCTAAAACGCGATTTAACTACATTGATGAAGTGATATTATAATCTTAATTACTATGCCAAGCTTCTTAATTGGGAAATTTACAATTTTTAATTAATGTTGTGAATTGTTTTTTTTGCTATGCAGTCTTCAACTACACAGCCGGCGCACACAACGTGGCGGAGGTGACAAGCGACGCCTACACGGCGTGCACCACCGCCAACCCGATCTCTCTGGACAGCAACCCGCCGAGCAGAATCACGCTGACCGCCGCCGGCGAGCATTTCTACCTCTGCGCGATTCCCGGGCACTGCTCCGCCGGCCAACAGCTTTCCATCAACGTCTCCGGTGCAGGCAGCACCAGCCCATCGCCGTCAGGGTCGACCACTCCCTCGTCACCGTCTCCTACCGCCGGTGACATGGCCCCGCCGTCCCCGAACTCCGCCGCCACCGTTGGAGGCGTATCGGCCGCCGCATTTTTGTCCGTTGTCGCAGCTCTTTTGTTGTAAATGGAGTGATCGGTAGAGAATAGTGGAATAGAGATGCCTTATTACAGTCGGCGATGTGATACTTTTTGTTTCTTTCGCGTTTCTTTTTGAGATCTGTATTAGTGTGTTGGTTATTGGTTTGTTATATAGATTGATTTCTCACATACATTGTATTAATAAAAGGAATTTTTTTTAGCCCAAAGATGTGATCTATACAAGTTTGGTCGATTTATTATAACGTCGGATTCTGAAGTTTAACATCTTAAATTTAGAATTCGTAATGTGTAACCTTCTTCCTCTCCTCTCCTTTCCCTCCATTGAACCAGCCATAAAAACATTCCCTTGTCGGTGCTCATCAACTATACTTTTGCGTTCGACTCAAAACTGCAAAAAAAATTGAGGTTATGTTTTGAAACTAGAGTTCGCTTCTATCTTAACAGTTATTGTTAGGCTGCATTGCACAATAACTTATTCTGTCGTTGAAGTGTCCTGCTCCATCTGGAGCTCTTCAAGTTACCAATGCTTGCTACATAGCCTCACGAACTCTTTACTCCTTCCAAACATTGTACTCCTAGATGAACTATTTGACTGATCGAAGCATCGTGCTCGTTTATAAGTTCTTTTGAAGCGTTTCGAGTAGCTCATACCAAACTCTTGATCGAACGACTAAAGATGATATATTGATCGATCGGGACTATGATATTTTTGTTTGGCTATCCTTTGCTTATCTTTCTTGATTTGTATTAGCGTGTTGTTCTAACTTCTAAGTTGTTATATAAATTGATTATCCACACATTATATTAATAAAAATATTTTTTTGGAGCTCAAATCATCAAAGACCCACTTTCTCTATCACCTCTTAATTCTCACCCATCCCTTCTTCTCATAAGTCATAACATCTTTAAAATTAAATTGTATGGGATCCATCACTTGCCCCATTGTGGGGACCTATCCATGCAAACCCATTGATCGACATGATAATGTAAAAAGTCCTACTTTCTAGTTGAATCATCAATCTCAAATCATCCTCAAACAAACATCATCAATTCGTATTGTCTTTGCTTCGGTAATCCATTCGAAATCACCAACAAGGCACTCATTAGTCCTTCAAGTTACTGATGATCGGATAATTAAGATCTCAAATTTTATAATACTTTACTCCATATAAAAACAAGAAGTCTTCTAAATCGTGATATAGACAAATTATGTGATTTTATATTAGGTCAATAAAACGTATTTGAATTTTGTACGCCTCAAATCTCCTCTGGGTGATCTTAAGTCTATTAACTCAAAAAATCTGATCGAGCTAACCTTAATGAACATCCATACTCTAGGGAAAGTAGACTTCCATACTGACTTAAAGACTCATGAATCATTTATCTCGTTGGCTCACTAACTTAGTATTCCTATAGTAAATTTTCTCAATTTTTAGCCGACTTTGATGTTATTATGATGCTAGTTAATATTATTACCATGTTCACAACAATAATTCTTCCAAAATTTAAACTATTCTAGAAATGTGAACATAAAGATTATGGAGGAAATAGTCTTCTTAGTGGTAAATTATTCACCGTCTTATTGGTAAACATGTGTGCATAATTGATGACTATTAAAGACCAAGTAATTATTAAAAAAGCTGACCCATGACCCATAGGCCATAACCGATCAACCCAAAATGCTCCACTCACGCGGAAACACAAAAACGAACCGGTCACATCATCCGGCCGCCTCACGAGAAGAATCAGCGCCCATCTCCACCGTCCACTAAAATATCTAGCCACGCGTCGCCCATCGGCGGCCCACATTCACACGCCAAAATATTCTATATAAACTCGCCGGACATTAATAATCCTCACCGCACATTCATTCACTTCTCTGTAGAAAAAACAGAGCATCCATTAACCGAACAGGGGCGACCATTTCCTTCCCTCAGAGAACACAACAATGGCGGTGGTTAGAACAAAGACCTTAGCTTTCACAGCAATCGTGCTTGCCGCTCTGCTCCACAGCTCTGCCGCTCAGAGTACCTACACCGTCGGCGGAACCACCGGGTGGACCATCCCTCAGGGCGGCGATTCTGTTTACACCAATTGGGCCTCCGGCAATTCGTTCGCCGTCGGTGACATTCTCGGTGAGTTCACTAAACTTTAATCGGTTGTACTACCAGCAACATAGGATGTTGAATGTAAGATTCTAATTCTCTTTTCCCCCGTCACAATTAGTATTCAATTTCGCCGTCGGAATTCACGACGTGACGCAAGTGAGCAAGGCGAACTACGATGCCTGCTCTGCATCCGACCCGATGCTGATTGCGACAACGAGTCCGGCCAGAGTGACGTTGAACTCCTCCGGCGAGCATTACTTCATCTGCGGCTTCCCCGGCCACTGCAGCGCCGGCCAGAAGGTCACCGTCAACGTCCTCGCTTCCAACTCTGCTCCCTCTCCGGCTCCCATGGCTTCTTCTTCTCCTGCTCCACGCCGAGCTCTCACCCCTGCTTCCGCTCCTTCCCCTGCCTCCACCGCCTCGGCTCCGACCCCGTCGACTTCCCCTGTTTCCGGCGATTCTCCGTCGTCGGCGCCGGGTTCATCCGCCAGGCCGCCGATGACTTACACGGTGGCGGATTCTTTCGGGTGGAACATCCCCAGGAACGCTACTCTGTTCCAGAGCTGGGCCGCCGGCAAGGACTTCATGGTCGGCGATGTCCTCGGTAAGTACTAAGTGGTACTTGATTAAACTAATTGTGATATTAAAATCAAAATTCCCCCAATTTTCCCACATGCTTATTGCTATTGGGATCTTTAATTATCATACTTATTTTTTTTAAAATTGGATATTAACGTTGTGAACTTCTTTGCCGGCAGTTTTCAACTACTCCGCCGGCGCTCACAACGTGGCGGAGGTGACGAGCGACGCCTACGCGGCGTGCACCACCACCAGCCCGATATCTCTGGACAGCATGCCGCCGACCAGAATCACGTTGACCACTCCCGGCGAGCATTTCTACCTCTGCGCAATTCCCGGCCACTGCACCGCCGGCCAGCAGCTATCCATCAATGTCACCGGCGAAGCCGGCGGTGCTTCCCCATCAGGATCGCCGTCTCCCGGTTCGGGCGACATGGCCCCGCCGTCGCCCAATTCCGCCGCGTCCGTCGCCGGAGTGTCGGCCGCCGCGCTTTTGTCGGTTTTCGTAGCTCTGCTGTTTTGAGTGGACTGAGTAGCTAACTAGTAGTAAAGCGCGTGAAATTCTCTTCCTTTTTTTCTCCCTTTTGGCTCTTCGATTATTTCCTTTGTGCCTTTGTTCATTGTTGTTGACTAGTTATAGATAAGATATGAATGATTTTATCACATATTGTATTAATAAAATCCATTTTCGAGCCTCGATGAATGCAGATTTCACAATGAAAGGACAATGTACTTTATTCAAAAAAAAAGAAAGGACAATGTAGAAACCCGAGAATAAATCGTAAACTTTACGAGAGTATTTTCCATGAGAACTTAATAGTTTGATTGATTGCTTCTCCATAATCTCGTGATCATATTCATTAGGTTCATCATATACGTAGTTGCCGGATGTTAAATTCTATTATAACAACTCCAAAACAGGATAATTGTGTTTTAAAGTTGATTACTTAGCCAAATCATGTCAGATTACGCTTTTATAGTACCTACATTTACAATCAGCCAAGTGTCTAGTAACCTTTTGAAAGTCAAAGCTCTTGAGAATGGCTTAAAGGGTTTATCGTGCCTTGCTTTGCATCAATCCCTTTTGGGGGTGGGGGAAGTTGAGATAACATGAACTTTGGTGACTATCAATCAAAAGGAATCCCTTCTTTAGGGAACTTTCTAAACTAATGGGTCGTTTAGATGATAAAATCGGATGAAATAATTTGACCCAATTACGCAAAAAATAAAGTAATCGTATCAAGTTTCATTGTTTGGGAACAGAAAATAGGAATGCATCAATGGGACCGTGACAATTTGAAATGCTCCATTTTGCATCAATCTGAATTGATAGGGGGGAGGGGGCAAGCATTTCGAAATGATACATCAATTGTGATACGAAGTAATTTCTTCATCCAAACGACCTCTTAGTGGTTTGCTTGTCGGATTTGAAAACAAGAGTTTTGAATTTTGAAAATCTGCCGCAGATTTGATGCATTATGTAATTGAAGGAGCCCATTGTTTGTGTAGTTAATTATTTTTATCATGGACTCATATCTTTCTGTACCAATATTTTCTCGCCTCAAACGAAATCATAAATAAAACACGAGATTTACAATTCCAACATCAAAATCTGTGCAGTCCACTCCACTCCACTCCCCTCCACGAAGTTAGCTTCCAATTGTTGAATCCAACAAACAAGAGAATTGCTCAAACTCATCGTGCTCGGAATTTGGACGACAAATCCGTCACTCAAATCCAACGAGGAGATCAACCATAACCTCTTTTGTTATCAAGCTCATCTCACTCTCAACTTGTCATCCATGTGGTGAGGGGAATGCACCAATGCCAAGAGAAAAGATAAGGACAAATGAGAAAAGGAGTCAAAGTAATGGAGTCCATTCACTTCACAAAGACGGGTTAGGTTGCATAGGAAACTATATGAAGAGGACAAAAGGGTATGGCCCTTCCTCCATAACAATATCTTTGCAAAAATATCAACAAAGTAGGGTTCTTTTTCACTATATGTCGTTCTCATGGATTGGATTCTTCAGGAAAGAGTTAATTAGGGTTGGTGGTGGCCCGAATAATTGCCGGAAGTTTGAGAGGCCGGTAGCCTTGGAGCTACCCGTTTTTATCCACCCATAGCTAATGTCGATTCAAAGATGTGTACTACGGTTGGTTAGTTCCGCAAGGACAATATGTTAGTGAAAGGTTAGAATACATGTCATGATGATGATGTGATTAGGTCATAGTATGCGGCCGATCGACTGGTCGGTGGGTATGGCTCGGTTCGGTTTAGAATTGATTCGCAAATTCAGTTATGTCCTTGTTTTGTTTAGGCATGCTCGTGAAAAGGACGACATTATTAGGTGTTTAGCTTTGCTCTTTGCGAGGGTTTTTTTTTTCTCCAGACGACGACTCGCATCACACCATGAACGATGGGTTGTGTGACATGAGTTCAGAATTTTTTTTATCATTCGTATTGAGCAAGTGTTTTGAAATTGTGGCGAATTTGTATGTTAATAGTGAAAGAGATTATCATGAGTTGTGAGTTCTGTGATATTATTAATAATTATTTTTTTAAATGCATTTTAGAAAACGAGCCAACGAAACAAGGAACCTTTACTACGCCAGACAACGGTTTTGAAATCGTACCCTCCCGTTCAGTCGGACCGGGAATACAGGGTGCTGGATCTCAAATCGATAGATGGTTTTAGCAAACATCATATCTAGTAAAAAATATATATAATCTAACAAACTAATGATTTTTATCAACAAACCAATTCATAACGTATAGGTTTTTCGCCCCCTCATAAGTTATAAATCGATTCACTCATAAGTCGCTAGTAAAGTCAAACTGACTCACTAGCCACATTATGAGTGAGCTCGTGAACTCAATAGCTCACAACTTGAACTCAACAAGCCACTGACTCGTGAGACTTGCAAGATTAAAAACGCATGATTCAACTTCGACTCGTTAGTAGACGAGCCGAGTGCCAAACAACCTTTTCTTGAACCGAACCCTGTCTTGAGAGTATGGGCTCATTTAGCACTATACAAACTTCCTGAAAGAGGATATGGCGGGCCGAAAGAAATAATGGCCCGTTTCTCTTTTGGGCCTGACTGATCCAGGCCTATTGGGTTCATAATATCCTCATTTTTTTCTTCCTCCCTAATTTGAAACTTGGCTCTTGGAATCTTGTGAAAACGAGCCAAATCCGGAGCAACAAAAGTCAATATGACGTACGACGAGACGACAGCAGAGACAAACGGAGCGGCCATGGACTCCGACACATAACAGATTTCCATCTCTTCCCCCAGCCATTTTCCTCCCATAACGTCCCTCGTCTCCCCCGAGACAAACAACGGATGTCTCTCGCCGGAACGCCGCCGCATCCCGCGGCGGACTCCTCCCCATGGGAATGCATGCTCCCCGGCCCGCCGTCCCGCAACAACTTCGGCTCCGTCGACATTTCCCCCTCCGGCCTCCTCGCCTTCCCATCCGGATCCTCAATCTCGGTCGTCGACTCCCGTTCCCTACAGCACATCTCCACCATCCCGCTCCCCGCCCCTTCTTCCCCCTCCTCCTCCTCCTCCGCCTCCGCCGCCGCTCTATCCCCGTTCGTCACCTCCGTCCGCTGGACTCCCCTCCCCCTCAGCCGCGACCTCCTCGTCACCGAGCCGTCCTCCTCCCACCTCATCCTCGCCGTCGGGGACCGGCACGGACGGATCGCGCTCGTCGACTTCCGCCACAAATCCGTCCTCCTCTGGCTCGATTCCTCCGATTCCGCCTCCAAGTCCGGAATTCAGGACCTCTGCTGGATCCTATTCCGCCCCGACGCCTACATCCTCGCGGCGATCTCCGGCCCCTCGACGCTCTCCCTCTACAACGCCACCACGGGACACTGCTTCTTCAAGTACGATTCGACTCCGGAGCTCCTCTCCTGCGTCCGCCGCGATCCGTTCGATCCCCGGCATTGCTGCGTGATTGGGCTCAAGGGCTTCCTGCTCTCCATCGTGGTGCTGGGAGAAGCGGAGGACGAGGTTGTGGTGGAGGTGCTTCGGATTCCTACCGATTGCACGGAGTTTCTGAAGCTCGAGAGGGATGCTGCCAGCAATGGATCTTCCTCCTCCACCACGCCAGCGGCGGCCGCCTTCCCGCGGTACTCCGTGAAGCTGACGTTCTCGCCGCAGTGGAGGCACATTCTGTTCGTGACGTTTCCTAGGGAGCTGGTGGTTTTCGATTTGCAGTATGAGACGGCGCTTTCCAGTTCTTCCCTGCCGAGAGGGTGCTCCAAGTTTCTGGATGTGTTGACGGATCCGAACAGCGACTTCTTGTACTGTGCGCACTTGGATGGCAAGCTAAGCGTCTGGCGGCGAAAAGAGTAAGTTGTGCTATATGATTCAATGGGGAATTTAGTATGTCTGAAGCAAATGAGGAATTCAATATGACTGATAGTTGTAGGCGCTGAGAATCTCTAGTTTTCCTTCTAGGCGATTGAGTGAATGTAATGGCTTTCCATAGCAAGAACTAGGTCTGTTTCGCGGAGTTCCTAGTTAATTGTATTTGCAAATGGAAGAGTTAATGAAACACCAAAGGGAACAGGGTTGGTGTTCTAGCATTCCGTTAAAGGACAATTTGACATAGGCAAGTCCATCCGAATGGTGTTCTAGTACTGGAAAAATGTTGCTTCATTGCTCATGATCTAGGAAAGATTCGTTTGCTAGAACCAAGTTAGAGCTCAAATGAATTCTTTTGACGTGGGGAGAGCCGTTATTTTCACTTTTGAATGGCTGGTAGGGATGTGAAATGTGGTTAATGAGATCCTAATGAAAGATCCAAAAGGTTGTTTATGAACTGCTTTCAATCTTAATTTCTATTTTGTTTTACCGTATCTGGAATTTTTTCTCAATACTAAATGGCTTAAAGCTGATACTTACATTCGCCACTGCGCATTGTTGGGATCAAATTGCTTTTACCTGATATATTCTAGTTCTTTGAAGCGATAAGCTGGTTACTCATTCTGCTATCATTAGCATATTGCCACTGCCTAAACTTATTCCTACGGTCATTCAATTTTGATGCACGTGTACTGAGGATGAGAGTCTCCCTGGTCCGAACCTTTCTATCTGCCATTGGGTTTTTTTTACCTTACTTGATTAGATTTGTATTTTGTTGTTACTTTTGAATTTTGATATGCATAGCTTAATTCACAATCTCTCTCTCGCTCTCTTTTTTCCTTCAAAAAGAGGAGAGCAGGTGCACTTATGTTGTGCAATGGAAGAACTAATGCCTTCAATCGGCTCTTCTGTTCCTTCGCCGTCATTACTTGCTGTAACCATCTGTCAATCAGAGTCAACGCTCCAGAATGTTGCCAAGTTATACCGGGATGTGCCTAACACTCCTCAGACCAAGGATTTTGATAATCCTTTTGATTTCTATGAGGAGACTCAACTTCTTTCTAAGTCACACATGATTTCAATTTCTGATGATGGCAAAGTATGTAATTGGCTTCTGACTGCTAAAGAGATAGTAGAAAGGGATGTCGAGGTTATCCCATACACAGGAGAGGATGCTGATGGTATAGCTTCCACTGACGGTATCAACCTGGAAAGAAACAAGCAGCAGGAAAATTTGAGCGGCAATAAAGGTCGGTCATCATCTGTTGCCAGTGAGGAGAATACAACATTCAAGGCAAGGAATCTCTTGCTCCCCTTTCTTATTCTTAAAATTTTGGAATTTCAGCTTTTATCTTAGATCCTTACCTAAGTGCATTTGAGAATGGTCTTTCTTCGAAATGTAAGCTTAATGGTGATTGCGTACTTAATACATAGTCTTTGCCACCCATATTGGCTTACTCATTTCTTGCTTCTAAAATCATCTACATTTTGAAGGTTCTTAAGTGTGTGTATTAATTGAGCATAATCATTATCTTCCTAATAGGGGTTTCTTATTTTGCTTGGACCTGTTAGCTAACGTTTCCAAGCTCGTATGTAACTAGACTTTTGTAAGAAAGCTGTCAAATTGTTAGGATGAAGAGCCTTCAAAGAAAATTAATTGCATCCATCAGGGGAAGCTAATTAGCAATGGCTTAAGATGCTTGCTTTTCTTAGGTGGTACAAACAGTGAAGGACTAGTTAATGTAGCATATTTACAATGATAAGCACTGTTACTGTAGCACATCTGTGATGCTAAGTCCATGAGGTCTTTATTACTTGTCAAGAGTGTGAGAAGTAACATGCTTATTGTTTTTTTCTTGTATTCACTTGTTATTGTGGGGAATGAACTAAAACCGTTTTGTTCTTTCTGGATCATTTACGCAAACTAACGAGACCAATAACGGATGCAGATATGCTTGGTTGGGCAGTTGCAGCTTCTTTCTTCTACATTAACAATGCTGGCGGTGCCATCTCCTTCTCTAACAGCTACTTTAGCTCGTAAGTCTCATCTTTCTGCTTTTATTTGTTTCATTTCCAGTATTGATTACTTTTTTGAGTTAGCAGTACCTTTAGTGCTGCTACTGCCAATTGTTTAATGAGGTGATACCTAAATTGGAAACAAATTGGTTAATGAGATAATATCACGCAGGTGGGGGGAATTATCCTGCTGTAGCTATCCCACTTGTTGCTTTAGGAACTCAGAGTGGAATGATTGATATTGTTGATGTCTCTGCTAATGCTGTTGCGGCTAGTTTTTCTGTTCACACAAGCGCAGTTCGTGGTCTGCGATGGCTTGGAAACTCTAGATTGGTTTCATTTTCTTACAATCAGGTGCAGATCTATCTAATTTTTTGTCATTACTTAATCACGGCATTGTAAACTTGAATATGTTCTATCCTGCCATTTCAACACTTTGTACATGTTGGAGCCAGGCTAATGAAAAAACTGGAGGTTATGTCAATAGGCTTGTCGTGACCTGTGTTAGAAGTGGCCTTAACAGACCATTTCGAGTTTTACACAAGCCAGAGCGAGCACCAATTAGAGCTTTACGGGCTTCTTCATCAGGAAGGTAACTGGAAAGTTCAAATGTTGATTAACTTATCTCTATAATGCCTTCCAACCGCATGGTTGATATATCGTAACATTTTTCTTATTTTCATCTCAAATTGTGCGGTTGTCAAATTTAGGTATCTCCTTATTTTGTTTCGTGATGCACCCGTGGAAGTTTGGGCAATGACAAAAAGTCCCATTATGGTTTGTTGTCAAATACCTTCTCTTTTCATATTCTCCAATTGGTTACATTTTAACTGTTTATGTTAATACCAGCTGCCTTAATTCTATCAAGGTGTGAATTTGGTTACAAATAGCATATTCTAGTATACGAGAAAATTCTATCTGTTTCGTCTTGCATATCTATTTTAATATCCTTCGGCTCTTTTATTTCTCACCTCCATGTAATTCTTAATAGGAAGTTGTTAACTAACTATAGTTTTGCTCAGCAAATTAATCTTGGGTTTCCCAGACCATAGCAGTCATCCATGCTGCCTTTTCAGCCTTCTTCCTAAATAGTTCCTTTTTCCCTTTATCTTCTTTTGGGGTTCTAACTTCTATGTGCTGGGGGTCCTGAGATTTTTGACATTTTCTTCAACCTCCTAAGGTCTTCTCCTGTTGGCTTCTTGTGGACCATAGTTTGTTCTTTTCATTTTGATATGTCAAATGGCTTCAACTGTCAAGACTCAAGAGGAACATGTAGATGGAAGTAATGTTGGTATGAAGTTTAACAATACTTCTTTTGACAAATGCTTATTAGTCATCAATATCTCTGTAGCTTAGATCATTAGCTCTTCCATTCACGGTGTTGGAATGGACCCTTCCAACCGTTCCAAAGCCAGTCCAGAATGGTCCTTCTACGCCAAAAGCAAAGGAAGGTACACCTAGAGCATCAGATGGATCATCCACCCCAAAAGCGACTTCATCAGAATCTAGTGAGCTTTCAAGCAGAAGTATTTTTTTTATGATCTTGTTATTAGTCCGAGTGTCTAGAAGTATCTGGATAGTTTTCTTTGTTTATAAAAGACTACCCCTGAATATGGAAGTAGCTTTTATGTGCAGCAGCTGCGAGCTCAGATACATCTCAAGATGAAGCCGCAGAAAGCTTTGCATTTGCACTTGTGAATGGAGCACTTGGAGTTTTTGAGGTTCATGGACGGAAAATCCGAGATTTTAGGTATGTGCTGTCCATTTCTACATTGTCAAAAGAACTATGTGGGTTTCTTGGATGCTGCTACTCAATTTCCTTGCTGTGCTTGCTAACTTATCAGGTATTAGTGATGCTTTTTGTAGTGCTTTCCTTGCTTATAATGTTTCTTCTGGTTTCTTTTCCTCGTGTTAGACCAAAATGGCCTTCTTCTTCATTTGTTGCATCCGATGGACTAATCACAGCAATGGCCTACCGGTTGCCTCATGTGGTATGCACAAAGGCTCAGTCTGCCAGATTAATCACAGTTTGGTTCTTCCCCGATTATCATTTTTTATGAAGTGACTGAATATTTCTCAGGTAATGGGGGACAGAACAGGGAACATAAGGTGGTGGGATGTAACAACTGGGTCATCTTCCTCATTTAATACTCACCGAGAGGGGATTCGAAGGCTTAAGTTCTCTCCTGTAGTCCCTGGAGATCAAAGCAGAGGCCGGATAGCTGTGCTTTTCTATGATAATACATTTTCTGTATTCGATCTTGTAAGTTTGAAACCCTTCCAATTGACAGATCTTATCAATTATCATGCATTTCCTAGGTAACTGCATGAACCACTCTTGCCTAGTGTCATTCGGATTTCTGTTTGAAATGCAACCTATGGATGGATAAGATTTATTGATGTGCAATTTTCATGTATTTATTGATTTCTTGTGTGTGTGTGTTTGTTTTTTACTTCAATGTGCAGGATTCACCAGACCCGTTAGCTAATTCCCTTCTCCAGCCCCAGTTTCCTGGAACTTTAGTGTTGGAACTCGATTGGTTGCCCCTGAGAACAGATAAACATGACCCTCTGGTATTGTGTATTGCTGGAGCTGATAGTAGCTTTCGCCTTCTTGAAGTTAATGTGTATGTTCCACCTTAAACAAGGAATCAGTTTATATTTTATGCTACAAACTATCCAAACCTGATCATTCAGTATTACGTTCGACTCTAGGAGTTTGACATGGTAAACGACATAATTAATGTATTGTATTTCATAATTTTCCCTAAGAAATTATAAGTTAAGATCTTTTTGGAGAATAATTCACTATGCATAGAATAACTTGGGAAAGAATTTTGAAGTTAAGATTTTTTTTTATGATATTTGATGCTTAAACTATTGATGATGCTGTATATGCAGGCAAGATAAAAGACATGGCTATATACCTCAGCCTCAGCCAGTTAAAGAGAGATTCCGCCCTGTTCCCATTTGCTCTCCCATACTGCTACCTACTCCCCATGCACTGGTAATTATAATTCTTCTCTGGTGATTTTATCTTTCCCGTGTGAAGCCTTTATTGACCCAAAAGCAGCCTGTCTACTTCTTATGTTGTTTTTATTGCAGGCTTTGCGAATGATCTTGCAATTGGGTGTGAAGCCTTCATGGTTTAATACTTGTAGCACAGCCATTGATAAGAGACCACAGTCAATTCCTGAGGCTTCTTCATCAGCAGGAGATTTACGTAGTTACATGATCGATCTACCAGCTATTGGTGATTCTGTGGTGCCAGAAATGCTCCTTAAAGTCTTGGAACCATATCGAAAAGAAGGTGTTTATTATATTATTATTATTATTTCTTCTTCTTTAATGTTTGTTCCCCCTTCGCTCATCTTTTAGTCAGTCTGATTGCTTACCTTTACATATTTCCCAGGCTGCATACTTGATGATGAAGTAGCAAAACTCTATGCAACTGTGGTCAATAAAGGTTCGGCTGTAAGGTTTGCATTTGCAGCTGCTATTTTTGGCGAAGCCTCAGAAGCACTCTTCTGGATGCAATTGCCTCGTGCTGTGAAGCATTTGATGAGCAAATTAGTTAGCAAGTCACCGTTGAAATCTGCAATGTCGGCAACAGCGGCAGAGCTAGATGGTGCAGTTATGTTGACCAGAATCATCTCGAGGGAGAAGTCATTGGTTACTATGGGGAATACGGACTCGTTGGTGAGAGAGATCTAGGATATTTTTTAATGCTTGTTCTTAAATTATATTGCTTCTGTTACTTGAATGTAAAGTGACATTGTTTTGACTTTGCTATCTTTGTAGCAGAATCAGGGTCAACTTAGATTAATGGCTTTTCAGCAAGAAGAGTTGTGGGAGAGTGCCAATGAGCGTATTCCTTGGCACGAGAAACTGGAGGGAGAAGCAGCCATGCAGAATCAAGTGCACGAGTAAGTCTCTCTCATCTCCAACGAATTATGTTTTGGGGAAACAGGTAGCATTCTAGTAAACCAGGTGAATTACCTCATTAATTCTTCACTTCATTAACAGACTCGTGACGGTTGGGAACTTAGAAGCAGCTGTTAGTTTGTTGCTTTCCACTCCTCCAGAGAGCAACTACTTCTACTCGAATGCCCTACGTGCAGTGGCTCTTTCTTCTGCTGTGTCCAAGTCTCTCCTTGAACTTGCAGTCAAGGTGAGAGCTAGTGTCTTTGGAGCTGCATAGACCCACGGAGAAATAAACTTCAATGTAACTTTTCAGTGACGCTATGCTATCGTATGATCATCTTAGGTTGTTGCAGCCAACATGGTCAGGACTGACAGATCACTCTCTGGTACTCATCTACTTTGTGCTGTTGGAAGGCATCAAGAAGCATGTTCACAGGTTTAGTTCTATTTGCTTATCATCTCTTGTACATTCACGTCATCTTATTCCTCGGTCTCTTGTTCACCGAATTGAAAAGGCAGAACGCACGAGAAAGTAAGTAGGCAAACATTTCAGCTCTGGGAGAGCACTGAATATCGTATATACACCTCTGTACATTACTCGTGCAGCTGCAAGATGCTGGGTGCTGGACTGATGCTGCAACTCTGGCAGCTACTCATTTGAAAGGATCAGATTATGCAAGGGTGCTGCAGAGGTGGGCAGGCCATGTTCTTCACACGGAGCATAATGTCTGGAGGTAAACACTACTTTTTTATCTCGTTTCACAGCTTCGTTGGTTGGCCATCTCCGCGGATAACTTTCCTCGACTATATCACGAGCCTTCTTTACTATAATGTAGGGCACTTATACTATACGTTGCTGCCGGTGCTTTGCCCGAGGCTTTGGCAGCACTCCGCGAGGCGCACCAACCCGATACAGCTGCCATGTTCATCCTCGCCTGCCGTGAAATCCACTCCGAAATCCTCTCGAATTCAGAGGAAGAACTAGATGGTCCGTCAGTCAAGGATCCGCCGCCTAACTTGCCCGGTTTGGACCCAGAGAACGAAGATGTTTTGGTCGTCGGTGAATACTTCGGACAGTACCAAAGGAAACTGGTGCATCTCTGTATGGATTCTCAGCCATATTATGACTAAATCTCTCGGCCCTTCTCTTCAAATGCCGAGGACCAACTCCCCATCGGGTGGTTAAAAGTGGCCACCAACGAACCATTACTACTAGAAGCAGCAACTGATGCGAGATTCATCGCTATCAACGGCAGCAAACGTTCCTGCTGCAAATCTCTCATTGTTGCCAGTGTACTACGGCTGCCACCGAAGTTTTTGCAGGTAGATCGCCATTTCGACATAATATTATGACGAAAAGGTAAATTTTTTTATAGCTTCATTCTTTTTGCAACAACGAAGGGGTTGTTGCGATTGGCTTTTGTGTATTTTTCTTTTCCCCTGCTAAGACCAATTTTGTGAGATGGTTCCAATATGATGCTGTATTGTGGCGCGAAAATTTGAGAATTTATAATCTTGTACTAGATCTGGGCTCCCGCCAATTGTAAAATGGGCCTTCTAGCCCACTTTCGGCCCATCTTCATCACCCCAACAGATTAGGATTCTTTCTTTCCTATTCCGAATCCGAATCTGAATTCCTTCACCGGCTATATAAAGCTTCTAGTAATTGCCTATTTCCATTAGCTACACACATTCTCCATAGAGAAGTCAGAAATCACAGTTCCGTTCTTCTCTCTCGCGATTCGCCGCCGATCGAAGATGCAGAAGGCTACGCTACAAGCTCTCTACATCCCGCCTTTCAAACTAGCCGCAGCGAAGAATTCCGGCGGCCGGAGCGACGACGAAGCCTACCAGAGACTCGCCTGGGAAGCTCTGAAGAAGAGCATCAACGGCCTGATCAACAAGGTCAACTCGTCGAACATCGGCAACGTCATCCCGGAGCTCTTCGCCGAGGACCTAATTCGCGGCGCCGGCCTCCTGTGTCGATCCTGCCTCAGGTCGCAGATGGCCTCCCCGTGCTTCACCGACGTGTTCGCCGCGGTGATCGCCGTCGTCAACTCCCGGATCCCGGAGATCGGAGAGCTCCTCCTGAAGCGGATCGTCTGGCAGCTCAACAAATCTCTCCGCTGCAACGACAAGCCACGGCTCCTCGCGCTTGCGAAGTTCGTCGCGCACCTCGTCAACCAGCGAGTCGCGCACCACACACTCGCACTCGAGCTGCTCCACCGCCTGCTCGAAAACCCTAGCGACGACGGCGTCGAGCTCGCGGTCGCCTTCCTGATGGAATGCGGAGCGCTCCTTCACGACCTCTCGCCGAGAGGACTGGCCGCGTGTTTCGATCGATTGCGCGACGTCCTGCACGAGGGGGAGATCGACAAGCGAGTGCAGTTTCTGATCGAAGGCCTGTTCGCAATTCGAAAGGCGAATTTCAGAGGTTACCCTGCGATTCGGCCCGAGCTGGATCTCTTGGAGGATGACCAGCAACTCACTCATGATGTTTCTCTCGACGATTCGGGCGTCGATCCGGAGCTAGGTCGGAATGTGTTCAAATTCGACCCCGACTATGCTCTACATGAGTCCCAATTCGAAGCGAAAAAGAAGAGCATTCTCGGCGATCAGGACGAAGAAGAAGAAGAAGAAACATCCACCGGTTCAGAATCTGAATCCGACGAATCGGAAGAAGAAGATGATCTCGAGATCAAGGACAAGACCGAGACAGAAGCAGTGGAGCTCCGTCGGACCATCTACCTGACGATCATGAACAGCCTGAGATTCGAGGAGCTTGGACACAAGCTGCTCTCCCTAAACATTGCACCAGGGCAGGAGCTGGAGATTTGCAGGATGCTAGTAGAGGCTTGTGCACAGGAGAAGACCTACAACCGGATTTACGGTCTCGTAGCCCAGCGGCTCTCCATGATTCGCCTAGCCTATCGGGCGAATTTCGAGAAGTGCTTCGCGGAGCAGTACTCGACGAGCCACCGTCTGGAGACAAACAAGTTGAGAAATGTGGCCACATTGTTCGCGCACTTGATTGCAACTGAAGCATTGCCGTGGGATGTTTTGGGATATGTTCGGCTGTCCGAGGAGGACACGAACTCGTCGTCGAGGATCTTTGTGAAGTATCTGTTTCAGGAGATGTCGGAGCAGCTGGGGATTCGGAAGCTGAACGAGAGGCTGACAGAGAATGCTGCTGTGCTGGGGGACTCGATTTTTCCGAAGGATAGTACGAGGAACGCGAGGTTCTCGATCAACTTCTTTACGCAGATAGGGCTTGGTGGGTTGACTGAAGGGATGAGGGAGCATCTGAAGGAGATGGAAAGAGTTGCCAAGGAAGATCGAGAGAAGAAGCTTGGTGGTTCGGAATCGGAGGTGGAAGAGTCGAGCTCCGATGATGAAGGTAGAGATAGAAAGAGGAGGCGAAGAAAGAGCGACGGAAGAGACAGGAAAAGAAGTAGGAGAGGTTGAAGAATGCAGCAGCCGATCAGACAAACAGACATTTTTTCTGCAACTTGTAAATATGTTACAGTCACACTCACCGAAGGAAATTGTTTCAACAACATGTTTTTTCATTCGATTCTAACAATGTTCTTTTCCAATTTCAATTTCGAATTTTAAATCCGCAATAACTTCTCATTCTCGTCGATATTCTTAAAATAAATCTCGAATAATCAAACTACATGCTCATTTCTTCTTGAATAGGTAAAGCGCCACCAGCCATTCTTCGCCATTGTTGTACCTAAAGAGCTCTGCCACTGCCATGAAGAACGTTCGCCAGTAGACAGTCCACTTCACAGCCTGATCCTTGCCGTAGGTGGACTCCATTATCGGCTTGATGGAACCCATGTTCTTGTCCATCCTTTTCAGCCACTCCTCACTGCAAGCATTCAGTACGGTATCGATTAGCATTCGGTACAATGTTGGAGGAGAAAGCTAAGCAAATCAGTTCTGGGTATTCTATGTAAGAAAATTCTCAGACAGTTGCATATCCTCACCTTGTCTGTGCATAATGATTTCCATTCACAAGCCACTGATCTACAACTGAGACATCATCCTACACGCATGTACGTTTCAACTCGGTGAGAAGTAAGGCAACTATAGTATCAAGTAGGGTTGCCTAAACCGCGACCTGATTAGAGAGATGGATCGAAATTTCACCTGGAAATAGAGCAAGAGATTAGCAGAAGGCATTGTGCCTCCACTGAAGAAGTACCTAGCTAGCCAATCCTCCTCTTGATTGTCCTGAACAAAAACAAGCAGAAACTCGTGTTTGTAACCGCAAATCAGAGCCCACCACACTCAGCAAACTTGGGTTCAAAGCCATAGGTACCTCAAAATGATATGGAAACACCTTGTGGCAGAAGTGATGAACGAAAAGGCGGCCATCTTGTTTCATCCACTTGGATATCTTTCCCAGCAGATCTCTGTAGTTCTTCATATGCTGTTTTGCACAACAGTACAGTTAACAAATCTATGATCTCCTGACAAAGCAGGGACAAAGGGCACTACATTACCTCAAACATCTCGATCGAGTATATTCGATCAAAGGAAGCCTCCATTTCAAACTTGCTAATATCAGCAACATGTATCTCTACATTCTGCAACTGGCGATCCCTATCGAAAACCGAAAAGAAACAAAAGCGGGGAAACCTTAAATAAACCTGAATTTCCTCCCTTTCTTGATGGCATGGTTACACGTCGATAACAAGGTTGGAGATCGAACAGTATAGCATACCGACATTGGTCCTCGATGAACGCTTTCTGAGTCGTGGAATTGCAGATCCCAGTGACCTTACAGTTACTGTACTTGGATGCAATGTAGAGGACGAGCGAACCCCAACCGCACCCGATATCAAGCACTGTCTGTCCATCTTTCAGCTCCGACCTCTCGCAGTACAGTTCCAGCATTGCCGCCTCAGCATCCTCCAGTGTACTTCCCTTGTCAGAGAAATAGCAGCAACTGCAAGAAAAGCAAAATAGTTAACACAAGTCCTCACATATATGTGACGAGATGAGTTCGCCGAGCAACCCAATTGAGCTATCTACCTGTACTTGAGGTGCTTCCCCAGCGCGAGGCGGAAGAAGGAGGTCGGGACTTCGTAGTGCTGTTCTTTCGGCTTCTCTGTCTGGACAGCAATAGGCATCTCCTTCAGAGCTGCAAACCACAACAACAGAAAAACAAGCAAGACAAGACAACCCTCAAGTTGGAATCCAAACAACAAAACAGAAGAAACACACACACAAAAAAAAAAAAAACAGGGGAAATTCAGTTGATGATAATAGTTACAATGCACGAATTGGAGGAGCTGGGAGAGCTGGAGCTCTGCAGAAGCCTTGTAACCCCAACGAAGGCGAACCCCGAGAAGAAGGCGGGTGAGGCGCCGGACGACGGCATCCGGCAGCAGATTGCGCTCCAAGGAAGACAACATGAGCTTGACTGTAGCGTCGTAAGGCATCTGGATTAGACCCTCCATTTTTCCGGGCTGCAATGGCGGAATCTGAGAGCAGTTTCAAGGGGATAAAGCTGCCTCTCTCAATATATATTCCCTTTCAAGTAAGGCATTTTCTATACGCAGAGATGGATTTTGTTTTTGGCTCCATTCGGAAGCGGATCAATCAACAAACATGGGAAAGAATCAAACAACATAAAACACATTTCTATACAGAGAAATGTATGCTTTGGCTGGATTCGGACGGGAATCAACAAACATGGGAAAGAATCAAACAGCACAAAAACACTTCTATACAGAGAAAAGAAGCTACCTTGGATATAAATCGGACCAAAAAGCTCCCTCTCCTTCTCTCTCTTTTCTCTAATTGAATGGTGTAAGGATGGTCAAGTGTGAGCCATGGCCGTGGAAGGAGAGAAACAGAGCATTACTCTTTTCTTTCTTTCCTCTCCAGAAATGGAGGATCCACCAGCTACCATATTTTCCTTATCTCTACGGCTATCCCATTCCTCCCCAATAATTGCCAGTCCACGTGATTTCTAAGATAAGAAAGCAGACAAAAGAGTCTTTTCTTCTTCTTCTTCTTCTTCTTCTCTCTTGCTCTTAGATTGGTAAGTGGAGATTCTGCGTGTTTCTATAAACAGATGGAAATATTCAAGGTAGCAACTACATCCAATTGCCTTGAATCTTAATGGAACCGTTTTTGGGTTCACTTTGCTCTTAATCGAACTCAAATAGCAAGTTCATAAATGGGTTGGGGAGGAGAAGATAATGGAGCAACATCGTCTCTACTTATAACGTAGTGGATTCGATGAGTTTTTCTTGTCGTTTGTAAGTTGTAAACTTGGGTAGTAAATAATTTAGTTTCGAAAATTTTGAAATACGCTGGTATGTATGCATGGTACTAGTCTATTGTGAGAATAGCATATATTTAAATCTTAATCTTTACTCGCAACATACACGTAATTAATTAAGAGGTTTAAAAAAGAGCATATGTGACACTCCCAGCCAGATCCACGCAAAAGAAACAAAGGAGAAATAGAGGAGATGAATGGTGGCTTACTTGGTGTAGTTTGGCCGGAAACCTGTGTTTCCTGCTAACGGACGTTCAAACTATCAATTTTTTTTTTACGTAACAATCACTTAACCAGATTTAGATAGAGGATAATATAGTCTTATTTTGCTGCCTTGTTTAGAAGCAACGTAAATGTTGAAAGACATTAGGAGAGAGAATATTTATATTCCGCTTGAGTCGTTTATTCAATGCCAAATACATGTATCAAGCCTCATCGATACTAATAATTTGCATGAAATCACGAGATATATTAAGAACTGATCGATAAATTAGCTTGTTATCTCATTTATTCGTGTTTAGATAATTTAAGTTAACGAGATCAAAAGTCTTTATCGAGGCCATATTTACTATGCATCCTACATATCAAGGAAAAATATACTTTTTTTTTATGAACCCTATACCAATTATTCAGGGCTGGAATATCTGGGCGAGGGTTTGCCCCGCCATACTTTCCCTTTGTTTCTCAAGCGTCTGTTGGAGTTGATCCACCAACCCTCGCTGGTTATGGCGGTTGTTGCAGTCCTGTGGCGGATCTGGAGATCCCGGAACTGGGTGGTCTTTGAAGGCAAACAGTTTGGGATTCCGGCGCTTATGCGACAATTCCATCAGCAGTATGAGGAGTGGTTGGCCTTGCCGGCGGATGGGCGGCCTATGGTCAGAAGCCTGGTGGTGCCTGCTGAGGCTGCCGTGGGAGATTCCCGGTTGATTTGTCGATGGGATGGGGCAACTAAAAGTGGCTCGCATTCGGCGGGTGGGATGGTTCTTCTCACCCCTGATAGGATGCTGCTTCTGGCTAAGGGGGTTCGGTTTCCCTCGTTGGATGCGCCGGCGATGGTGGAGTTGCTTACGCTTCGGGAGGCTATTACTTGGTGTTTGGATAGTGGGTTGACGGAGGTCCGGTTTGAGGGAGATGCTAAGGTTCTTATTGATAAAATCAATCAGGGTGACGCTATAGAGAATTGGTTGGGTGCGATCCTGGAGGAAATTGGTCTTTTGTTGTGTGCCCAGCCGGGTTTTAGTGTGCGATTTATAGGGCGGGAGAACAATAGGGTAGTTCATATAGTAGCTAGAAAGGCCCTCTCTTTGTCTCCTACTATGTATTGTTTGTTTGATTTCAGGGCCTGGATGGTTTCCAGGATGTAACTATTTTTTATGATCAATATATGATATCTTTTGAAAAAAAAAAATCCTATACCAATTATTGAGCTATTGGAAGATCACAAGGCATACATAGTGATCACCTTGTGTAATATTTATATGTATTTCTATTAAGGCATTGTAAAATTTCTCAATAGGAGCGCGAAGGGATCAATTTGTTGAATCCAAAAAGAATTTTGGCACTCCTTCACTAACGCCGTCAACAACGCCGTTAACCGCCAAATTAGCAGTTCACCTTTTTTTTTTCCCGCGAATGTCCGTTTCAGTTACCTTCCCCCCAATTCCGCGGTCTCTCAGTTTTCAATCTGAAATCAATTTCCTCAATTTTCTCCAATTCCACTCACTGATCCAACTCAATCCCCTCTACCAACATGTTCATCCTCCGAGTTCACTCCGTCGACCCCCACCACCCTCTCGATCTCGAGGAGACCGCCTTCTCCGTCGTCTCCTCCGCCGCCGCCGCCAATCACCCGGAGACCACACCTAACCGGAACCCTAAGTACGGTGAGCGGAGAGGCGTCGTTCACCTGTACCGAAGCGCGTCGCAGAGTTCGCTCCCGAACCCTAGCTCCCGCTCCACTTCGCTCTTCGTCGTCGCCGTCCCCAACTACTTGTCGCCCGATGGGTTCGTCCGGTTCTGCGAGTCCCACATCGACACTTTCCTTGAGCTCGTCTTCATCAGGTACGAAGAGAACTTGTATCGCCAATCCAGGAATTCGTTTGCTCAATTTTGGGGATTGCTTAAAATTCGTAATTGGAATTTGTAGAAATGACGGGATGGAAGATCGGTATAGCGTGTTGATCAAGCTCGATTCCCAATTGGCTGCCGATAGATTCTACAGCAACTTCAATGGGAAACGATTCTCTCCTTCTGAGGTACCTTGAGGAGCTTCTGTATAGTTTCGGCTTTTGGGTATCCCAAATTTGTTATCTTTTTCAGCTTTGCTATGAACCCTCGATTTGTTTTCTGAGAGTTGTGATGATAAATTCAGGCAGAGGTATGCCACATCTTGTTCCTGCTCTCAGTGGATTACACTGATTCGGCTGAGGTTGCCAGCGCTCCTCCGGCAGGGTTCGCGGCGTTGCCTACTTGTCCAATATGCCTTGGTTAGTCATTTGCGTGTTCATTAGAAGCGTAGGTTCGAGGGGTAGCTTTCATGTTCTGCTCTTTATGGTGTTGTTTTGAACTGCAGAGAGGTTGGATCCTGACACTAGTGGAATAGTCAGTACCCTTTGTGATCATTCATTTCAATGTGCATGCACTTCAAAGTGGACATATCTGTCTTGCCAGGTGAAAAAGCTGCTCCCTTTTCTTTTGGTGCTTTGTATTACTCCCTAGATTAATTTGTTTTTCGGGTTTAATTGAATCCATATTCTCTCAGATCTGTAGATATTGTCAGCAGGAGGATGAGAAACCGACTTGTGCTGTATGTGACACATTGGAAAATCTATGGGTCTGTCTGCTTTGCGGCTTTGTGGGTTGTGGAAGGTAATAGGTCCTTCAAATTCTGACAGTCAATTTAGTGTCTATTATGACCTGGGCGATTATAGATTTGACTGTCCATTTAGGTATAAAGAAGGACACGCGGTAAGGCATTGGAAACGTACAGAGCACCAATACTCTCTTGATTTAAGAACTCAGCAAATATGGGACTACGTTGGTGACAACTATGTCCATCGCCTAAACCAGTCAAAAGCGTATGATAAGTCTGTTGATGTGAACTCTAACTGTACATACATGGAAGGAGATTGTGGTACCTGTGACTGTAGTAGTGACGATGCTGGTTTTGGTGGGGTTCTCTATAGTAGCAAAGTTGAAGCAGTGAGTTCTCTTTTTTGTGTCCATTAAGCCTTTTATTCTAATTACAAACTAGTGCGTGGACTTCATATGTTGCCTTTGCATGACTTCGTTGCAGATTGTCGATGAGTACAACCGTCTTCTTGCAACACAGCTAGAGACTCAAAGACAGGTGAGTGTTTATTAGTTTCCATTTTTGTAAACCAACGCTTTTGACTTCTTGGGTTATTGCTCCCAATTTTCCGAATTCTTGGATTTTTACTCATGGCAATGAAATTTTAGGCCTGGTTTAAGTCAGAAGGTTTCTCTATAGTTACTATGATCAGTTTTCCACACATCTTATGGTGTTTGGCTCTTTCTCCGTTCGCTTGCAGTACTACGAATCTTTAATAGCAGAAGCCAAAGGTAAGCAAGAAACCTCGATCTCGGGAGCAGTGGAGGAAGCTGTGAGTTCAACAATGCAGGAGCTCCAGAATAAGCTGGAACAATGTGAACGTGAAAAGAATGCAGTGGCAGAAGTAAGTGTCTCGAATGACCTGTGAACATATTTTGGGTCTGTGTCTTCACAGAATGGAAGGATTATGGTTTTGTTATTATTTTCTAGGTCAACCGTGGTCTCATAAAGGATGAAGACACTTGGCGTAAAAAGGCCAAAGAAATAGAAGCTAGGTACGGTTTCCGCAAATTTGTTTAGGGTTATAAGTGCTACTACACTCCATAGCTAATTTAATTTTACTCTTCCGCATCCTTCAGGCAATCTTCATCTTTAAGGTCCAAGGATGAGATGATACTTGATCTAGAAGAACAGGTATGACTGCTAGTTTGCTACTGCCATTGACAGTGATTTAACTTTATTTCTTTGGAAGAAGCTGTGTTAATGGTTGGCAGGACTGCATTTTGCAGATTCGAGATCTTACAGTTTACCTTGAAGCTCAGAAGACTCTGAATAAGATGACAGATCCTAGTGACATCCGCGAAGGGACATTATTACCTATGCCTTTGAAGCAGTCCTCCCCAGCCAAAACCAAGAGGAATGCCAAGTCGAATAGAAGACGAAATTAAATAGTGTACCAACTGTAACCAATCTTGCACAGGGTTCTGCATTCTTGAAAAAACTTCACTGTTGTGTATACAGGAGTTGTCTCGAGGAAAGAAGCATTGTTCGTGACTTCGTGCTCTGTTCAACCTCAAAACCTCTCGTTGTACAATCATGTAATCTACTGTGATAGATAACCATTGTCTGTTCCAAGCCTTATCCGCTCGTAGAGTTCGTATTAGATGTATTTTGGTTCTTGCTCCCCGATACCTTCGTTTAGTGCTACGATTCGGTACATTGCAGCTAATGTCAACATTGCATTTTACACTTCAAATAACATCTCAGGAACAACTAAATCAACTGTGATTACAACTGAAACAGTGAAATAATGATAATTAGACATAAGACTAAGCACTGTTAAGTAAGAATGAACAGATGAAATAGACAAATAGATCAAGTTCCCCTATCATTCCTCCATAGTCCATACCTTAGTATGAATAAAGTTAAAAGAAAAAAAAATTAATCTACTGTGATGAAGACGACCTCAAACCCTGCTCTCTTATCTTGATGCATTCTTTGACTATCTAATTTACACCACAATTCTCTGTCTAAGAGGTCTCTTCAATCATATATAATCATGTAAAAGAAAGAAGGGGGGAAAAAAGAGAGGGGATCATGAGAATGCATCAAGAACACATTAGTCTTCTTTTCTTATATGAAGGGAGCTTTCCAAACTCTTCTACCAGGTTGGGGTTGAGAGCCACAAATTACACTAAGAAAACCCTATGAATAGGTACCCTAGAAATCTTCCACAGCTTTCCCTCGAAAAATCAAACTGTGGGGCCAAGAGAGCGGTGAGCGCCACGCAGTCATCTAAAGGTGTCATCTTTGAGCTTGTTGTTCTGATCCAGCAGCACCGGAAGTGCTCGGCGCTCCTCCAGCACCGTTCTCAGCCGGTGGCGCGGTGCCCCATTTCCCTTCCGATTCCAATGGTTCTAGCACGTGGACTGCGCCGTCTGTTAGTCCCAAAGCAAACTGGTTGGCTTCTGTTGGATGTGCCGCGATCACCAACGGATAGACCCTCAAGCTGTTGAAACATTCCAAAGTGTCAAACAGCTAAACCGAGGGACGAGAATAAAGTTTTGGTGAACAGAGAAGAGGAACGGACCTTGGATTTGGAGGTAGGTAAGCGGCAGAACTTATCCTGCACCTCAGTCTGAGAGCTGGAGCTGTAAGAACACCCACGCTTCCATCTTCGAAGCTGACGTATATCGACTGGCTGTCGCAAGAGTAGGTCGCATGTGTGATAGGATTTGCGTCTCGAGGGAACCACTATAGAGAAGAACAATTTAGCAACAGCGTGACTTCAGCAATAATCAATCAACTACAAAAGCATGGCTTGAAAGAAACCAATTCCGTCCTAGTTACCTGCTTCAAACAATCGAGTTTCGGCGCTTCGTACAGTGCTATCTGTGATTCGTGAACGGCGAGCAGATGTGTCTGGTCGACATGAAACTGGACCCGGGTATCCGAAACAGGGGAGGTCGGACGCCCGGGAGGGATTTGCAGGAATTTACTAGCCTGCCTATCCCATCCATCCGTGTTCCACACACATAACTGTAGTCAGGGAAAATAATATTAGTAAAACCAGTCTATTCATTCAAAGCATGGATTTATGATATATATATGTGGGGTGGGGTGATGATCTAACCTGAGAGTCTGCTCCGGAAGAGATGAGCACGTTTAGGGTGTTGGAGAAGGCGAGACCCGTGATTCTTTTCTGATGACCTTTCAACTTGGTTTTAACCTCATCAACCCTGACATTATAGATTTGGATTGAAGAATCCTCCATTCCGATAGCAATTATGTTGTTGTCTTGAGGATGGAATGCCAGGAAACTTGCAGCCGGTGGTGGGGGCATGAATGTTGTCATTGTCTGCAAACCATATCATGACGTGAGAAAGTGTATTATGATAAAGAGAGAACTACCTGTTACGGATCAATGCAGAAGAGACAAGCTTCTACCTTGAATGTCATCATATTGAAAAGCGATATCTTTCCTCCTGAAGCCGACATAACATAAGAATCATTCTTTGAAAGAGCAAAGCATGGCACAGCCTCTTCAGGGTTTGTATCACTTATATCATTCGTCATCAATATTCCACTAGATGGTTGCCACAATTGTGGAGCAACGCTAGCAGTGGCCTGCAGAGGGGGGGAAATTCCATTGTTAATAACATCGAGGAGATGAACAAGAAACACAAATAAATATACACCTTCCAACATCTCTTCCAGGTAGAACAGAAAATGAAATGGAAAACTTGAAAAAGTAATAATTACCTTCCCAGTTCTATCATTTCTCTGCCATTTCCAGAGCTTATGAACAGCATTAGATGCTAACGCTAATATGGCCAGCCCAGAATTTGTATACATCAACCTGGCCACCTGAAACAATTGCCAGTAACATGGTAAATTATAACGGTATCAGATACTCTTACTAGGTTAACCCATTGATCTAAGCTCTAGCTGATTCCATGATAAACCAACCATCAAGCAAAGGAGGATAGATCCCTTCAAAATAAGGAGCCTCTTAAGTCTGCAATTATGTGGCCTACTCAGAACAAGGAGAACAAAATCACAAAAATAAGACAGCTGCGTACCCTCATTGCAGTTAAATTATCAGGAAGCCTCAGAGAACGACACTGCGATTGCTCATTAATTTCAGCTGCTTTCCAGATCCTTGACTTCTCCATGGATTCTTCATTTATTCTAGGTTTAACATCAGCCAAAGCTCGGCTATCATTGATCTGCTGCACAAGACGAGAACAATTTGTAGGGTTTAGCTCGTCTTATGCAGGGATACTATCACATCAGTTTTATCTTCATTTAATAAATGATATGGAGTACTTAATAATTAAAATAGAGCTTCAATACACATCTGAATAGAATACGAAGAACGACACGGACCATTCCAACCATGGGTGGTAAAGGAGCAGCTGGATTTCCCATGCTAGTTCCAGGATTGGGATTGGCAGCAGCAAAATTTGGTATTGAAGGGGCCTGTATGTGTGTCATTTAGTTTGTAATCCTCGAACAGGAGGATGGAACAGGGTTGACATTTTCCAACTTCAGAAACTATTCTTACCTTGACAACAGCTGCAGAAGCAGCTCTTGAAGCATCAAATGTGCGATTTTCCACCGTCTTTAGCAACCTAATTCCATCAGGATTTGCTAGGACTTTAACACTATTGTCACTGGTCGAGACAGCCATGAGAATTCCTTCTTTGTTGAATCTTATGCAAGGAGAAGCCTGCATGCAGATTTATTGGAAAAGATGTTGTAAACAAAGAAAAGAACTGCAAGAAGAAAGCCTTGATAGATAGAATGTATATCAAAATTTACCGGCAGTCCACCATCTGCGTCTATACTTGTCAATAAGCTGACATTATCCATATCCCAGAATTTGACCATGAACTCATCACCAGCAGCCAAGAACCGATTCTTAGTGGTATCAAATTGCACCACTCCAACTGATCGCTTTCCAAGGCCAGTATACCTACGCTTTACTGCACCTTCACTTTCATTCCACTCAACTAAATGGGATTCTCCCTCCTTGTTTGTCCCACAAGAGAAGAGTCTATTTGACATCCAACAATAGCAGAATATTAGGTAACCTGTGAAAGGATGACAAGAAACCAACAGGCTAACCAACAACCAGCAACCATAAATTACTGTAACAACTTGACACCATCACAAAACAACTCTAATACTATCATGACTCGGACTCCAAGCTAACAAACATACAAGGCAGTGAAGGAACTAAAAAAAAAACACCTTGTTCCATCAGCGCTATATGCCATTGTGGTTGATGAATGTCCTGGAGCATCATAATCAACTCGCGAACCCATGGTATCGTACAACCATGCTTTAATCTTTCCATCAGTTGCAGTTGAGAATATAAACTGGAAAAACAAAAACAAAAGTAAGGAAAGGAAAGCAAGAGGTCTGCGACTAGAAAATCCTCAAATTCCAAAGTCAATCCCGATGAATGATATAGAACCATAAATCTAGGAACTGAAATCAAGCTAACCATTGTTTACTTGACATTACCTGGATATTTTCTTTGTGATGTGGGCACACAGAATATACAGGAGCTTCATGACCTTCAAAAGTAAACTGCTTATTGCCAGTAGCTGCATCCCACACCTGTAGAGTTCAGGACATTAAAATATGCCCCCCTGGGTATTGCCAATTTTATCAGAAACAACTATGTAGTCATGCAAACCTTAATCACTCTGTCTTCTCCACAAGTGACTACACACAGTTGCTTGTTGGGATAGGAGAAAGCAAGGTCATTTACACTTCCAACATGGGCCTCAATCTGTGCAAACAAGACGGTAGTTTTTTAGATCCCAGCTCCGCAAACACCAAGGTACAAAAAAAAAAATAGCAAGATACAAACCATAAATGATGAAAGGATTACAGTATGTAAGAGGAACAATTAAAAAAATTCCATTCAGTATCAGGGAAGCACAAACCTCAAGGTGGTTCTTTATATCATCCCCTCCATGGTATGAATAAATGTGAACAATGTGCTTAGAGTAAGCAATGCCTGCAATTAAAACCCATAATTCTAAGTTTCCTCTTCATACGAACACAAAATTAGATTCTCAGAAGAGGATTTTATATATACCAAATAGACTTCCATCAGGACTCCACATGACACGGTTCACTGATGCTGTATAATCATTAGCAAGAGATGCCTACAAAACAATCAGAGAATTAATCACAAGTTGGTCTGAGAAGTATCATATTCATTTGCTTAAGGTTAAAAAGCAAACCTGCAACCCCATTGAACATGCTCCAAGGTCCCAAACCTTGAAATTCTTTAAAGCAATCCTTTCACGACTACCCAGCTCCCATACCATGACGTCACCCATGTTTGTGCCAACTGAAAAATCGGAAGCACTTAGCTATGGGAAGCTCTAAAGGCTCGGGATAAGCAAGCAATACATGAAGCCAAGAGAATCATCTCAAACATCAGAGTAAGAAAAACTTCAGAAACAAAATGCATTTTGAGAACCTGAAACATCATTCAGTCCATCAAAAACATGAAATGTAACTGTCAACAGCACTACACAAATTTTGTTTCACCTCCGAAAATTCACAACTGAAGTTCGGCCTTTGTCCATACAGAAGCTTACCAAGAAGTAAAATCTGCTGCAATGGATGGAAGTCCATACTCTTCACTGCTGAGCCTTGATTCAAAGCCATAACAAAATTCTTAGGTAGATCATCGGATGAGTAGGAACTCTGCCCATGGCTGTGCCCAGCATATGCAACAGGCAGAATATTTACAGGCAGATTATTAACCTGATAGAATTGGAAATAGCAACAAGATTAGAGAACTCCATGACTTGAAACAAAGGTAGGAGCACAGCTTTCAGGGGATGAGGAACACATGACATGCACATACATCTCAAAACCCAACTTATTGAATCAGAATTCAGAACCCACAGTAGACTTTTGCACTTGCTAACTACGAATCAATGAAGAAAGAATCATCCACATGGAAGACTTCAGTGAGAAGCGAAATGAATCGTGAAGCAAGTGCCCTCTAATGCAACACGTGTATATAGGCATCTAAAGAATTTCAAATGTAACTGACCACTAGCCCATCAGGTTCATGTAACAAAATCTTAATATAATGGTATGATCTCAAATACCTCCTCAGACATTCCAAATGGTCTAGTTCTTTTCAAGACATGTTCAGAGTCAGCTGTTTGATAATCCAGAGCCAGGTTGTTTGTTGGAGGAGTCCTAGGGCGCTTCAAAATAGCCGCTGCAGAAGGCATACATAAGTACAAATAAGCATGTTAGCACACATTAAATGTTCTATGAAAAAATAGCTTAGTATAAATATACGAAAATAGTGAACTTTCAAGTGCCATATCATTGATAGAGTAGTGAGTTAAGAGCAGCAATTTGATGTATTTAGTTAGTGACAAGATGTGGGTTACATCATAGTGGCCCAGGCTAGATTGTTACGATTGGCAAAACCAGTGAATTATCCATATAGAAGACAGTAGCTAGCCTGAAGCACCAAAAGACCTACCTGCGTTATTAGGTGCAGCCAAGCCAATGGGTCCAGCAGAAGCTGAAGGATGAGGGACAGGAGATGGGTTTGACATCCAACCAGCAAGAGATGTTTGCAAAGAAGGAGGTGGAGGCTGGAACGGCTGCAAGCATGCAAACAATGTCAATTTCTTGGAACCACCTTGACAGTAGAGGAAACACAATTTACTACACTTACACCATGAGCACCAAGTGGAGGGAAGCCTCCTGGCTTTGGCACAGCACCCATCAAGGGATTGGTTACAGGGGATGGGGCTCGAGCACCATTTGGCTGCCCACCACAGCTGTGGTCCACGAATAAGGTCTTTATATCAGGATTAGGCCTTGGATTCTTACACAGTTGATGTTGCCAATTTAAACTGCACTTCATGATAAACTATAAGTAAACCAAGTCAAAAGGAAAAAGCAATGTGTCAAAGAAAAAGTGAAAAACAAGTTTAAAAGGACCTTTGATTAATTAGAGTCCGTAATCTTGAATTTTTCAATGTAGGAAACTGGAGTTTGTCTCGGAACAACGGATTAGCCTCTATTAACTTCTTCAGTTCACCAAGCATTATATTCCTAGCAGATTTTGTATCTCCATACTTGGACAGCTGTTCATTTTCTCTGCGCAAATGAAGGTATAGACAGCATCCTAGGTAAGAAAACTCTCCCAAACACACTTCACACGATGATTCATCAATCGAAAAAGTACCACAAAAGACAGTAATCAGCAAGGCACACCTGAAGTTTTCCAAAGTCAACAACTGCGTAATTTCCTTGAACAACTCCTCATTAAATGCAGCAAACACTTTCAAGTCCTTCACCAAAATCTCCACAGCTTTGGCACGATCACGCCTACAGTACGCAGCACACGAAACAACAGGAAGTTATCACCGAGTGTATAACTTGACCATCAAGAATTCGAAGCGATCCAACAAAAAGGAGAAAAACATTGAAGGCCAAAATGCATTATGTTCAAATTCAAACATACTTGTCCAATGCCTCGAGATACTTCTGCTTTCGGATCTCAAAGAAAATCTTCATAGAATATCTGTTATCATCAACCTTGGTGAACCCTGATAAATACTTCTCCACCTCCTCCCACTCTCCGTTCGTCACCATTTCCTCGAAATACCGCATGTTGAAGTAAAACCCTGACTCCTGCTCCAATCTAAACACACACATACACATAAACACGAAACCAAACCTAATTCACACACAAAAACCCTCAAATTCACACCCTCCCCCCACCAAAATAAAGCTTCAACCGCCGCCACATTCACAAACCCACAACCAACACAATGCCCGCCGCGGCCACCACAAAAAAAAAGACACAAAATTCAGGCTTACTTGTGCACAGTCTCCTTGAATTTCTCTTCGTCCAGGAACTGAAGTATGAGAAACACAAGCTCCCTGCTTAGCGACGACATAATTCCTCCCGCTCCACCTGCCCACACAATTGAACCAATTACCCTCACTCAGAGATCTAAAACCCTCGCAGATTAAAAACACGCACACACACACACTCCACCTAACAACCAAACAAACATCTACAATTCCAATAACCGCAACGAGTGGGAGAATGCGAAGCGAAGAAGCAGATGAAAGCTTCAGCCGCCCCCCCCTCCTCCCCGGGAAAATTTCCAGGCGGGAAAGTTTACCTGAGCAAAACAGATCGGAGAATTTCGAATACGGACAACGAGAGGGCCGCCGTTCACCAGTCCCTCTCTTCCCCTTCCAGAAATCTTCTCTCTCTGAGCTTTTCCTTTTCTCCTCGCTTTCCTTTTTCCCTCTCCCTCTCTCTCTCCTTCTTCTAGTTCTTCTTCTCTATTTCCTCTGCAAGTTTCTCTCTCTACTCCCTTCTCTCTAGCATCATCCCCTGGCGAGTATTTATAGACAGGGAGCTGTGCTAGGGATTTGGGGGAGAGAGAGAGAGGAAAAAAAGGCCACCAGACAAAGTTAATAACCCGTGAGACGAGACGAGATGCGGTTTGCCATGATATGATAAGCTAATAAATAGGAGGATAAGCAGACCTGCTGATCTCCTTTGTTGAGTGATACGTGGGGCAGGGTGCAGGCGTTATCAACACGCTTCTGAGCGAAGGGTCTTCCTTCCACATTTCATTTTTCTTTAATTCAATTTATTTTTAAGGAAAATAGATTAACTCGTAATAAAAGTCATATCCGGCTAGATTTGCGGACTTTTTTGGCAGTATAAATTACACCCGGTTTCATTTTTTCTTTTCCCCCATTTTTTGTGTTGGAAAATAAAAGGTTAAGCGATCTCGAAATTAAAATAATTGCTTCATCGTAATTCGATATATAACAGTTTAAGAGCTGATCGATATGTTGTGTCGATTTTCACATGTGTTTTTGGTTGGGTATGATATTGATTTTTATTTCAACGAGAATAATTCAAATCTATCATCGATCTGGTACAGATCGGATCGTTATTGATATGTTTGTGTTGATATGAATTTGTCGAGTATTCGCCTAAACAATAATCTTCTCGTTTGGGAATTTTGTTGTTCGAAAAAAAATGGAAACTTTCTCGTGAGAACACCACACTTATAGTTATAGATAGTATTTGAGTATTTTTGTTACTACAACACAACTCGTTAGTAGTTCAAAAATTAATATAAATGAAATTTATTATACTATAAATGAAATTTCAATTGAAATAAAGAACTAATTGGATCTCTTTTCACCTTATGCCTATTCGATCTTTCCCAAACAACCCTGAAATCGTCTACTGACATGGAATCTTACTAGTTTGGATTCTACCAATTACAACTGCAAGTGTAAAAAGAGCATTTTCTGTTTTGAGTTATATTAAGAACAAGTTTTCAAATCGTTTTGGTGACCAGTTTGCTAATGCTTCTTTAGTGAGATACATTGAAAGATAATTATTTAATAGTGTAGATAACAAATATTTTTGTGTTTCTTTCACAGTATGAAATCCCTTCGTGGTTGTTTGTTTATGAAAACAATAATTATATAGTCGGTTATTTTTATTCTATAAATGAATTACTTAAATATAATCATTTTTATTATTTTTTATTAAATAATTCTTAATTAAATACTTCTATCTTTACGTTATGAAAAGAGGACATGGGTGGTTTGAAATGCTGCCTCCGCCACTAAGCACCGGTGCGTACAAGTTGAATTTGCATCGTAACATTGAATTTTCAAGTTTAATTTGTATCATAAAGAGATTTGCACGAAAAGGATCGTCGTATCGGTATAAATTGAATTTGTAGCATAATGTTAACAAACATGTTTAGTTTGTAACACAAAAAACTTGAAACCAAAAAAATATTGGTACCAACTGAATATGTATCGGTACTTATGAATATAGTAGTAGTAGCGGAGCTCTAATTGTCTTAGTTAGGCTATACTCTATTTGGGTTTTTCCCTGAGAGCATATTAAATTACTTACCATTAGTTTAATAAAAAAAATATGCTAAAATAATTAATGTGTAGACATTACATACATATTTGGCAGGTGGTGCATTTACCATTAAATTTGGGTCCATCCGTTTTTCCCCGAGATGCGTTTGGATAGAATGATTTGGATTTGGTATTTGTGATTTGGATTTTTAAATATCAAATCATGTGTTTGAATATTAATTACGTTTGATATTACGATTTGTGTCAAAAAAATTAGTTGACAAGTAATATACTAGTAATGGATTCAATGTCATCCCTCTCTTGCTAGCTTCTCCGTCTTTACAAACACTTGCGAGATCCTGGCGAGAAATTGATAACCTCAAATTGTTTGTAGTCATTATAAAAAAAAAATATGGCATTGTTGTGGATCATATATCTAAAACCGATTGCTTCGTCATATTAATAAAGTATGTACCGGTTCACAAGTTAGATTTGATTTGGATTTTTTTTATTAAAACGATAAATCATAACAACATAAGCGGAATGACTATCGATGCAAAATAAATGAAATTGAGTCACAAATCAACCACAGTTCTAATAAATAAATAAATCTTATAATTAGTCAAACATTGGATAAGAATTTATTTTTAATAGACAATTTATTCAAAACTCACAAATACTATTTCTTATAATGATAATTAGCTAAATAATTATACATCATATCATTAAAAAGTGGCAGTCGTGCGAGAGACGTGTTTATATATTAAATGGATAAAGTAAGCAGCTAGTGGGCCACCCAGACAGTGAATTAGACAGAGAAACAAACGAAGAGAGAGAGAGAGACTGTGAGAAAGTCATGAAAATGAATGAACCCAGAAAAGGAGAGAGAGAGAGAGAGAGAGAGAAAATAAATAAACAAATAATAAAAGGTACAGAAATTTCAGCCGGGGAAAGGGCATTTTCTCTCATCTCATATCGTATGGTTTATCGTATCGCGCGATATGATAAGTACGAAACAATAATTGATAATAAAACCACTTTCGTTTTTTTTTTTCAATTATCTTTTCAAATTTAATAAAGTCCTCATAATAATTGATAATAATGTGATTTTTTATTTATTATTTCTTCGTGCATCGTTTTCGCAGAACCACCACACGTCAATTCCGTCGGACACAAATTAAACGGTTCTAATCAGACGAACGTTTTTTGTTTTGTTCTAGGGGAGGTGGATATTGATGAAACTTACACTTTAACCCCCAAACTTTGCCATCTTGTCAAATCACCCCTTTTCTTCCCTCTTATTTATTCTCCATCAATCAACTCATTTATGTTTGCTCATTGTGCCTATATCTCCTTTCTTTTCAGAGGAGCTTAGACCGGTCGGTTCTGGCCACATACTCTCTCGAAAGGGTGTTGCAAATACATAAAGGTCGTTTGCTTAATAAATTTGAAAAATGAGTGCTTTGATAAAAAAAAGAGATTTGAAAAACCATGAATGTATGATGGATTTGGTGGCATCATAAATTTGAACAAGTCTATTGTTTGCTTGTTGGATTTGATCCATCACCCAAATCCCACCTCAAGAGGTGGAACTTCCAGGTCTGTGGGGTCCACGGATTTGGACCCCCAAAAGTCCGTGGGCCCCACAGATTCCATCTTCCTAATCCCTAAGGCAAATGATGGATTTTTCGTTCAAGCCCTACGATTGATGGATTTCCATGACCAAATCCATCATCAAAACCCTCAAGCAAACGACCCGATAGAGTACTTCATACAGGTTGTCGAAAGAAAAAAAAATAGACGTGTTATGGATTGGTCCAAGCGTTGGGGCAGGCGGGATGATTCATTTTATTCAATTATAAATTATGTGACGAGGAAGAAGACGAACCACCTATCGAGAACTAAAATTAAATCCTCGTAATTTTTTTTTGGTCGAGAGGCAATATCATCGAACTAGGCCAACATCCAATAAATACTCTCGCCGAACTTTTATGAAGGAGAAGTATGGGTTTGTCGGAGTTTGGAACAAGGAACGAGAGATTGATTTTTTTTTTTCTTTTGAGGAACTAAATACAGTCGAAATCTTTACGGAAGAAATTTTTGAGGATCAAGTAAGGAAAAAAAATGAAAAACGCGTAACAAGACTACAAGAGGTGTATAGCATATTCCGATAGCTACGCACGATAAGATTCACAATTAGAGTAGAGACTAGAGAGGGATGTGTTTGAAGAAAGTGTATAGTTTAGGCGCCAAAGAGTAACTTGATTAAAATGGATGAATTAACATAGAGAGAGCGTTTGATTTTGAGGGCTTTTGTTTGTTTGGGGGGCTGCGGTTCTCTATTTAACACTCCCACCGTAACTACGGTGCGCCACTTTAGACCAGGTTCAGGTAAATGCATTTTTTATAAATAAAAAAAATGCGATGATGCCGACCTGTGACTTATCCGTCTATTTAACTGCACATGGGCAAAATAAAAATAAAAAGAAAAGTAGAAAACCCCATTATATAATATATATATATATATATACTCGACCCGTTAATCAATTCGAAGTGGATCTTGTGAACTCAAATGAGCAATGGGTCAGTCAATTTGACCGAATTTGGATCGAGCTTTTTGCAGAAAACCTTGTATTTATATATTGACTTGTTTTATATAATAATAGTATCATTCAAAGATTCATGCATATCGATCCTTTTAGAATATTAGTTGTGAAACAAAACCGTATTGCATTGTGTAGATCAGATTCGAAAAAAAAAAAAAACTTTCTATCAAAATTTAAATTGGTGGGTGGTTTCAGACTTTCGGTGACATGAAATGGTTAAACCATGATTTCAGCACAAAACTTTATTCTTGACTTTTTCTGGTACAACAATCGGTACAGTTTGACAATCTTTTGCTTTTTCATATTCATACACAATTTACCGAGATAGTAAAGGGACCGGAATATGAAATCATATGAATCGGGGTAATGAGTGCCCCATGACTAGGTAATAATCCGGACATTATCACCCTCTCTGTTGAATACGGGGAAACAACCATTTTTCCACTCTCTAGCGAGCAGCTCCTGTAATCACTGAGTAATTGGTTGCGTATATGTTGATGATCAATCCTTGGCATTATATGTCTGATGTCTCAAGCCAGATTGGAGTCCTCTAATTGCGCCGTTCAATCACACAACGGTTTAACGGATCAAATATGTTCATTGTCTTCCGATTTAGAGTGACCCGCTTATGAGAATGAAGCTAATTAGTTAATCATCCAACGGCCTTGATTCTTTTGTGTCATCCTTTCCCAAACATGACAAGCAATAGTAGCCAACAAACTAGGTTCCCATTTTGGTTGTTTGGTTTGGTCCTTTGTGCACAAAATAGTAATTAGACACGAAATTTCGTCAAAGCTAATGTCTTGTCGAGACAGGCCAAAAGTCTTTAGGGGAAAGGTCAACTTCATTGACTTTCTCGAGTTCAAACGATTTCTCCATAACAACCGGCTAGTAGTGTGATGGTGCACTATCGGCAAAATTGGCATCCGCCTAAAGTTCTTCCCCGAAAGAATGCCTTCTAAAGGTAAAGATGGCAAATAAAGGAAAAAGGGGATTTTGCTTTGAAAAAAAAAAACAAATATATTTGTCACTTTTCTTTTAGATATCCCAAATGGGAAACAACAAGTACGATAAAAATATGCATGATATTTTTGTCACGAGAAAGATAGTGTTTTCGGTTAGGGCTGCAAAGAGGATTGATGCTGAGCAGACAATATGAGTGCAAAATTCCGACCCGCCTAAAATCAATGGCTCAAATCTGGTTCTGCATTTGTGCACAACCCTAGGTTATGCACCCGAACTATTCAGTTTCAAATGGTTCCAAACTGTGACCACTTTCAACTTTTAATAAAATGGTAAAATACAACACTCGTAATTATAAAAAGAAAGGTAATTTATAATACGGAGTTTCTCGATGTGACAATGGTAGGATAACATTACGCCTCCAATGACTAATTATGGCAAAATTAATGGAGAACAGCCAGCACTGACGACTGGCGTGATATTTGAACTGTAATTTTATAGCTCACTAAGCTTGTTCCTTATACATGGTATTCATCAACAATCTTGCTCGTAGTCAACCATCATATGTCCAAGGTGATTATTGAAGTTTACTCGGGGGTTGTCATCTGGCAGCTCCAAGCCTCCAACACGAAGGGCACTTCGATTCATAGGACTGTCCTCTCTTCGACGAGTGTCATTAGTTGGTATTCTTCTAGAGGCGACTCAATTTTTGAAGCGATTTTTTCGAACTATAAATTGAATTGTTCGTGATGAGTAAAACTCTAATATTGTGTCCTTCAGAGTTGGCTTCTATCAGAGCTCACATTTGTCATTCCTCTCTCACAAAATATCATTGAATGCTTACAAAAGTCATTTTATAATTAGACCATTTTCATTTATTGTTATTGACCATCAATGAGGTGACATACATGACACGTGTAGTTATGAAAGTGCTATAAACTATCAACAAAACTGAAGGAATTGGAACAAAGACATCATGATTAGACTCCAACATGGTCAATAATGGAAACTAGACAACTGATGAAGAAGCCAATAAAAGGTGAATGGAAGGAGGAAGTGCTCTTTGTATAAAAGTTTGAATGGCCTAAATGGGCAAATGGGCTGGGCTCTTCGATCACGCAGGGCCCAATAAGCATTGAGGTTTGAGGGCAACCCATTCAATTGACACCAAGGTTGTCAAACAGGTTTATGCCAGTGTGTCGGTTTAGCAAGTGGAATGGTTCGACCGGCGGCACATATCGGTTTGTGCAGGTTCATGCCGGTTAATATTACAAATAAAATAATAAATACTCATATTTAAACATGACATTAATGTCAATACCTAAACATTTATACTTGAATCCAACAAATAACATCAATATTTAACTTTATACTCATAAAATAAATAATAAAATAATATGTAACAATTAAATTCACTAAAATAAGGTCATTTTACTTTGAGATTCGTATATCAATCATGGCGGTTATACCGGTAGTGTCACGCCGGTTTTATGACCGGTACCGGCTAAACCAGATACAACCGGTGGCACGCCGGCCGACGTGACAAACATGATTGACACTGATAAGTGACAAACCTAAAAGAAAGAAACCCTGATACTTACCGTAACTCATCAAATGTACAGAAGATTTCTCTTTTCTTCAGATTACATGGTTTTGAATGTGATGCCATGGAAGAAGATAGAAAGCCCAATACTACAAGGCCGAAGCCACCCGGCGTCCGTGGCCCATAGCGAAGTTCGAGCTTGGAAATCCCACTGTTGCCAATGCCAATCCAGCAACTAACTGAGCGGTTGGTTGAGTGCTTCGCTAAGTCTCAAGTCTCAACCTTCTTCCGCTCCGCGCCGGCGGCGGCGACACAGTTGTTTGTGTTTCAGTCCTGTTCTCTGGTTGGGTTTTCCGGATTCGATATCAAGTTCGCATCTTTCATTCTGGGTTCGCGCTGGAAATTGATTTAGATGATTGAGCTTTGTTATGGTATTGGAATAGAATCATTCATATCGAAGGAAGGCTGGGCGAAGAGCTGGTAGTATCTATTGTGTCAGGGTCTACCGTTGCCAAAGCTTTCAATTCAACGCAGTTCATCAGCTCGGCAATATGGCTAGGATCATTCATCGAAACTGCTCTCTACTTCATTGGCTAAGAAAAACCGGTATGTCTGAATTCCCTTATTCTTCTGCTGCTACTCCCTCGTCCGACTTCGCCTCCAATTCAACTATGACCTCCAGTTCTGTAACTTTCGCCAGCGTAGATGATGCCTTGGATTCATTTAATAGGATGCTCCACATGAACCCCAGACCTTCGGTTTTGAAATTTGGTCAGTTGGTAAATTCTCTCATGAGAATGAACGCCTTCCAGGCTGCCTTCTATGCTTCTAAACAAATGGAATTAGCTGGAGTCCCACACAATCTTTACACGCTTGGCATGTTGCTTCGTTGCTTCTGTAAATTGGGTCGTGTGGATTTTGGCTACTCAGTTTTGAGCAAAGTTCTGAAGCTCGGTATTCAATTCAATGATGTGATGCTCACTACATTGATCGACGGGCTCTGTAAAGATGGTAGAGTAGTTGAGGCTGCAAGGTTGGTTCATAAGCTTAGGATTTTGGGATATCAACCGAATGTTTACGCTTATAACATACTTGTAGATGGACTGTGTAAGGTAGGGCAAACGAGTGTTGGGCTTGAATTGCTGAAAAACATGGAGGAGTTAGGTTGTCAACCTGATGTGGTAAGTTATAACACAATCATTAGAAGCCTATGCAAGGATGGAATGGTATCAAAAGCTTTAGATGTGTTTTTAGAGATGGAGGATAAAAAGATTCAACCAGATGTTTTTGCTTACAATGGCTTGATTCATGGGTTGTGCATTTCAAGCACAATCAATGAAGCTATGGAGTTGTTCAATAAAATGGTAGACAGGAAGATAATGCCTGATACATTCACCTATAGCATATTGGTTGATGCTTTTTGTAAGGAAGGAAATGTTTTGGGAGCTAAAGTTATACTCAAAATGATGATTCAAGAAGGATTGATTCCGGATATCAGCACTTACAATTCATTGATGGATGGGTATTGTTTGCGCAATGAATTGGATAAAGCTAGAAAGTTATTTGATTTCATTATTAGGGGATGCAAACCTACCTTGTATAGTTACAATATCATGATTCATGGATATTGTAACAATGAAAGGATGGATGAAGCAGAACAGTTACTGAATAGTATGCTTGGGAACGATTTGACTCCAAATACGATCACGTATACTACTATGATAAATGGATTTTGTCAAGCCGGGAGGCTTAACGATGCACAAAAAACTCTCAAGAAAATGACTAGTGAGGGTTGTTCCCCGAATATAGTGACGTACTGCACTTTGCTTGATTGCTTGTGTGCACGAGGTCAACTTGACGCCGCATTAGCTCTATTTCAAGTATTAGAAAGTAGTAGGTTGAAACCTGGTGTTGTGGCGTACAATATACTTTTGGATGGATTGTGGAGAGCAGGGAGGGGAGATGAGGCAAGGGAAATGTTTTCTAAGCTCAATAGGGACAATTGTTTGCAACTTGATACCCGCACATACAGCACGGCAATTAATGGACTTTGCAGACAAGGTTTTGTGGACGAAGCATATGAATTGTTCAGAAAAATGGAGGGGGATGGTTGTCTACCAGATGGCGGCTCTTATAACGTGATCATTCATGGATTTCTTCGCCATAAGGATCCACTTGAAGCAATGGACCTCATTCACGAGATGGTTTCGAAAGGCTTCTCAGCCGATGCAAGGACGATGACATTGCTAATAGAATTGTTGCCCAAGAATCAGTTGGATCATCCGATTTTCCAGAAGCTGTTGAGTGGTCCTGATATCAAGAGTCATAAAATTGGGTCCAGCGGTCTATCTGCTGCTGCTACTGCTGCTACTCAAGGAACTTGCTGAAATTCTCATCCAAACTCCAGTTGCATGATCCAGTAGTTGATCAAAATCTCTTGGTGTCGAAGAAGATTCTGACGACGCAAGATTACTGGAACTAAAAGGTCCGAGTCATGATCCTTGCCATCCCACTTACATATGCGTTTCCATGCTTCCTGATACTATCAGAAATTAAGGGCGCTGCATATTGCTGGTTCTCTCTGTTTGCTGTCTAAATGTGATCCCTATACGTTCTTCTGTCTGTACTTAGTATCGGAATATTGTGTAGAGATATGACTTAACTTAACTTAGCTCGCTTGTTTAGTAACATTAACTTACATTTTGCCCCAAAATCCCTTGAAATGGAACTCTAGGCTTCTGCTGTTGTCAAGAAGAATCAATGCGTTTGGGTATCCATTTTGCACTTCAGTCCTATGAATTGGATAGTGATCAACTACTGCATAGTTGTCTGCTCTTGTCGTTTTGTTTTTTTGTTTCATGATGATCTTTGCGTTCATGTATGCTGCTCTACTCTTTGAGGCACTTGTTCTCATGTTGTACTAGTGTTGGGCACTTGTTCTCATAATCTCGTAATTATGTATTTCATATGTATTGCAGATGTGTATTAAGTATTAACTACTTGCAGGTGGTAGCTAAATAGTCACCATCTCGACATGTAATCTTATTATTATCCACCGACACACAAGAACAAGAGCAAAATTTTTTTTGACTAGCCAACAAGAGGTCTTTTTGTATAATTTTTTTTTTTGGAACTGTATTAGGTGGATAGCAAGTAGCACCAGTTGAGTCACAAGGTCAACTTGCTCATTTATGTATGTAAATTTTAGATTGATTGGATTTTCCAATTTAGTATATATACATACCTATACAAATTAGAGAGAATCAAAAACCGAAAAAGAATCTTTGTACATCATTATTTTGCTAGGGTTTAATGGAAGAAGTACTACTTCCCATCCTCCTCCTATTGGTAACCATTATCCTCCTCACCCTGAAGACGATGAGGAAGAAGAAGTTGGAGGTGAACGGCGGTCCACTGCCGCCACTACCACCAGGCCCAAGGAAGCTCCCGATAATCGGGAACCTCCACCAGCTGGCCTTCACCTCCCTCCTCCCCCACCGCCGGCTCCGGGACCTGGCCCGACAGTACGGGCCACTGATGCACCTCCAGCTAGGCGAGACCACGAACGTCGTGGTCTCGTCCGCGGAGCTGGCCAGAGAGCTCCTCAAAACCCACGACCTCAACTTCGCCTCCAGGCCCTCCCGCGTCTCCGCGGACATCATACTGTACGAAGCCAGAGACATCGTGTTCGCCCCCTACGGCGAGTACTGGCGCCAGATGCGCAAGATCTGCACCCTGGAGCTCCTTAGCCCCAGGCGCGTGGGCTCGCTACGGGCCGTCAGAGAGGCGGAGGTCCGCGAGCTAATCGGATCCATCGACCACTCCGCCGCTCAATGGAGTCAGAAGATGAAATCAGGTGTGTCTTTTTTTTTTTATCCCCCGAAATATAAATTATTTTTATCGGAGATTTCATTTGCAGTGCACAGTAAAATTAATTTATGACAATCAAATAACAATAAGTTGAGTTTCATTGAAGTGACAAGAATATATTTATTACATCATCATCAAATATAATTGATGAGCTCAATCCTTTTCTATATGAATATACATGAATTTATTATCGTCTTTTTTTTTTTTACCAAAACTTACCTGTGTGTCACGTGACAGAGCCCAACCCCTCCGCTCAGCCGGCACCGGCAGTGAACCTGACCCCACTGCTGATGTCGCTGAGCAATCGCGTCGTTTCGCGGGCCACGATCGGGACGAAGCTCGGGAAGGAAGAGGAGTCTGAGTTCTTCCTTGTGATGCAAGAAATCATGAAGGCATTTGGAGGGTTCACCCTAAGTGACGTGTTCCCGTCCAGTCGGCTGTTGGGCCTGATCGGCGGGACAGAGAGGCGGCTGAAGGAGCTCCACCGTGAAGTTGACGTCATGCTCCAGCGCTTTATTGATGACCACGTGGCCAGAAGATCGGCAGAAAAGGGCGATGATGAAGAAGAAGAAGCAGAAGATCAAGATCTGGTGGATGTGCTGTTGAATTACACTCGTGAACATGGTGATAAAAGCAACGAACTCAGCTTCCCTCTCACCGAAGTCGAGATTAAAGCCGTCATCTCGGTAAGTCTTTAATATGAATTGACTCATCTTGAGCCAATTACAATTGTCTGGGGTGGGGCCAGGTAATCTGACTTGTCTCGTTTTAAATGACTCGTTCTGTAAAATGAAACAATTGGTCAAATTGTCTCGTTTTACAATTGATCAATCCAAACGACCCCTTAGCTTTATTCAGACATCACTTATTCACTTGGCAAAGATGAGTCAAGGGTTTTGTGATTATTATTATTATTATTATTATTATTATTATTATTATTATTATTATTATTATTATGAGTATCTTGGGAATTCTTGAAAACTCATTTGGTTTGTGTTGTAGGACATGTTCTTAGCTGGAACTGACACGACTGCCGTTCTCTTGGAGTGGGCAATGGTAGAATTGATGAAAAATCCCGACGAGATGGAGAAAGCACAGAGAGAGGTCAGGCGCGTGTTTGACAAAAAAGGAAAAGTAGTAGACGAAGCAAGTCTTGATGAACTAAACTATCTAAACTCAATCGTGAAAGAAACTTTAAGATTGCACCTACCTGCTCCTCTATTAGCCCCAAGATCAACTCGAGAAACGGTTGTGATTAACGGATACCAAATACCCGCTAAAACAACGGTGATCATCAATGCATGGGCCATCTGTCGCAATCCAGTAAACTGGGAGAAACCAGATGAATTTATGCCAGAAAGATTCCTCCTCGGCTCCATCAATTACAAGGGCAATGATTTCCAACTAATCCCATTCGGTGCAGGACGCAGAATATGCCCTGGCATGCAGTTCGGGACTGCTATTGTTCATCTCGCACTCGCAAATTTGCTTTATCATTTTGACTGGAAGCTTCCAAACCAAACTAAACCCCAAGACCTTGACATGTCTGAAATTTTCGGAGTAACCGTTGCAAAAAAAAGTGACTTGTATCTCATCCCCATCCCGTACAAGGCACCCTAAATCAATAAGTTGTAGTAGTTTTTCTTTCTCATGTACGAGATGAAGCTAGTTCTTTTATTGTGTAAGGATGAAGTTTAGGGTGGTTTTGTAATGTATGAGTTTCACATTATCATGTAAGATTGTAATATTTCGTGTAATAACAAACTATAGTGTTTGATAGCCATGAGTTGTAATATTTGTATGAAAAATAAAAATATTTAATATTTTCATTAACAATTTATTTTCTCCCCGTCGGAGATAATCAATAACCTATTTTTATTTCTTTTTTTTTTTTGTTATGGATTGGACTTTGGATATATAAGTTATTTGATGTCTAAACGCTTGTTCCCCTTTGTTTAATTTACTTCATTGTACAGAATATTGAGCAAACGACGATGCAACTAGATCGGAATCAAGTTGATGAGAATGAAAGAAAGAAGTTTTGTACAAGAAATGAAAATGCATTCAACTCGATTTTTCCATATCCGACTTTGATTTGGTATATGGAGCAATACAATAATTTCTTTAATCCTTAAGAAATTCGATCGAAACACTACTAATTGTAGAATCAAAACTAGCATAAACAAAGGCATTAAACCCATATGTTGATGGATTAATTTTGATCCTACTTGTGACTCCTAAGTCTAACCGGCGCACCCACACATCATATTCATTATTGTTGTTTGTAATGGTTTTCGTTGGTTCTAATTATAGAATTATTAAATCCAATTATCACCAAGTTCAACATAATACTAGTCATCAGTAGTCACCCATCATATTAATTAGACAACAACATTAATGCTTATTATAGTACTTTTGTTTTTTTTGTTGTTTGTAATGGTTTTGTTGGTTCTAATCATTGAATCATCAAAATTTAAAACACTTCCTAGCCACTTAAACCCCACCTCCACTGCCCCATCCTTTTTTGGACATCTGAGGAAGGAATCAAACCAACAACAGAAAAAGGAATCACTAAATAAAACAGGATAACCGACGAAAATGTGACCTTAATCGACTAAATCTGGATCTATGTATTTCAACAGGCAAAAGTGCTTTAAACAAAACGAAAAAAAAGGAAGGGAATAACATATCCATTTAGCAAGCAACAATTTGGTACCACATTATAGCTCGTTGTTTGAACCCAAAGCAGCATCAGCTAGGCGTCGTCCACTATAACCATAGGAGTGACGAGAACAGCCCTCACGACATCTTTCGTGACTCTGTCGGAGGCGGCGCAGCCATCGAATTCCGTGTAACGGAGTTCCATCATCCTCGCAAGCCCGACCAGCATCGAAACGATTTCCCTGCAGACGAAACTCGGCTGGTCGACCACACACTCTTTGTTGATCTCCTTCCAGTCATCCTTCAACATTTTCTTCAGTGCTTTCACTGCTTCCTCTCTCGACACATCATGCTGCTTCATGTAGCACTCGACCAGAGAAGGCCGCCCGTGCCCACTTTTCTGTTCGATAGGAAACCAAATTCTATAGTTTAGAACTAAGTGTATATACCATATATATACAAAATTTATATCTACTCTAAACAAAATCAAAATACGCCATAAATGATTCCTTAGCAAATTTTGCACTTTCATGCTCTGGTTCGTTTCAATATGATTGAAGACCACGACATCATATTTAACACGAAATTGAACAATTTAAATCCTGATTATAACTAATGAAAAGCGGGTACACATGGAACGTAACCCACCTGGTTAGCTACGATGTCATCCATGACGCGACAATGATCAGATACCGCGACAAAGATTTTCGAGTCCGGCAGCAACCACTCGAACGCCTCCTTTGGGGCCTTCTCCCCCAAACCACAGAGGGCAGCACATGCCAACGGCGGGTAAGCTGAGGAATCAATGCCGACGCGCCTGTATTCTTCCACCGTCGGTACTTCCCCGGTGACAAACCATCTTGCATGTGAGAGGAATGCTCTCATAATATACTTTTCCTGCAAGGCACACCATTAATTAATTATCATAAACAATTTCTTTTTTGCTTTAATGGAAAGAGTAGATGAAAAATTTAATGACTAATTAAGCGGATTAAGTGAATTGATTAATTAATAACTGCTTAATTAGATTATATACCGCCTCCTTTAGGTAGTCTCCGCAGTAGTCTCTTCCTTGTGCGGTCGTAGTTGTGGCTATTTCATCCACAACATCAATAATCGCTGCATACAATGTTCTCATGTAGTCTGGGAGATCTTTCATGCTGGTGTCCCATCTGTTCACCATTGACCACTCGAATTACATTGAAGACATATGATTCGTTGATTGGTTTAGTTAACGTAGTTAGCTAGCAATGCAAGCAAGGGCGGAGCCAGGATTTCGATATCGGGTGGGCCGAAAATATAAATAAATAATTATTTATAAATATTTGAAAAATATACAACGTTTTTTGAAATATTTGAAAAATCACTCAAATAACATTAAACTAAATATTTTTCTATCTTTCTTTCAATATAGTCTAAAAATCATTGAAATCACTCAAAATTAAGCAAAATGTGAAGTAATGGTGAATTGAACTTTGGTGCTTCACACTAAAAACTAGATTAGCTACCAGTAGACTACATAATAGTTACATGAACTAATTTTCTGGCCGAGTTGTACTTATGCAAAATTTATCTAAATATCCTTAAAGTTCTAGTGGTTCGGACTATTCCCGGGGGCATCCTACCTTCTAAGTAGCTCCGCCCCTGACTGCAAGAAAAAAAGGTTTCGGCTACCATTTTCTTGGCAACCATAGCTAGTGGTTGTAATCAAATCTAATTGGCGACCATATTCAAAGGGTTGCCGAAGTTTTCTACCTTCAAATGGTGACCATTTTGTGATTTCACCAACCTTTTATGGTTGCAGAAAAGGTTATTTCTTGTAGCTAACTAGCTATAGCTAGTTCTAGACTAACTTGTGAGAACAAAAACAAGAAAAACAGAGCGACAGAGAGAGAGACTCATATACCTCTCGACAACAGAGGTAAACAACTCAAGTTCGTCAAGTATACCACGCTCCTCATACATGTCATCGGTCACAGATACAAGCATGATGATTTTCGTTATGAAATATCTCGCAAGGGCAAATTTGGGTTCCCACATGCTTCCGATCGCCCAAAAGTATAACTCGACCGGTCTGTTTCGAGCGAAAGGTACCCTCGAGGCGAAGTCCAAGTCGATCCACCACCTGCACCAACGAATTGGTCCGTTTTAATTAGTTAGAAAGAACAAAAACATATTCATCCCAAAATGAAAAAGAGATCAACGAGACGTACTTGCTAATGCCCCTAATCTCTTGTTGGTATATGCTCTGCAAATGGTTCCAACTCAACTTGGCGAGGTTGAGAAGGTTTTTGTTGTGACCTTTCTCTTGCTCGTATACCGTGATGAAGAAGAGCTGTTCGTGCCTTGGAGCGCCTTTGCGCAGCGGCCTTTCCAACACATGAGCAATTCTTTTGGACAGTATCCGATTATCATCATCTTCATCACCACGATCCACCCTGAAGTAGTAGTTGCGAAGGTTGTCTCCTGCGAATTCGACAGCTTCTTCCAGTATCGTCTCTCCATGCGTCTGAAGAAATGCAGCTTCATAAAGGCTCATCAACCCATTGATGTCTTTCCCTAGTTCTTCCTTAAAGGTCGTCCCTTCTTCGTTCTTGAATTGGTTGAATACGTCTGCATGTATTGAATTTCAGTAAACTTGTAGCAAATGATATATGGTGTCCTTCCTTTGAAGGGGTATTGTGCTAGCAGCGATTTCGAAATCACACAGAAGAGTTATACTGGAAAATTTAGTGGTACTGTATTAATTTTATACTTAAATCATGGTTCAACCATTTCGTACCGCTGAAATCGTCCACCGTTTTCCGGTCCAACCGTTGAAATCGTCCATGTGTTAAAAAATAATATATGATTAATTACCAAATTTCTTCCGGTAATTATTGGAATCAATTGATTCTCGCACAAGCATTGATCAATATCACAGTATGATATATATTCGTGTAACCATATGTAATATGAAAGCTGAAATGGTACCACAAGGCACGTTGTAGCCGTGCTGTCTGAGCAGTCTGAACTGAAGCGCAGTCGTGAAGAGGTGGTCTTTCTCGTCACTAATTATATCTTTTTTGCAACGACTGGTCCCGTCACAATAAACCTGTCGGAGCTGCTCTTCAATCTCCGCTTCGAAGTGGTAACCGATCCCCAGCCGCTCCACCACATCGATCAGATGCAGCTTCTCCGTTGATATCATCATCGCCTTAATCACCTCTTCCTTCAACGCTTCTATCCTCGCGATCCAACCATTTACGGTCTGCCAAAAGGTGAGCGAGGAAAAGTGGTGTTAGATTCACCCTCTCGTTGAGAAAAGCAGATATCATTAGCGACGGGTTTACCTCATGGTCACTAAAGACATGGGTGATGAAGAAGTCTCCCCATACAGTTCCGGCGGTGGCGCTGTCGCCAGTCATATCGATTTCAACGGCCGGAAGCTGATTCGATCGAACTGATGATATTATATTAGAGTTTTGCAGTTGGAAGTTTAATTCGATGAAGTTTGTGCAAAGCTCGACTTCTGTGTCCAGTCCTTTATGTATAGGGAAATAATATTTTCTTAATGTTGTCTTTTTTCTCAGTGGGTTTCTTTTTTAAATTATGGACTTTAATAATTTCATTATTAATTCTTCTTTATTGTGAGTGTGATCTCTGTAGATATGTCAGGATATTTTGGACTAAGCTGTTTTCTTAACTCCATACTGCGTATGTATATAATATATGTAGCAGGCTGATACATTTTTGGAGTATATAATATTTCGATTATTTCTGATGAGATCTTTATTAAAATTATGAATTAAAACGAGTTTAGGGTGTGACATTATATCACAATCACTAATCGATAAATGTTGCGTCTCGATTCTCTAAACCCATATCCAAATATCAAATTTAATAATAAATAATGATCTACGTTTCTAAATTGTCGAAATACATCCAACGATCATATAAAAAGTTACTTCGTATGCTCTTTCATGTCTATCTTTGTTTCTAGCCATTCAGCTTGTGAAAAAATAAACCATTGGTGATAATGATTATACTCCTTGTTATAAGAACCGAACCAGATCAACGGTCAGGCTAGTAGAACTGTCAAACCAGTTACGATAACAGTCCGGTTCTTCATTGCTTGAACAGTTATTGATGGACCAAACGATTTTTCATGGTTCAACATAAAATCAGATGAACCGACACGGTTTAACTGGTTCACTATTTTAACAAAAAAAAAAGCTTTAACATAGACTAAGACCATCAAATCATAATCATCAATTTTATATATGCTTCATTAACCTTATTGTCGACTTTACGTTGTCTACTACCAACTAGAACCGTAATTTTTAATTTGAATTAAAAAATGTGGTTTCTTTTGTTAGATGGTTGAAATAATTTATTAGATATTTTGTTGATGATATGAATTTGAACTTGTTTATGGTCAATGATAATTTCATTCTTAAATTAGTGTAATATACAAGTCTTATATGTTATATATCATGAACGGTTCTATCAACGGTTCACCAACAATTTTGTAACGGTTAACCGGCGAACGCTAAACCACTAACTCTTCCGATTCAGCCTCCAATTCGGTTCTGAAAACAGAGATTACACTAGATTATCGAAATATGAGTTTTGCACAAAATCTACGATCCTCCTAAGTCCTAACCCACCCCCACCCACCAACCCATCGTATTCATTAGACAACAACAATTCTTTTTATAGTATCTTTTTTCTTTTTGTTATTTTTAATGATTTGGTTGGTTCTAATCATTGGATTATTAAATACAATTACCACCACATTAATTTTATGTAATCCTAGTCATCAAAACACTTCCTAGTTCCTAATCCCCTCACCCCCACCTCCACCGCCCACTGTAATACTAGTCATTAGGGAGGGGTTACGGTGCTAATTGTACAATAGTTAGCACCGTCCTAACCAAGAGAAAAACTACTACTAGTTTGAATTAGTAGTGATTTAGCTTAGATGTTGTATTGATTTTATAATAATCCGTAGTGATTTTTGCTAGTTATCACGGTGCTAACCCCTATAAGGATTAGCACCTAATCCCATCCCTAGTCGTTATAGAGCTCATTAATCACAGGTAGGATGAACATCAATATCAAATTAGCAAATGAAGGAAGCAAAGAGCAATGAAAATTTTAGACGAAGATACATTTGATATAGAATGAGCCAACACCGATACAACTAAATATGAATCAAGTTGAGAATGAAAATAACTTTTTTTCGTAACCAAAATGAAAATGCATTCAATTTGATCTGTCTTAACCCAAATTTGATTCGGAATGAATCTTCGCCAGTGGCGGATCCATGGCCACCCCGGGCCCCGGCCCAGCCCTCCTCTGGAACCATAGTTAGTATAGGCCTTATGAATTTTTCGATTTTAGATATTCGGGTCGTTGTTATTTTAAAATAAGATTTGGTATAATTAGAAAAATGATTCAGATGAACATATTCAAAATCACTACTCTAAATTTAGCTTATAAATTCTAACCCCAAAGTTTATTCGTCTAAAAAAACAATGAAACCTAAAAATTCAATAAGTATTAAACGTAAAAGACTAAAACATATATGAGGTTTGTTACCTTGGAAAATTTACTAGAGCAGCTGGTGGATATAGGGATGGAAACACAATGTAAATTGATTAGTAGATTGATTTGTCTAGTGTTGATGCTGCTCGTTTCAACAGCTAATACGAATAGAACCTTTTCAACAATGAAACATGTGAAATTGATTTGCGCAACAAAATGAGCAATGAATTTCTAGTCGATTGCTCAAGTATTTTATTTGAAACAGTGTATACTATTGGTATAGATGTGGACTCCTTTATTAATGCATTCGCTAAATTAAAATACCGTCGTGTATAATTTACATTGTAAAAAAATTATAATCATAATATTTTTTGACTATTCTAATTTTATAATAAAATACGGCCCAGTGCACTTCTGTGTTCTGGATCCGCCGCTGATCTTCGGTTCTTAAGAAATTCAATGAAGCAGGTTTACAATAAAAAAGGAAATTCAATGAAAAACTTGAGAAAATCAAGAAGGCACATCAATACGAAAAACATGAATTGATTATGGATATAGGGATTGAAGAGGAGGATTATAGAGGATTAAGAATACCATTTAGGAAGAATTGGAAGAAGGTTTGGAGGAGAATAGAAAGAAATAGTCGGTAGATAGTTTTTAAAGAAAAAAAATAGCTTTTGAGAGATTAGGGATAATTGTTTCATTACTTTCTTCTTGATTATGAAAGAAAGATCCAAAATACATATCTATAAGAAAAAGCCACAAAATCCTAAAAATAACCCTAATCGACCCACTACTTAGTGGTCAATGATTTTTATCGTTTTGATATCTTGTTCCACTATAGTGTGTGATCTCACCCACTAAAATCATTAAACGATAACAATTCTTATATTTTAGTTTTATTTTTTAATTTTGCTTTTTATGTATTTGTTTCAAACGATTTTGTGATAAGTGTTAAGAACCAGTTGATCCCAATATCTCGAGTTTTTGGGAGAGGTTCAATCGTGGATCATATACCACTTACAAATACAACCCCCTCAAACGAAAGCCAGACAACTTGTAAGGGTGTTCATTTGCAAATGTCCTGAATACGAGAATACATGTGCTTCATAAATGGGCTTATCGGGATTCGAACACAAGACCTCTCATCCACAGAAGACTCTCAATAACTCAAGTTGTTATGAGAGATTCTATTGTGAATCATATGCCACTCTCGCTAATAGTTGATCCATTTGAATTATTGAATTCAATTATCACCGAGCTTTATATAATACTAGTCATACTCACCCAAAGATGTGCTACAATTATAGTTTAAACTCAATTCACTCCAGCACTTCAAGAGCACTAGTTTCGGCAGTGGAGTTGTTGCTGCTAGGGCTGCAAATGTACGTGGGTACCGTGCGGCACGGTTAGAGCACGGCACGAGCACGGACACAAAATAAATTGGCTAGCTCGGCACGAGCACGAATAATTTACGGGCTGTGCCGGGCCTAAACTTCATGGGCACGAGCACGACACGGTATATAAGTGGGCCGTGTCGGGCCTAATATTTTCAAGACTTTATTGCGTATAAGAACGAACATGGCACGGAAATAAATATAAAAAGAATTATAGGTTCAAATATTACAAACACAAGTAGAAAAATAATTATTTCTTGTTGTTAGAAGTGTCATAAAGATATATACGTAATTACTAACATATGTAAAAATAGATAAAGAATTAAACAAAGCCAAATGACACTCGCTATACTTCCAATTTTCGTTTCCCCCTGATTTGTTACTTTTCTCAAACATTATCGATTAATACTATCTCCCTCCGTCCATTTTTCACCTTATTTTTCATTTTCTCTTATATTTCGTCTTTTTCATTAAACACGAATACGAGCATGACACGAGCATGAATAGGCACGACACGATTCGAACCGTGCCCGGGCCTGGGCTAGGCCTAGCAAAGTTAACAAATGGACTTGTATGGCACGACATGAAAAATGACGGGCTGTGCCAAGCACGACACGAAAAATGACGGGTCGTGCCAAGCACGACACAAAATAAATGGGCCCGAAGCGTGCCCGTGCCGTGCCGGCCCAAGCACGGCCCAACGCCCATGTACAGCTGCAAATGAGTCAAGCCGCTTGGTAGCAACTCGGCGTTCGAATCAGAAAAAATTCGTTCAACATTCTGTTCGTTATTTAACAAGCCGGCTCATAAACGAGCCAAGCTTGAGCCAGACCATGCTCAGCTTGAGCTAGCTTGTTGAGCTAAGCTCGCAATTTGCCTTGTTTAGAGCTTGTGGAATGAATAATTACTCATCTAAACATGAGCATTATCTTGTTAATACGAATGTGTGTGGAAGTTAGATGTTATTTTTAGTTTCCAGTGTTCTTTTTATCATTTAAATTCTTATGTGTACACATTTTTACCAAAAATGATTTCAAATCGAGCTCATCTTAAGCAGAGCTTATACTCAGCTTGACAAGCTGTGTTAATGAGCATTTACTGCTCTACCGAGTCGAGTTTGAGTTGGATTATTTTTAATCGAGCTGAGCTCGAGTTTGAGTTAGATTATCAAAATTCGAGTTTGAGCCAAGCTCAAACTAAGCAAAAACTCGACTCGGCTCGTTTGCAGCCCTAGTTGTGAATCATGGTCGCTTGTATATATAAACAACGAACCGTTTGACTACAAACCATCGTTCGCTCTCCATTTCCTTTAGGTGGTGTAGGAAAATACATTTATAAGAACAGGTGCCTCAAAGAAAATGATAGCATACTTGCATGCAAGGAACAAGTGCCTCAAACAAAACAAAACAAAACAAGGAAGGACAATTAACAAGCAACAATTTGGTATCACAGTATCTCATTGTTTGATTCCGATGTTGAACACAGAGCCATCTATGTCATTAGTTGAAGGATTATGTCGTCCTTTCGAATAAAAATTCTTCCGATTAGGCAAATCAAAGCAGCTTCAGCTAGACATCGTCCACTATAACCATAGGAGTGACGAGAACAGCCCTCACAATATCTATCGTGACTCTGTCGGAGGTGCCATAGCCATCAAATTCCGTGTACAAAACTTCCATCATCCTTGCAAGCCCGACCAACATCGAAATAATTTCCTTAGAGACGAAACTCGGCTGGTCGATCAGACACTCTTTGTTGATCTCCTTCCAGTCATCCTTCACCATTTTCTTCAATGCTTTCACCGCTTCATTTCTAGGCACTTCATATTGCTTCATGTAGCACTCGACCATCGAAGGCCCGTGCCCACTTTTCTGCTCGAACTATCAATACACAACCAAAATTTTCAGTTTTAGAATCGAGTGCATACCATCTAATATTTGACACCTACTCGAAAAACAAAATCAAATTCAGGAAATGATTAAAAATACCAGCAAATTCAATAACAATTACTTAGCAAATTGTATATACCCATGTTCTAGTTTCATTGCAATATGATTGAAGACTGACATCATAAATTAACACGAAATTGTATAATCGAAATGAAGATTATAACTAATGAAAAGTGAGTACACAGAGAGAACGTAACCCACCTGATGAGCTAAGATGTCATCCATGAGGCGACAGTGATCAGATACCACGACAAAGATTTTTGGGTCCGACAGCAACCATTCGAACGCCTCCTTTGGGGCCTTCTCACCCAAACCGCAGAGGGCTGCACATGCCAACGGCGGGTAAGCCGAGGAATGAATGCCGACACGCTTGTACTCCTCCACCGTCGGCACTTCCCCGGCGGCGAACCATCTTGCATGTGAGAGGTATGCTCTCATTATATACTTTTCCTGCAAGGCACGCCATTTAATTAATTACCATAAACATGATATTTTTATAATGACTAATTAAGCTAATTAAGTGAATTGATTAATTAATAACTTCTTAATTAGATTACATACCGCCTCCTTTAGATAGTCTCCGCAGTAGTGTCTTCCTTGTGTGGTCGTAGTTGTGGCTATTTCATCCACCACATCACTAAGCGCCTCAAACAAAGTTCTCATGTAGCCTGGGAGATCTTTCATGCTGGTGTCCCATCTGTTCATCATTAGCCATACGAATCACTTTCAAGCTATATGATTCGTTGATTGGTTTAGTTAACGAAGCTAGATAGCTAGCGCTACAAGAAAAAAGAATTTCGACTACCGTTTTCTTGACCTCCATTAGTAGTGATTGTAATCAAGACCAATTGACAACCACATTCGAAGGGTTGCAGAAGTTTTCTACCTTTAGGCACTCATTACTAGTGGTTGAAAAGTAACCCATGTGGCAACCACATTTAATCAGTTAGTCACAGAACCCAAACAATATTTTCAACATAATCGTCGCATAGAGTTGCAAGGTGATGACCTTTTGCCGACTATCGTGGCGATCCTCATTTATCGTCACCGCAATGTTTTGGCGACCATTTTCTGATTTTCAGCAACCTTATTTGTGGTTGCAGAATTTTTTTTTCTTTTTTACTTGTAGATATAGCTAGTTCTAAATTCACTTGTGAGTAAAAAAACAAGTGCTCAACCAAAAACACAAGAAAGAGAAAGAGAGAGAGACTTATATACCTCTCGACTGTAGAGGTAAACAACTCAAGTTCGTCAAGTTTACCACGCTCCTCGTACATGTCGTCGGTCACGGATATGAGTATGGTGATTTTCGTTAAGAAGTATCTCGAAAGTGCATATTTGGGCTCCCACATGCTTCCGATCGCCCAGAAGTATATCTCGACCAGTCTGTCCCGAGCGAAATATATCCTCGTGGCGAAGTCCAAATCGATCCACCACCTACGTCAACGAATTGGTTCGTTTTAATTAGTTAGAAAGAACAAAAACATATTCATCCCAAAATGAAAAGAGATCAACGAGACGTATACTTGCTAATGCCCCTAATCTCTTGTTGGTATATGCTCTGCAAATGGTTCCAACTCAATTTGGCGAGGTTGAGAAGGGTTTTGTTGTGACCTTTCTCTTGCTCGTATACCGTGATGAAGAAGAGCTGTTCGTGCCTTGGAGCGCCTTTGCGCAGCGGCCTTTCCAACACATGAGCAATTCTTTTGGACAGTATCCGATTATCATCATCTTCATCACCACGATCCACCCTGAAGTAGTAGTTGCGAAGGTTGTCTCCTGCGAATTCGACAGCTTCTTCCAGTATCGTCTCTCCATGCGTCTGAAGAAATGCAGCTTCATAAAGGCTCATCAACCCATTGATGTCTTTCCCTAGTTCTTCCTTAAAGGTCGTCCCTTCTTCGTTCTTGAATTGGTTGAATATATCTGCATATATATTGTATTCAGTAAACCTATCAACTAGCATCATCATCATATCCTAGTATTGTAATGGAACGAGAAATCCACAATGCGAAAATACCTTGTGCCGACAACCAATGAAAAAAAAAACTCGACCAATTAGAGGGAACAATTCTCAATCCAATCCACCAATCCTTTAAAAATATTCAACACATTCAATCCATTTGATCCAAATCCAATTGGATTGGTGGATTCATGGATCGTTGGCAAATTACAGTTTAGTACCTATACTTTTTTATTTTTTTACATTGGAAAATTACGTTTTGGTACCTAAAAATTTTCATTACAACATTTAGGTATCTAAACTTTTCACTTTTTACATATTGGTCCAAGGTTAAGGATGTCATTTGGATTCATTAATAATCCACCAATCTACTTGATCCGATTCATGAATCCACCAATCCATTTGATCCATGGATCCACCAATCCAATCCACAAATCCATGAATCCAATTAATCCATTTGTCACCTCTATTCACTAAACTCTAATCCAATACGTAAATGAATAGGTTACCAACCACCAAAATAGTAAAACTCAACGTATATATAAGCTCATACACACGGTGTAATGAAATATATTTTCAAGTTATAGTGTGTATAAGTCAATAATTTTTCTTCTTTAAATCCTAGCAAAAGAAGTCGTGTAATTAATAACCATGTAACGAAAGCTGAAATGGTACCACAAGGCACGTTGTAGCCGTGTTGTCTGAGCAGCCTGAACTGAAGCGCAGTCGTGAAGAGGTGGTCTCCATCTTCGTCACTAATGATATCATCTCTATTGCGACGACTGGTCCCGTCACAATAAACCTGTCGGAGCTGCTCTCCAATCTCCGCTTCGAAATGGTAACCGATCCCCAGCCGCTCCACCACATCGATCAGATGCAGCTTCTCCGTTGACATCATCATCGCCTTAATCACCTCTTCCTTCAACGCCTCTATCCCCTCGATCCACCCATCTACGGTCTGCCAAAAGGTGAAGCAAAGGTGTTGTTGGATTCACTCTCGTTAAGAAAGAGGAAGAAAGCAGATATCATTAGTGACGGGTTTACCTCTTGGTCACTAAAGACATGGGTGATGAAGAAGTCTCCCCATACAGTTGCCTTGAAGTCTGCTTTCTGCCTCCCAGGAGCGCTGGTTTCAGTGTTGGAACTGTTATTGCTGGCCATATCTCGATCAAACAGATGATATTAGAGTTGCAGTTGCAGGTGGTGGGGATTTGATGAGGTTTGTGCGAAGCTCGAATTCTGTATCCAGTTTCTTTATGTATATAGGGAAATAATAATGTCTCGATCGAATGCATATGATTCTTTGCTATTTCTTTTCCATGGGTTTTCAAAAGGATTGAAACTTAATATTATTAATTTATTATATGGACTATTTGTTGAATTGTAAATTTATAATAACACGTTAATAATTTCCTACCCATCCTCTGATCCTCGTGTTCCTAGCCCACCTTTCTTTATATTTTTTTACATTATCTATCCACATGCAACCCACCCACATTCCATTGATGTGATGAGTATATGTTGTAAAAACTCATTCCCTTCAACATTTCAATCATCGATATCTTCAATATTATAATTATCTCTTATAGGGCTGTTATTTCGGTTGCCGGTTAGCGGCTAACCGGTCGGTCTAACCGTTAACCGCCGGTTAGCGGCTAACTGAAAACCGAAAGAAACGATTCACGGTCGGTTGGCGGAAACTGTCTGTGGGGAGGTGATTAGTCGAGTAACCGACGCCGGTTAACCGGCTAACCGGCTCTAACCGACCGACTGATACGACGCCGTTTTAGCCAGTGAGAAAACGACCCCATCCCCAACCCTAGACACTCTCGTATTCTCTTATACCATGATCCAACCCATCCTTTGCTCATCCAAACGGTCTAATTATTAGTGTCTATCACCCTTTTCCTCCTCATCTTGTAATAATCTGTCTTTGGTCAAATACCGTCACCTAGCTTATAGTTATTTATAGCGACCAACTTTTTCAGATCGCAGGTAGGATCTCCAGCAGATTTTATTCCTTTTATACACGAATACGACACCACCCCAAATTAGGCAGTCTTTTTTTTTATGAAGAAAAGACGATTACCCTGTCTTAATTAAATCCTCATCCATGGTGGAATCCAGCGAGGCACATTAATCACCAATTAGGTGAGTTCAGGTACCCTGATTAGACCCCGAAACAATGGAGCAGAGAAGCTAGATCCAAACACAGCATATTAATTATTGCTCATAAAATAAGTTTTGCAGATAGATTAAGCAAACAAACACATGCATTTGTGCAGAGAGATTAGTCATCTGCATCAAAACCACATTTATTGATGGGGCTACCTACCAATGCACGCGCCAGATCGCACTTGGAAAAAAAAAAATTAGCCCTAAAAAGCTCCGGTAGCCACATTGGATGCTGCCACCGGCTGTGGCATATAGGCAGAGAGATTCCGATGCTACGCAGGAACTGCTAATTCCGTCGAGTTAAAATAAAGGTGCCCATCCACTTTGGATTAGGGGAGAGAGTGGGTAAAATCGTCAATGCATGGTTTGAATGTCCAAAAAGACTTATCAATATAATCGATGTTGGAAGAAGTTTAATCGTGGATCATATATCACAACACTAACATATCCCCTCAAACGAAAGCCACTCACAGGGGCTTGAAGTTCACACAGGTCTGAAGAGAAGAATACCATGTGCTTAACAAATGGGGGTCATTGGGAATCGAACACAAGACCTCTCAATCACAGAAGACTCTGATACCATGTCAAGAACCAGTTGATCCCAATAACTCGAGTTGTTGGGAGAGGTTCAATCGTGGATTATATACCACAACACTAACAGGAAGGATATGAAGTTTGTGGTCGTTGTCCTGAGGGGAGGGTTGTCGTTGTACAGTCCAAGTACCACATCGTATATACAAAGAAAATGATCCATGTATATAAGTGTCCACCAAACTCCACTATTATGAGGCTTTTTGAAGAGGATACCCAAAAGTAAATTTTAGTATAAGTACTAGTTCACAGGAAAGGTAGCACACTCAACTACTAAAATGACATTGGTCTCTTTTCTCAAATCCTAAGGTCTAAGAAATAAAGAAGTAAAAACTAAACACTTACCATTGGTCTCCCAAGCACTTGGATCAGTGGTTTCATGCATTGTGTCACCCAAAACAGGGTGCAGATTCTTTGGAATGGGCAACTCTCTCAACCTCTCACTCTGACTCGAGGTGTTCGCCAGGGAGATCCCTTATCCCCTTATCTCTTTGTACTTTGCATGGAACGTCTTTCTCAATTGATTGATGAAGTTATCTCTAATGGTCAATGGAAAGCTCTTAGGCTCTCCAAGAATGGCCCGCCCCTCACTCATTAAACAGTGTCTGGGTGACTTTTGCTCTAGCTTTGGCCAGCGGGTGAATTACCACAAGTTCATCCTCTATGTCTCTCCCAACATCAACCGAGGAAGAGCAAGCCATATGAGCCAACAAGCGGGCATCCCTCTGAAAATGGCTCTTGGCAAGTACTTGGGCATTCCGGCGATACATGGCCGCGTGACTAGAGAGAGATACCAACCTCTTCTCCTTCGCATCCAGAAGAAGCTGGCTCCATGGAAAGCTAACCGCTTATCCTTCGTTGCACGACTTACAGTGGTTAATTCGGTTTCTGCTTCTATCCCGGTTTATAACATGAATACTGAGATTATTCTCAGTGGTGTGTGTCACAGTATTGACAAGCTAAACAAGGATTTTGTCGCGGAGGAGGAGAATAAGAACAAAATGCATCATGTGGCTTTGGACAAAATGGCGTTGCAAAAAAAGCATGGAGGGGTGAGCATCCGTCCTACCAGACATGCCAATCTGGCCATGCTGGCGAAAGGCGGATGACGGCTCATCAAAGAGAAGGAGACTCTCTGGTCTCAAATCATGTAAGCCAAGTATGGTCGTCAAAGAGAGAACCTGGACATCCTCTGCAATTCTCAGGGAAGTTCCTTCACCTGGAAAAGCTTCTCTAAAGCTGCTGATGTGTTAAGAAAGGGGTGTGCCTGGAATATTAAGAACGGTAAATACACTAAGTTTTGGTTGGATCCTTGGGTTTTGCAGGGGGGCCTGAAGGAAGTGGCAATTAATCACGTTGCTGAGGATATGGAGCAAATGACGGTAGCTGAGTACGTGACAGCTGAAGGAGCTTGGCGCACCGACATGTTCGAGGCCTTCCTCCCTGCCAAGGTCTGCCAGAAGATTCTTAGTGTGGTTGTTGACACACTCTCTAACAAGGAAGATACCCTCTTCTGGACTGCTTCTCCGGACGTAAACTTTTCCACCAAGTCGGCTTTCACCCTCCTCACTCCGCAGCCTCCAGATCCGGACGAGAAGCTCTTGAAGACGGTCTGGTCCCTACCAGTCCCGGAGAGGATCCGTTGTTTCTTGTGGCAAACATGCACTGGGAGGATTGCCACTAATAGCCTCCGTTTCCACAGGAAAGTTGCTACGAATCCGTTCTGTCCGAAGTGCCCGGGGTCGCTAGTGACAATCTTGCACACTCTTAGAGACTGCCCTCCAGCCACCTTCTTCTGGCTTCGGCAGACCGGGGGAATGCAGCAGCAAGACTTCTTCACTCTTGACCAGAAATCTTGGTTGTGCAGCAATCTCTCGAGTACGGATGCGGTGGCGACAGGGATGCCTTGGCCTGCTTTCTTCAGTACGGCGTTGTGGCTCATTTAGAAAAATCATTGTGTTCTTTGTATGCAGGGTACCGGAGCGGCTCTCACCCCGCCATCCCTTGAGCATTCGATTATGGCTAAGATGAAGATGTGGTATAATGCTTGGCTAGCCCCTCCTCTCCTCCCTTCCAATAGAATTCGGCCCGCCGACAGAATTGAGGAGGAAGTGGGTTGGAAGCCGCCGCAAGATGGATGGATCATGCTCAATACCGACGGAGCCTCCAACGGCAATCCTGGGGCAGCAGGGGCTGGCAGAGTGTTGCGCGATCCGATGGGACGCTGGGTTGCAGGCTTTGTCGCCAACCTCGGCACCGCCACGATGATCCTCTTGGAGCTTTGGGGAATCTCCTTCGGTCTGGACATCGCTTGGAAATATGGAGGAAGAGCTATTCACATTCAGACCGACTCGCAGCTGGCGATGCAGCTCATTAAGGCTAGACATGACCCGATCCACCCTTATGCTACTCTCCTTTCCGCCATTCGCAGGAAGCTCAACCGTGACTAGTTGGTTCGCTTAACGCATACTTACCGGGAAGGGAATAGAGTCGCGAACTGGCTCTCGAAGCACAGTCTCGTCTATCCCTACGGTATGCATGAGTTAGCGAACTCTCCTTCGGAAATTAATCCCCTTCTTCGGGATGGCATCATGGGCATCACCATAACCCGTATGGTGGTTGCTACCTCTTCTTCCCCCCTTTTTACCTCCCCCATGTATTTTTCCTTCTCTTGACTTTTAGCCTCCTTCTAATGCAAAAAAATAAAATTAATAGCCAAAGTTTATACAATGGTGATCGAGTTGATGATATAAAGTATTTGTTGAAAATGTTGAGAGAGATATCAATGTGAAGAGTATCAATAGCCTTCAAGCTGGACATTTACCATGTTCGAAGAACACATAATTCAAAGGCGTTCATTTGTGTACATATGGTAATTTCAAATTTGATAAGCGGAAGATGAGGAAAACACATCAAAAGGGAACTAATTCTACAAGTTAACTATTTAGGGTGCACGGTAAGGGGTGGGAATGAGATGCAAATCATTTTTTCTTCCAACTACAATCCCAAACACTTCGGTCATGTCGAGATCTTCGGGTTTCATTTCATTTGGAAGCTTCCAATCAAAGTGATAGAGCAAATTCGCGACTGCAAGATGGACAATAGCCATCCCGGTCTTCACGCCAGGGCACATTCTTCTCCCAGCTCCAAATGGGAGGAGCTGGAAGTCATCGCCGTTATAGTTAACGGGACTGTTGACAAATCTTTCGGGCATAAATTTATCCGGCTCGATCCAGTACGCGGGATCTCGACCGATCGCCCACGCATTTATCGCCACCTTCGTTTTTGCAGGTATCTGGTACCCTTTGATCACGATCGTCTCTCGGCTCTCTCTCGGAACCAACAACGGAAGCGGCGGGTGCAATCTCAGAGTCTCTCTCACGATCAGCTTCATGTAGTGCAGCTCATCAATGCTCGCTTCATCTACTGCCTTTCCTTTTCCGTCAAACACTCGTCTAACCTCTTTTTGTGCCTTTTCCATCTCTTCTGGGTTCCTCATCAGTTCAGACATGACCCATTCTATGGTGACAGAGGACGTATGGGTCCCACCGAAGAATATGTCCTGCAACACATTACATTAACTGGAAATTTAGTAAAAACACGTATGGATTGGTTGTACTATACGATGTGTCAGTACTTAATATAAGATCAAAATTGTTGAACATCTCCCAACAATTCAAGTTATTGGAACCAACTACCGTAAAACTATACTCACAGTGATGACTGCTTTGATCTCAAAATCGGTGACCGAGAACTCGCCGGTGGCGACGGCCTTATCACGAGTGAAATTCAGCAGCACGTCGACGAGATCCTGATCATCACCACCACCAGTTGCACGATCAACGTCAGATCTCCTTCTGGATACATGTGCATCAATGATTTCTTGGAGTATGGTATCAGATTCAGCATGGAGCTTCTTCAGCCGTCTATCATTCCTGTCGGCGACCATCCTCAAAACCCAGCTGGACGGAAAAACGTCCCTCAGACTGAGCTCTCCAAGGGCCTGCACGTAGAGGTGGCAAATGGATTGGATTGGTGGATCTATGGATCAAATGAATTGGATCTAATGGATTGGTGGATTCATGGATTGGATCAAGTAGATTGGTAGATTATCCATGAATCCAAATGACATCCTCAACCAAGATCCAATATGTAGAATGTGAAAAGTTTAGGTATTAAAATGTCATAATGAAAATTTTTAGGTACCAAAACGTAATTTTCCAATGATATTTTTGTATAAACATTAAATTTTAGTTACCAAAATGTAAAAAATAAAAATTATAGGTTCTAATTGTAATTTGCCAATGATCCATGGACCCAATCCATGAATCCACCAATCAAATTGGATTTGGATCAAATGGATTGGATTAGTTGGATATTTTTAATGGATTGGTGGATTGGATTGAAATTGCCTCCTCTACCTGCACGATCCGATGCTGGACCGAGAAAAACGCTTCCTCCATCTCACGGGCCTCCACCCCGCCGAACGCGGCCCGCCAAATAATCTTGCAGACCAGCGAGCCCAGGATCCGGCCCAAGTTCACGATCTCACCGGGCCGGATCGAGCCCACCATCGCCTTGCGGACCTCCTCCTCCCTTATGGGCCGCTGCGAGCCCACGCGCTTGGTGCTCATGAGCTCGAGCGTGCAGATCTTCCGCATCTGGCGCCAATACTCGCCGTAGGGTGCGAACGCGACGTCTCTGTGGTTGTACAGGATGATGCTCGCGGACTGGACGATGGGCCTGGTGGCGAAGTTGAGGTCGTGGGTTTTCATGAACAATTGGGCGATTTCGGGGGATGAAACGACGACGTTCGACGTCTCGCCGATCTGGAGGTGCATCAGGCCGTCGGGCCCGTGCTGCTGGGCCAGGTCGCGGAAGCGGCGGTGAGGGAGCAGGGAGGAGAAGGCCAGCTGGTGGAGGTTTCCGATTATGGGCAGCTTCGTTGGGCCTGGTGGCAGTGTTGGGCCGGGAGTAGCGTGGGCCAGCTTTTGCTTCAGGAGGATGGTGGTTAGGAAGAGGATGATGATGAGAGTGGGGAGGAAGAGTGGACTGAGACTGAGAGTGAGTGTTTCTACTTCCATCCAATTCCATAATGATGTGCTGATCGCCATTGTTGAAGTTTCTTCCCTGTCTCTGTTTCCTCTGTTTTTTTTTTTTTTGCAGTGGTGGATTGATGAATGGCAGCTTGAACCAACAACTGGTGTATACATATTTTATACAGAGGAGAGAGGACCCATGTAGAGTGCTCAACTACTACGCTTTTGGAAGCATTGGTACTTCCAATTCCAAGTACCGAGTTGAATCTGTAAAAATTATTGCTAGTAGCTACAACCTGAATTTATGCAATAACGTTAAATATACAAGTGCACTTTATAATTTATAATATAACAAAAAAAAAAATTACAGACAAAATTTCCAAGTATTGTAAAATGCCTCACTGCAGCGATTTTAAGTTTATTATAGAATGCGTTTGTTAATATCTACAAATATAATTTATTTATTTACTCCGTCAAACAAATTAATTTATTTACGAGTGCCATAAACATTCCAAGATTTGGATCTACTTTTAGTAATCTGCCCCATCAAGTGGCACATGGGAACTTGTTGAGTTTGAAATTGATTCGTAAAACCAAATTATACAATTTACATAACCTTCCAAGATTTAGATCTCCTTTTAGTAATCTGCCCCATCAAGTGGCACGTGGGAACTTGTTGAGTTTGAAATTGATTCGTAAAACCAAATTATACAATTTACATAACCATAAGTAACCCATTCATCGGTTCGTGTTAGATATATAATTTTTTCCTCAATTAATTTTGACGAACTTATCATTTTCATTTTAAGTCCTAATTTAACTTTTTAATCACAAAAAATCAGATTATCTGTGTTCTTGAAAATGAGATTTAATTTGAATATATTTATTAAAAAAATTAAAACATATATTACCAATATACCACGATGATAATACTTGATAACATATAAAAAAGACATGAAAACGAACTAAATCATTAACTTGTCGATTTCGATCGGCTTGTAACCTACTCCTAACCCACCCACCATATTCATTAGATAAAAACAATTAGTATTATAGTTTCTTTCTTCCTTTTGTTGTTTATAAATTAGGTTTTGGCTGGGTTTTTTTTTTTTTAACAAGGCTTTGGCTGGTTCTAATCATTGGATTAGTAAATTCAATTATCACCACATTCTATATATATAATCCTTTTTATACTTATTGTTATTGGCTTGGTTAGGGCAGTAGGCATCAAAACACTTCCTACTCCCCTCACCCCTAGGGGTGTTCAAATGGTTACCATGGTTATAACCAAACCAAATAAGCCTAAATTCCATTAACCATGGAATACAATATCATAACCAAACCGTCCAAACTAATACAACAACTAGATTAACCAAACTAAAGTTTAATCGGTTTGGTTAATTGGTTAACCAGATTAACCAATATAAAATCACATTATCATTGACAATGAAAATTTTCCGGTTAATGCAACAATTCACAATTTATATAATGAATAAAACATAACAATCAACACGTAGTTATAGTTGACCCTTAACAAAAATACATGCAACTAAGATAATTATCTTACGATTAGTATAGAAGTATTCACCTAACAAAAATTTATGACAATTGTATGGGGTAATGAATTGTTGTGTTTGTGTAAATTGACTTAGTCTCTTAGCAATTATCATAGGCTGGAAATGACCTTCCTTTCAAGTTTTCATCTATCATAATGTATGAAATTTATCTAAATTAGGCGTCCATTTGTTGTGTTCTACACTTTACATATACAAATATACACTATATGAGCAATATTGAGCTTTATATTTTATGAGTCTAAAAGGGATGAACGTTAACTCTTGAGTGGTTATGCAAAGTATTAAGTATGTGTATATAATATATGTTAGATATATGACTAATTACTTAACTGGTTAATTTGGTTTGACTGGTTAGGAGTGTCTGAAACCAAACCAAACCACCTAAACCAAACAAGCTAAAAACTTTAACCAAACCAAACCAATTATCCAAATTAACCAAACCAAATTATCCAAATAGTACCGGTTAAAACGGTTACCACGGTAACCAAACCGTTTGAACACCCCTACTCACCCCATCTCCACCACTGACCACACACTATAATACTAGTCATTATACAACTCACTACTAGAAGTTAGGATGATATTGTTATTAATGCTAGTCAACCCCTAACTGGCTGCCCAACTCCCTAAAATGGCTAGCAATAATATTGTTATTAATAGAGTTAGATTTCACTACAACACTTTGAACTATAAAAAAAATATCTTCAACTATTCAATATAACAATTCAAACACAAAGCTTCATTTTCATTAACGTTATTAACTTTGCCAAAGGTAACATAGCCTAGACCAATTGAGCTCTGGATGTGGGAGGTCCTGAGTTCGATTCCTAGTGGCACCACTTGAGCGTTCCCGGCGGCACCCTAGGTATCGGAGGCGAAGCCTCCCCGATGTTGATAGCAGAAAGCCCGGGTTAGTATGCAGGTACCCCCAGTGGTTTAGTAGGCCCCGTTGTCGCTCAAGCAGCACGTGGGACAGAGGTTCCCTGGGTTATAAAAAAAACTTTGACTGTTGGTACGATCAAAACTCTTAATTTTCTAATCCGAAATCCAATTTGCCACATCCAAATTCGAGTTTTCAGATCACCAACTCGGAAGACAAGCACTTTGAAAGGAGGATATAAAATTGGGATTTGGAGAGACTCTTCTACTTCCGCAGGTACCTATTAGGGTTTCCCACGGGAACTTGCGTTGCTGCTAAGTGCTATCTATTCAAATTTTTGTACATGTGACTTGCAATTGGTGAAGGAAGCAGAAAGAGGTAATTATTCAGAAATGGTCATGTAAGTTCAGCATTTGTGCAAAATGATTATTTATATTTTATTTTCTTCAAAGTGGTAGGACAATAATTTTCACTTGGTTAAATTTGTGGACATAAATTATAGTGGTGAAACCAGAATTCAATTTTTATGGTTTAGTTGTAACAGAAAGTCAATTTGTTTTGTTTTTAATTGTAACAAAAATAAATTAACTAATTAGTGTACAACATCCCTTATACAGTTATACTTAAATGACACGCCATGCATTTAACCGTATTGAATGGCACAAAATCTTACACCTACGCTAAAAAGTTATATGCTAAAAATATGTGGGCTTAATATAGCTGGGCTATATTATGATTTACGTTATGGACTTTGATTAATTGTAATGGGCTTCAAGCCTAGCCTAACTAATCTAGCAGAACTTATTGCTTTCGTATACTCAACCCTTGGCCCTTGGGTTGATAATTAGGAAAACTAGTATTCAATAATCATCCCAGACTCAGCCTTACAGTGAGCACATAGCAAACTATTCTTCCGCCTTTTAATACAAAAATATTGTGTGCCCTGCTTAAAGCGGCATATCGTCTATTTTTGGAAGGATAGCCCTTAATTGGACTGTCCTATTAGAAAAAAATGGTAAAAAAGAAAGTCATCCAAGATTTTATATCCTTTTTAGCTGGGTTAAGATAATGATACGCAAGAGCATGTTATGATACTATACGAGACTGTGTACATTAACTTAAACTAAATAGTACGGTTACAAGTTTGGTATCAGTTATTATTTATGGAACGTTACAAAATGTAATTTAAATCAAACATAAATATAGTATATTATATATTTTTTTAAAAATATGTGTTTTAAATGCATTTTATATTTGTTAAATTCGTGAAGTATCAAACAAACAAGAAAAATAAAACAGCTCGACAAATAGAACGAGAACGAGAGTCTTAACACACATTCATTACTACATATACGAGTACTTTACGTGCACAACTACAAAATGGACTTTTTACTATGTATACCAATATTATTATTCTAACTCGATAAAAAAGTCGCATGCCGACATTCTTCTGTAGCCAAAAGCGATTCAAACATCTCCAATCGGAGAGTAGAAGGAGAAGTATTACAAACGTCCGAAAGTGAATCGTGACTGATCAAACTATAAAATAATTCAAACCATTTATTATCCTCATGGATTTCCTAAATGAACACGTCCTTGCTAACTTAAGAGAAAGTTAAACTTAAGACCTTCAAATTCAAGACCAATACTAATACTAATACTACTCGTACTTGATGGCTTCTAATTCATATAATTATATATTTATTAGATTTTTGTACAATAATCCCATACAAATTAGACTACATAATCTATACACACACTTGGGTTTGCAGCACTACATGGAGAGAGCTCCAAATAACAAAAAAAAAACCCAAAAAAAAATCCCAACCTTCATTTTCTAACTAGGGATCAGAAACTAGGGTGGCTATACGGTCCGGTTCAGTTAAACTGGACCAAATTGATCCGGTCCCAGTCCGGTCTTTTCGGGAATATAAGGACCAAAGATTGGATTGGATACACTCCGGTCTTGACCCGGTCCAGTCCCAATTTCATTTTGATTTTATATTGAGCTTGTGGGGATTTGAGTGTTGGGGTCTTTATCCGGGTTTTTTTACCTCAAATCTAAGCCCGAATATGAGATTGAATTGTTTGCTATCCGGTCCCAGTCCGGGTTATACGGTCCGGTTTCGAGTAAAACCAAACAGTTCTGGACCAAATTGCCACCCCTATCAGAAACTACTGTGAGCAAAAGTTTGACCAAATCTTGACCCTAGAGGTCGATCTATCTATCTATATCTTCATCCACTTAGCTGCTGCCACTGCTGCTGCTGCTCCTCATCAGCCTCAATCGCTGCACAGACCCCATAAAGCTCCTGCAAACCACCATACTCTGTTATCGTCAATTCTCTGCCCACCCACAACTTGAAAATTTAAGCAGGTAGCAAGCTATGTGGCTATGTAATTTAATGTCACAGCACTGAGGTAAGTTTTGCTACTTCGTGTTTGGATCACGTGAACGAGTGATCTGGTACCTAAGATACACGCGTTGACGTTGTTTACATAAAACGACATCGAGTTTATCGATAGATCGAGACGACGAGATCATTCGTCCGTCCACGTGATATTGAAAAACACGATGCCTATTCTTATCAATAAAAGATTGTGAGAGTGGTACGGAATGAAAGATGTGATGAGATGCATTAGAGTTAATACACGAGAATGATAATATTTCGTCACATCCTAACGAATTTCGATTTATGGGCATGCTTTGGTGACCTTGTTTTAATCCCGGAGATGATATAAAATAAAAATAATGAGGAGGTGGTGGAATAGAATATATATACCTCCAGGAGATGTCGTCAGCTAATAGCCAGTCGCCTTCAGAATCCTGATACGTAAGCTGATACTCGCCGGCGCCGGCGCCGCCGTCCCAGGGATTCTCTTCCGCTACATCGAAAAAAAAACAGGACAAAAAACAGAGTGAGTCGTCGGTGAAATGGTCTCATCGCTGTGATTACGCTGACGGAGTCAAATTTTTGTTCTTTTTTTTTCAATTTGTGCTTACGTAATCCGAACATAGCGAAGAGTTGCCGTCGAAGGGAAGGGAAGGAATCGTGAACTGCAAGATCAACTTTCCTTCCGATCCCGATGCCGTCCATCGTCACCTTCACGTACATTGACGTGGGTCCCTCTCCACATTCCTCGGAAGAAGGAGAAGACCCATCGACGATCATCATCATCATCAGTTGATCTCTGTGATTCCACATCTTCTTCTTCTTCTTCCGCCGGAAACTAATCGGCGGCCACCCCACAATCCCTTCGCCGTCGTTGTCATCTCCTTCTTCTTCATCCTCAGTCTCAATTCTGCTTCAAAGATCGAAAATTCGAAACACCCCAAATCGTCAAAATCCACAATTCACTGAAATGTAAAAAAGAAAAACAGGGGACTTGAGGGGAATCAGTACTTGTTGAGAACTACAGAGCAATTATCGTCGTTGTCGTCGCTGCCGCCGGCCAATTGCAATAAGGGTAGCGTTTTGAGATTGATGGGAATATGATCATCCTCGAAAGACTCGATGAAACGGCGGCGTTTCCTGCTGTTGACAGCAGAACACTCTGTTCCACCACCATTGTTGGCGACCGGAAGCCATGATTGTACGATCACCTCGTCGTTTGTGTAACTACCCACATCGTTATTATCATTACCGAAGTTCAATCTGTTGTTGGATTTGTTATTGGAGGTGGGAAGAGCGAGACCCAGCTGAAGCTCCATGGGGGAAAATAAAATTTACCCTGTTTTTTCTTCTTCTTCTGGTTCCAAGTGGGCAGTGGAGTGAGATCGGTGCAGAAAGAAAGGGAGAAGCGGTTTGTGAATTTAAGGAGACAGAGTTGGGGCTTTTTTTGGGAGGAATTCGCAAACAATAAAGAGAAAAAGGAAGAAAAACAGAGGAGGGAGAGGCAGGGGACAAGGTGGAGGCAACAGTAGATAGGGTGTCTGCATCGTTGCTCCACTTTTCCCCGACCCGTTTCTCTTTCTATCTCTTCCTCTCTCTCTCTCTCTCTCTCTCTAGAATTAGAGGGGGGAAGAAGAGTAGTTTAGTTTGGTTTGCTATTAATGGTTTCCCCGTTGAAGCGGGAACCACAGTTGAGAGGAAGAAGATGTCTCTTTCTCTTTTGCCGCCCAAATTGAAACTTTTTCCCCACCCTCTGTTTTCCGGCGATTCTGCTGCTGCCCTGCTCGTGCTGAAGACTGTTGCTTAGGCTGCGGCCGATATGCTCTCTAATGATTTAGTCGTTCGTTCCATTAGCATCGTGCTGATCACCATCTCGTTTGTTAATTAATATTGACGAACATTCTACTCATAATACACAAAAGATGGTATTCCAAATTGTGAAGAGGATGATGAAGTTCGTTATCAATCACCAACTTTTCGATTTCGGATTTCTACACAATTGCTCTTATGTTTCGAGGATTTATTTCTTTCCTGGGATCGGTTGACGACGAGAAACTGTCTCTGGTAATTTTGAGAATACGTGGTTATTGATAATTCATATAGTTGCGTACGAAAAATCATGTATTATGAATTTCATGCATTTGCAAAGTGTGTGTGATGAGGACGAGATATTTCGATGGCTTCTGTCCTAAGAATTCACTCTGTCTGTTGCTAAGATCTTTCATATCGCTCTTATGTGGGTCCTGACATCGATTCTAGTTAACTTGTACACATTCCTAAATGGCTCGAAACACATATATTTTTCTAGTGCGGGTACTGCCCCATATCATAATGCCTTCTTTGAGGCATAAATTAATCATCGTGTACTAGGCAAAACTTGAGGAATGTACCAAAACATCATATTTCTGCCGTGAGAAATCAGTAAAAAACGATAAATTTGATTTCTATGAATATTCGATAAATTTATAGAAATAGTTACAATGGATACATCATACATCAACTCTGTTTATATGAAGACAGCCAAAATTTTAATCGGAACTCGTGGAATTTAAATTTAGGTCTTTGCCATCTCCACCACTCTTCGATGGATTAAAATGTCATATTGTACATGGTGTTAAAACTTATAGTTATTAACTATTATATTAAGACATAAATTATAAAAAAAAGTTCAAATGTTGTCTCCATAGAAAATTCTATTAAACAATTCAAACTCTCACCAACAACCTGTATATATATTATATGGATTGTAATTATTATTTTAATAAATTATTATTATAGGATATAGGATCCAAACAAGAAAACATGTCCCCTCTTTGCCTTGTTTATGTTATGTGGTATATGGAGAACTTTGCTTAGAAACTCAACATTGCCCATTTTGTCCCCTCCCTTTCCCTCCCAACAGGATGTTAACAACACACAAATATATGTGATGAAAAAAAGGAGTAAACATCAATTCAATCCATATTGTTTAAATTATCCCTTAAATTATGGATAATTATGATGTGTATAGTATAATAAAGTTGTAGCAAAATTACTAGTTTGGTTCACATAGACTTTAAGCAATTTGTGACTTCATTCATCATTATGTTCTTGTAATGTCTGTTTTTCTAAGTCAAGTTTGGAGAGCTCTCTTTAGTCACTTCTATAAGGGAGGAAGGAATGTTAAACATTCTTGAGTTTCTCCCATCAAGTCGAATTAGTGGGAAGATAAATTCGCTCGTTACAAACTCTGAATTAACAGTTGTCATGGTGGACCGTTGTACGAACTTCAAGCTCACGGATTAATAGGCTTCGTTAGAGTGAAACTTGTACTAGAAAGATGTGTTTAATTAAGATTATTTCTTCAACCTCTCCCAAAACGAGTCAGTGGGACAAAGTTGTTCTCTATATCTTGATCGTTGTAGTATGTATGGTAAGGTCGTCCCCCTTTTTTATTGCAGTGACTTGATTCGGTCCGCTACTTAAAAATGATGGATACTTAAAAAAACCCTCCATAACTCACCTTCAACCCAAAATGATCCAATTTGAGACAAACATAAATTAAAGGTCTGGTGTTATGAGCCAATTGATTTCAATAATTGGAGTCATTAGGAGAAAACGAAATACCTCTTTATATCCTCAAAATCTCTACTATATATCATGTTAATTAATAACAAACTGATTTACATAGCTCGAATTCTTGAATGAATACTAAGGATGAATATTACCACATTTCCTTACTTCGATCAGTGAACCAAACTGATATATGATGAGAATACATTAATGCTCTCTCCCAGTGTTGTCACTAACAAGCATCGTTGAACAAAATGTGTTCCAGATCGAATTGAAACTAGACATGAGCATGTCACGTGGCCGGCCGGCAGGATTGGGTTCTGAGTAGTGGATCGACGGCGACCGGAGAAGCCACACGGGTCGCCGTCGTCTCCGGACAATATGCCGCCCACATTCGGACCAGAAAACACCCACAAAATCAAACCCTTCCTCGAAAATTCCTTCTTTGGCGTCTACTTTATCCAAAGTGAGTCACCACTAGCAAAACATCAATAGTTTTGTTAATATTTTTGATGATTGGGGTCGTTCAAATTCGGATTTGGATAATTTAGAACGAGTGAAACCAGACGATTTTCAGAGAACCTTAAATAGACATGGATCACTTTGATGCATAGAGTAAGCTTGGTAGTTTGACTTTTCATCTTCCGTTTCGACACGACCGAAATTGATGATTTGATTTAGATATCTCTAAATGTCGCATATTCACTCATTGGGAGATTTCGATCAATTCTTGATCTTTAAAGCCTTTGTGAAAATAAATTTAGAATACTAAACAGTTTTTTCGTCTTGGGATTTTTCATTCAACCGTTGCAAATTGCTCGCGAGCAAACAATTATGATAATTTTCTCTTCTCTGTTGAAATCTCTCGTGCAAATTCATTCGGTTGTAGTTGCAAGGAAGTGGTTAAGTATATATCATACATGGACCTATCTTAATTTGAGTTGTTGGGACCGGTTATTGATTTATGACATGACAAGGGAGCGCTGGTTTGTCCTTGAAGTCACGCGTGTTCAAGTTCTCACAACTTTTAATATTAACCGTTCGCTTAAAATACATGGTATAAGAGGGCGTATATGGGGAAGTAGTAATTATGTACCATAAATGAACGTCTTTCAATAATTCGAGTTATTGAAACCCGTTCATTCATGAAAGCAATTCACATTTTGTCGAACAATAATAACTGTTCATCATCATTGTCCCTCGGGTGTCCTCCATCGATCGGCCGGTGATCTCAATTATAGCTATATGTACACACTTTGCATGGATTGATATTCTTCTTCAGCCCCACGTGTTAACATGGTCCCTTGTTTTTTCGTAATTATGTCACACACCCATATATCTTCCATCCATCCACCAACTTAAAGGCTTTATTTGGTTCGTGGCCATTATAGCTATATATATAAAAATTCAGTAGAGTCTTGAAATTGAAATGGGTCTTGGCATATTTGGTAATGTCAATTGCATATCATGATTTACTATTATCAAGAGAGTTATAATCTCATCAACTAATAGTTGGTACTTCTCGATCTTTTATTGTTACTGAATCAACACAATTATTCTTCTTGACAAATGCTTAGATTGATGATCCTTGCAACTCAAAACCCGAATACAAGAAAATTCTCACCTTTCGATAAGTTTTAAGTCGAATAATAATCAAGCAGCATCTAACACTAATGGATGCTTTTTTTATACATAGACTTCAGATATATGATGAGTTTAAATACCAAACTCGATGCAGGCTTTTAAGAACCCGATCTTACTCGCTGTTAGTGAATCATGCTTTTACTCGCAGAACATTCTCCATCAAGTAACCTCTTGTAATATCCAAAAATCCCGAATATAATAATCAGCCGTGTATATGTTTGTTGATCATCAAATCTTTTGAAAGTTTAGACATGATAATTAGGCCTTTCAATCGTTGTTTTATATATTGATAATACATGTTCAAACCAAGAATGCAATCACTACCCATCTTTCAATCAGTTAAAAACTACATTGCCAACCACGTGCTGGTTGGAATTAATAATACTGATGATCACTAACTAGCTAGGTCACAAAATTGCCAATAAGAGTTAGGCAGCACACGAGGTTGAGAAATATTCTTGTTTTTGGAGTCTTGCCATGGAATGATTATGTAGCTAATAGTGGAACCAAGACAAAGGGTACATTGTTTTCCTCATAAAGTTATGAGATTTAGCTAGCCAATCTGTATATGAAACTCTCCTAGTTGTGGTGAGACAAGAGATTTACCAAGACACAAGTATGTTGGCCTTGGGCAGTGTTGTTGAGGGTATAGTGCATGTTGGTTGAGACTTTTCAATCTCATTGCCCCATTTGAAAGGCCCAAAAGTTACCACCCAATTCCTTCAATTTGACTTCATGATAAAAGCTAATATTAACAAGAAATATTGCAAAAAAAAAAAAAAAAAAGAGTGAAATGTAAGATGGGTACATCTCCAAATTATTCTCTTTACCTTAATTATTGCACCCATATAGAGTCCATGCTTGCATCTAACTTCAACAAACCCCATCACATCTCACTACCGAAAATTTCTCTCACTTTCTTTTACCGTATAAAAAAAATGTATATATGTCACTCAAGATCACTATACTTCATCTATGATATCAAGTTCAATGTATGTAACTGATCCGCTGCTCTTTTTGGTCGGTTCTTCAAGGTGTTGATGACAACTAGCTCTCATTTGTTGTTGTATCGTTTATTTGTCTACGTGGCGTGGTAATCAAGAGGAATTCTGATCGGCTGGTCATCATTATTTGCCCACTTCATGATGAAATTGTATGAGATGCCCATAAGGTTGGGTTGGGTTGGGTTGTCTCATGTATCCTAAGACTTACCGATTTTGTATAATTTAGCACCATTCTGCAAGCAAATGATATTGAAATGCTTATAGAGTATTGCAAAGAAGTCATTATATTGTTTATCCCAGGACCGTATATGTTTTTTACTTTTAGGAGCTGGGTTAGAGTTGAGTTATAACTTTCTCGTATATCCAACTCCAAGAGAAAGTAAGAGCAGAAGATATCCTATAGATCTCTTCAGAAACAAAATCAAATGAAAAGTGAACATGTAATTCAGATTTCCCCTATCTAGCTAAATGCCTAGCTACAAGATGTTTAATCAAATCAAAATGACAGAACCCTTTTCCTTTTTTCTGAAAAAGAACAACAAATCATTTGTTTCCAACAAACGTGGGATTCTTTGAGATTGGACAATCTACTTTTGTCTCTCAAGCCCATAATGCTACTACCACACTTTCAATCTTAATTTCTCTCCTTCCAACCTTTCACATTTTTCAAATTCATTTCCAAATTAGACCCAAACAGTCCATACGATAATCATCATTATACAAGAAAGAAACAGCATACTTACCAGATTTGGCGCCAACCCATTTGCGCCAATTACATAGCTTTACATTTCCAACTTTCCGCAACCTCTGTTTTTCCACTCAAACAAATGAATCCCTCTCTCTCTCTCTCTCTCTCTCGAGGTCTTTTCCAAAGCTAGCTTGTCTCCAACCTTTCATCATCAAATTAAAGAAACACTCCATCAATGGCTTTTCCATATTGTTTGGTCCCCGAAATGGAAAAAGGAAGTTGATAAGAAAAGGGTCCAACTACCAAGGTCCCGAAAGCATGCATGGGCCTTTGCTTTGCACAACGTTTGGCCATCAAGTCATCACTTCACTGGGGCAGCAGTGACTGAGAGAGAAAATGTGAGGGAATGATATGATGAGAGGAATTGTGTAATATTTGCTAACCAATCTGGTTATTTTAACGAACTAGTTCTTGACACGGTCGAAAAATCGGGTTCTGATTATGCATTGTAATTGATAACAATCGAGTTAGCAAGTATGTTGTAGATCTTGGTAGTTAATGTATTGGACTCGTTCTAGATACGAATTTGCGTTCTCCTAATTAAGGTTCATTTGAAGGCACGACATGTTTCACTCGTTAGAAAATCTTAGTAAAACTGGATCGTTGGTTATACTTGTCGACTTCAGTTTGAAATTTGAATGAGCATAAAAGAGAAAGATATAAGACTCAGATTCTAGATATCTTCCAATTACTCGAGTTAATGTTACGAACTTAGTTCTTGGCATGATATAAAAGTTTTAAATGAGTTTAGTCGAATAGGACGATTCAAATCCAAATCCAACTCAATAATCATGAGAATGCATTTAAATGGATTTGAATCCAAACCAATACTCATATAAACCATAGCAATTAGATCAAATTACCAAATGAATCGACCTTCGACATGTAATTACAAGTGGCAGAGAAATGTGCCCAGAGGAATTAATGGGTCTACTGCCCTAGTTTTGGGGCATTGTTTGGTTGGCCAATTACCTGCAATATTAGAACGAGCAAAACTGGACCATTTTCAATCCTTTTTGTCAGATCTGGTGGTCTCCATCATCATCTCCACTTGCTAGCCATGGCCAAACTCTTAACTCTCTATGTGTCCTTCAATTGTCTGTAACTGTGAA